CCCCCCCCCCCGGGACCACTCACCGGGGTCTCCTGATCGTCCTCACGCCCCCCCCCGTTCAACAAATTCGCCAACTCTTTAAAAACCGCCCGCTCCAGCGTCCGCCGCGTCCGCGTCCCGCCCGCGTCCGACGCGCGCTCCGTCTCCACCGCCCGCATCACGTTCTTCTTCAACCGCACCACCAACCCCACGGCGACGTCCGCGCTGAGAAGGGCGTTACATATCTCCTTCAGCGCCCCGTCGACCGCGTCGTCGTCGATCACGACGCGCGTTTGCAATCGTCGCAGCGCGCCCGTGATTGTGTTTCCGAGATCATTGAGCACCATCTCGCGTCACGCCTGGGCGCGAAGTCGCTCGAGGGCGTCGCCGCGGTCACGCGCGCGATCACCCGTCCGTTCGCGCGCGCGCGCGAGCCTCGGGCGCGGTGTGGCGACGTCGCGCGCGGGCGTGGACGCATCGCGTGGGTGCACGGAACGAAACCCCATACGAGTACGGACACGCGAGTGAGGCCACGCTGGATGGAATGAAACCCCATACGAGTACGGACACGCGAGCGACGACCCATCATCATCATCGCGGCGGCGGCGCGACGCGGCATCGCGCGACGACGACCTCACGCGCGCGATGAGCGAGGCGTGGAAGACGGTGAAACCGTACGTCAACGGTGGGCTCAGTGGCATGGGGGCGACGTGCGTGATTCAACCCCTGGATAGTGCGTCAGCGCGACGCGATCGATCGCGACGGATGATGGTTGGGACGATCGCGTGGACGAACGATCGTGTGCGCGGACGCGCGCGCGGCGTTGATGGACGCGATGGTGTGATTCGTGGTGACTGACGATGAGCGACGCGCGCGCGCGCGATGGGCGAACGCAGTCGTCAAGGTGCGGTTGCAGCTCGGGTCGACGAGCGGGCCGATCGGCACCGCGGCGGGCATCATCAAGAACGAGGGGTTCGGTGCGTTGTACACGGGTTTGTCCGCGGGTTTGTTGCGTCAGGCGACGTATACGACGGCTCGATTGGGTCTGCACCAGAACTTTGTGGACATGCTGAAGAAGCAGAACGACGGGGCGAATTTGAGCCTGGCGCAAAAGGCTGGCGCCGGTTTGGCGGCGGGCGGTCTCGGCGCGCTCGTGGGTTCGCCCGCGGATTTGTCCTTGATTCGCATGCAAGCCGATGGGACGCTTCCGGCGGATCAGCGACGTAACTACCGAGGCGTCGGACACGCGCTCATGGACATTGTGAAGAAGGATGGCGTCGGCGGCTTGTTTGTCGGCGCCGGGACGACGTCCATTCGCGCCATGGCGCTCAACATGGGTATGCTCGCCTCGAACGACCAAGCGAAGGAAATGATGGCGGCGAACAATATCACCGGTTTCCCAGCCACCGTCGGCGCCGCCTCCATCGCCGGTTTCTTCGCCAGTTTCTTCTCCCTCCCGTTTGACTACGTCAAGACGCAGCTGCAAAAGCAAAAGCCGGGTCCGGATGGCAAGATGCCGTTCTCCGGTTTCTTGGACTGCTGCGGGAAGACCATGGCGGAGGGTGGTCCGCTCAAGTTCTACACCGGTTTCCCGACCTACTACGTGCGCATCGCTCCGCACGCCATGATCACCCTGATGGTTCTCGACGCCATCAAACAGTTCCAAGCGGACAACGGGCTCTAATAAACACGGCGTCACGTCACGATTAGATCGCTCGCGCGAGCTCTGAACCGCTCGCGACGTGCGTTTTCAAACGAATCATCGCGCGCGCGAGATGTAGTAGTCAGCACATTTCATTATCGAACGATTGAACGCGTCGAGTCGCCCGAACGCGCCGCCCGAACGCGCCGCGCGTCTCCCGCGCCACAGCCGCGCGCGCCGCCGCGTCACCGCGCGACCGGCGACGTTGAATCGTCGCGCGCGCCCGCGTGCGCGTACCTTCTTCCGACGCACCGAGCGCGCGCGACGATCGCGCGTGAACGTTGCGCGTGCGGGCGAAGTGCATGAAGATGCTGCGCGCGCTCTCCGCGCGCGCCTCCTTTGGGACGCTCCCGCGCGCGTTCGTGCCCTCGATCGAGAGCGCGGGAGCGTCGACGCCGAGGCCGAGGTCTGGGCGTGCGTACGTCCGCGCGCGCGCCGACGCGGAGCGAAGCGTGGAGACGGGAGAGGTGGAAACCACCGCGGCGTTGGTGGGGACGGTGGTCACGGCGCAGGCAAACTTTTTGCGCGTCGTCGTGAACGGTGACGCCGTCATCGGCGCGCACGCGAGGGAGCGTCGGCGGCAAGTGGAAGATGCGAAATCGCGAGCGAGTGAGGCCGGGGCGAGCTCGGACGTCGAGCGATTGGACGCGATGTTAGCCAGAGAGGATCGAAAGACGGAGCTCCTGTGCGTCGCCAGAGCGCTGTTGAAAAAGATCAAGAAGCGCGTCTTGGTCGGTGATGAGGTCGAACTGAGCGGGATCGATTGGGTGGAAAATCGAGCGGTGATTGATGACGTCGTCGGACGTCGGAGCGAGCTCGTGGAGCCGCCGATCGCGAACGTCGATCAGGCGCTGTTGGTGTTCTCGCTCGAGCAACCGCCGCTCGAGGCAAAGCAGTTGACGCGATTTTTGGTGAGCATGGAGGCGACCAAGGTGCCGTTCACCCTGGTGTTGAATAAGTGTGAGTTATTGAGTGATGAGGAAGTGGCGGATTGGAGGGCGCGATTGGAGGGCTGGGGTTACGACGCGAAGATTGTGTCCGTCGCCACCGGAAGAGGCGTGGACGAGCTCGAGGAGGCGCTGCGAGGGAAGACAACCGTCTTAGCCGGTCCGAGCGGTGTGGGCAAGAGCTCGCTCATCAATAGATTCCGATACGGGAGCGCGCTCGCGGGGGCGTTGGAAAGCGTGGAGTCGTCGACGTCGACGTCTGAGGGATCGGACAGCGAAGGCGAAGAGGCTGCGCGGTACATAACCGATTTGGACATCGAGGGTGGCGGCGGCGGAGGCGTCAAGCGCGGAAGTCGATCGATCGAGGACGAAAAGTGGCGAGTCGATCTGGCGAGTTTAGATTTACAGTCTGTCAAGGGTGTGGGCTCGAGAAGTGGACGAGGACGACACACGACGCGTCACGTCAGTCTCCTCACGCTGGACATCGGCGGTTTCCTCGCCGACACGCCGGGATTCGGCTATCCCTCTCTCGAGGGTTTCGACACCGAAAAGCTCGCGATGTGTTTCCCGGAGATTCGAAACGCGATCGAAAACTCCGACGCGCGATGTCAGTTCGCCGACTGCACGCATCGCCACGAGCCCGGATGCGCCGTCGCGGACGAGTGCTGGGAGGAGCAGCGATACGACCTCTATTACGAGCTCTTCGAGGAGGTCAAACAGATCGCTGAGAACGAGCGTCAGGCTTACTTCCGCGAATCCCGCGTGAAAACAAAGTCCGCGACCGGCAAGGACGCGACGCGCATCGAGGCCAAGCTCGAGACCAAGTCCCATCGTCGCGTCAGCCGAAGACGCGCCCGAATGGAAACCGCCGACTTGCGCAAAGCCGTCGCGCACGACGCCGACCGCGAAGACGACCGCGAAGACGATTTCGACAACGTAGAAGACGACGAACGCGTGTAATCATCACCGTAGACGCTAGAGAGATGCTTCAAACGCCCGTCCCGGCTTCCGCGCCGCGTCCGCGTCCGCATTCGCCGGCGCGTTCCAACCATGCCCCCGCGTCGACGCGTCCCCCCTTCCCGGTCGTCGGACCCGGTCGACGTTCCGTCGGACACCGTCGCGCGCCGCACCGCGGCCTCACCCGCGCCGTTACCGAGCGATGTCACGCCCGAGCGCACCGAGGCACAGATTGAACTTTTGGGAGAACTCACGCACGATTTACGCGCCGACGTCGAACTCGCGCTCGATTCCACCGCGGAAGAACGAAAGAACATCTCGTCGAGGTGTCAAGAGACCCTGGCGAAGATCCGACGGGCGCAGTGCGCGGCGTTGAGCGGGTTGGAACATCTGCGGGACAAGACGGGCGAACGAAACGTCGAGGTGAACCGCGCGCGGACGCGCGCGGGAACGATAGCGTACGAGACGGCGACGTTGGAGCGGGAGTTGCGTGATTTTGAACGAGAGGATGGAGCGAGTGGAAGCGTGAAGGGGGTGGATTTGATGGATCGGGGGGAGTACGAGGCGGACGCGCGCGCGCGCGGGTTGGACACAGAGGCGGCGGATGAGTACGATGAGATGAAGAAGAGGTTGGCGCACGAATTGATCGTCAGAAAGGAGTTAGTGGAGCGGCAAAAGGCGCTGACATTAGAGTTGGCCGAAGTAAAGGCGGCGATCGAGGAGCGGAAGAAGACGCTGAGCGGGGACCCGGGCGCGATCAAGGCGATGAAGAGACACGCGGAGGAGTTGCGAAGGAAGTTTGACTTGCCGTACACGACGACGGAGACGCTGGATAAGCAAGTGGCCGTTCTTCCTGGGCCACTTTACATCTTGTACGCGCAGTTAAAGCACGCGCAACAGATGGGAGAGGATATTCGCGTGCAAATTCTTGGTCGAGAGGCTGACGCCGAGGCGTACGAGGAGGCTATGGAAAATCCCACCGCGACGGACGACGGTAATGTCAGGGACGAGCGCGACGGTCACAAGCGTCAGCGCGGAGGTCGAGGTGGACGAGGCAGGGGAGGTAGGGGGATGAAGTTGTCGTCGTCCACGTACGCCGAGCATCCGCTTCGCATCGAGCTTGACGGTGTCGGTGGGCGAAAGGTAATCTTCAACTACCTCACCAAGTTGCACATGGTCATCGCGCGTGCGAATCCCGGAAAAGATGATGCGCTCAAAGATTTGTTCCCGGGCGATGACGGCTCGGCGACACCGAACCACGCGATTGAGATCGTCGAGTCGGACTTTACGTTTGACGAATCGTGCACAGGTTACGGCGGGAAACCGTACAAGTGGGCGCAAGACTTGGCCGGAATGAGCTTTCTCCCGTCCGTGCCACGTTCGCGCGCCATGATTGAGAAAGAAAATCTCGATGGAAAAGCGGTCACGTCCAAGGCGCGCGTCATGGACGTCTTGCGGGCGATTCGAGAGAGGTTTGATCAGAAGAAGAGTGAAGACGCGGCGCCGGGTTCGAAGAAGAGGGAACGAAAGGACTAGCGAAATGGAATACTGAAACGAGCATTCTTTGGCCTTCTCAGATATTTTTTGACCTTTTTATTACACACTAAAGCGCGAGTAAGCAGATACAGTCTTGCTTGTTGGCAGCTCCGAAGAGCGCGCGACTGGCATTAAACTAACGCACCGAACCGTTTTGTTGCCCGTCGGGCACGGAGGAACCCAGCAACTTGGTCTGAACCTTTGCAAGTTCTTCGCGCGCGATCAAGAGCTCTTCGAGCGCGGTGTGCGTCATGTTCTTTTGAACTTCGAGCTGTTGCATGAGCTCCGCCTTCTCGCCGTGCACGCTCATGAGCTTGCTCGCGAGCAGGCACTGCGAGATCTCCGTCGTGTCGTTCGGCAAGCCCGCAAAGTTATCCTCGACCAGGTATCGCGACCCGCTCGGCACGTTCCAGGACTCCGGAAGGACCAGCATGGAGTTATTCCCATCTTGCCACCGCACGACCTCGCCGTTTGCGTCCCGGACGACGTACTTGTAGAAGAAGACGCCGCCCGCCGGGAGTTCCACCGCGAGCTTCCACACCGAGCCCTCCGTCCACGTCATCGCCGCCGCCTTATCCAAATCCCAAGCTCCCAGCGCGTCGTGACTCCCGACGATGCACACGTCCTCACCGAACGTCGTGTCGTAATGCACCTCGAAATCAACCACGAGTTTCACCCCGTTCACCGCGACGTAATCCTTCGCCGTCGGCGTCGTCGCCGGCGTCGCGTCCGCATCCGCGCCGCGGAATCTTTCAATCTCCCCATCACCACCCTTCACGCGTCCGATCGCCCCCCGCGCGCGCTGACGTCTCGCTCGCGTCGTCCACGACCCTCGCGCGAGCGTCACCGCGCGCGCGATCGACGTCGGCATCGCGCGCGCGCGATCGCGATCGCGTCGACGCTATGCGATCGCTCGAATACGATTCCACGCCGTGCGCTCGACCCGATGCGCGCGCGCGCGAGGCGTCGCGGCCGTGGACGCGGGCGGGGACGGTCGGGGCCTGGGCGCGGCCCGGGGCGTGGACGTGTGCGGGCGCGCGCGGGCGCGGCGACGGGGTCGACCGCGATGACGCTGGCGTGGGAGAGGGTGTGTGTGTGAGTCGTGACTCGTGGTTTGTTTCCCGCGCAAAATAAAATGTGAAATGTGTGGCGCGCGGCGGTGCGTGCGTGTTGAAAAATTTTTACAACGCGCGGCGAACGCGCGCGCGACAAAGGCTCACGCGTGGGACGCGCGTGACGCCGACGCGGTGTCGGCGTCGGGAGGAGGTGGGCGTCGACGCCACCGGCAGCCGCCTCGACAGAATTCCTCGATGAATATGGACGCGGCGGCGAGAAAGGCAAAGGCAACCATGGCGACGACGTACGCCTCGCCGCCGTTTTCGAATAGCAGTGCCTGCGTGGAGGGAAGCGTGAGGCCGAACATGAAACCGCACATGACGAGGAAAGTCATCCTTCGCGTCTGAGTGGCGAAGAGGAGGTTGGGAAGTTTTCCCATGTAGCAACACCACTTTCCGGCGCCGCTGCCGAACGTGTTCGGCCCGAGCGCCATGAGCATCGGAGCAAAGAAGTGTAAGCCGTACGCGAGAGACATGATGATGCACAGCGGAATAATTTGACCGAAGCGCACGAGAATCTGAATCTCGCACGAGAGCATGGGTAGCACTGCGGACATCGTCGTCAGCGCGGCGCTGAAAATCGGATAGCCCACGCGAGAGACGGCGTCGACCCCACGCAAGCCGCGCGTGGTGAAGTGCGAACGAGTGAACGCCTCCGCGAGATGAAGAGAAAAGTCCACGGATATACCGACGAGAATTGTGAGCGAGATCGCCTCGACGATGCCAAACTTAACTCCGAGATAGACCAAAATGGCGATGACTGCCGAAATGATGGCCACCATGCTGAACAACGCCATGGCGGCGACAAAAATGTCGCCTGTAAAGATGAACGTCGCGAAAACGGCAAATGCGAGAGACACACCGATGGACCCCACCGTACCTCGAATAGCTTGTAGCTCAGTCGCCATGCGCACAAAGCACGGCGCGGTTATTCTCGCTTGCGCCGAAATGGTGGGCGGCGCCGTGATTGAGTCGTACGTGAACGTTTCGGCCTCAAACTCTTTCATGAAATCCAACCACGTGAAGTACTCCGTTTCGATGTTCAGCGAAGTCGCTCGAAACGGAATGGTCGTCAAAATGTTCAAGCGCATCCAGGATACTCGGTGCGTTGTGGCTCCAGTTGTGGCGTCCGTCACGTATTCTAATCCAAAAAACTTTGCGCGCGTCGGTTGTTCCTTCACCAACTTTGCAATTGTGATCACCATCTCAGTTGAATTCATCGGGAATGAATACCCGAGCGCGGAAGCCATTTGCTTGATGGCTTCCATTGGACACAAGTCCAAGATTCTCGATACGATGTCAGTCCTGTTCCTCAATGTCGTACACATCTGAAGCATTCGGATTTGTGTCGACGCGTCTCCGACGTCAAACGCATTATTAAACTTTGGAGGAGACTCCGGCGATCTCGGCGCGTACGTCGCCGACGTGTCCACGATGTCTTCGATTCCCCAAAGTATAAACGCCTTTTCAAAGTTTGTACCGGCGACTCGCACCGCGGCCTCCAGTGGCGGAGGAGGAGGCAGAGGAGGACTCGGCGGAGGTGGGGACGGCGTTGGAGGCGGGGGGGGAGACGGAGGTGGAGGACTCGGTAGTGGTGGTGGACTCGGCGGCGGTGAAGGGCTCGGCGGCGGTGGAGGACTCGGCGGCAGAGGAGGACTCGGCGGCGGCGAAGGACTCGGCGGAGGTGGAGGATTCGGCGGCAGGGGAGGACTCGGCGGCAGGGGAGGACTCGGCGGAGGGGGAGAACTCGGCGGAGGGGGAGAACTCAGAGGCGGGGGAGAACTCAGAGGCGGGGGAGAACTCAGAGGCGGGTTAGAACTCGGTGGCGGTGAAGGACTCGGAGGAGGACTCGGTGGCGGTGGAGGACTCGGTGGCGGTGGAGGACTCGGAGGAGGGCTCGGTGGAGGACTCGGCGGAGGTGGAGGACTTGGCGCAGGTGGAGGATTCGGCGGAGGTGGAGGACTCGGCGCAGGTGGAGGACTCGGCGGCGGCGAAGGACTCGGCGGTGGTGGAGAACTCGGCGGAGGTGGAGGACTCGGCGGAGGTGGAGGACTCGGTGGCGTTGGAGGATTTGGAGGTGGTGGAGGACTTGGAGGTGGTGGAGGTGGTGGAGGACTCGGCGGAGGTGGAGGACTCGGAGGAAGTGGAGGGGGAGGACTCGGCGGCGGACTCTGGCGCGCCTGACCAAGGACAATCAACCAGTACGCATCCAGCACCGCACTGTTGGACACGCCCGGTTTCCCAGCCTCGATTTCCATCATCGTCACGAGACCTGATTTACTGATCCCGGCTGGAGTTCCATAAGCAGGCATGACTTCGTCCGCCACGGGTAGACGAAACGCAGTGGTGATCGAGTCACGGAATTGCGTGTACTCTTGCGTGTTCAGAAAGCCATCGGCGTTCACGTCATACGCTTCGATGGCTTTGTCCGCCAATGTATCGACTTGCGAGAACGTGATGTCGGTCTGATTTCTCGGCGGTGGTGGCGGCGCTGGCGACGGCGGTGGAGGCGACAACGTGACGCCGTTTTGAATGAGGACGTACCCAGCATTTTGTTCGCAGCTTGCGAGAGTTACGCAATCAAACTTTTCGCCATCAAACTGGGCTTCAGTCCATTCGAGAAACAGCTGAGTGTTCGAATCCGGAGCGAAAAGCGCTGGGGGCTCACCACTCGATTGGATCCTCGTGGCGTACCAACCAGTGGCAGCCACTGCCACTAAACTAAAGACGATGAGCGCCCACTTAGCCATCAGTAAAAATGCACCGTAATTTTTCCACGAGAAAAGTCCTTTCTTCTTCGCTGGATCCCTACTGAAGGAGGGTGAAGCAAGTACGAAGCGCTCCCGAGCCTGATCAATGGCATTTCCCGCCTTGCGGCGCGCACCGTGGATGGATTGGACGACGCGCTTTGACCACTTGAAACATGACTCTCCCCGCTTCTTGACTCGATCTTGCATCTCGGCAGCGCTCACATCGTCCGTGGTGAGGCCGCCGAGGCCGCAGTACTTGTAGTCTTTTCGAGATCGCCAATACCTATCGTGAGCGGCCAAACAAGCGGGAAACCATGTAATCACGAGAAAGTAGTTCACGAGCACCATAACGGCGATGAATACGCCGAAAACTTGAACAGCTGGAATAGCGGATGCAATATTCGCCGCGAATGCCGCTCCAGATGTCATGGAAGTGACGAGCATCGCTCTTCCGGCGTGATCGTACGCGTAGTTCAAACGGGCTTCGAGAGTATCGCCACGTATGCCGACAGCCTTGCTGGCATCCTCAAACGAATCATAAAATACGAAGACGTCGTCAACGCCTATACCCAGGATGATGAAGATAGCCAAGAACTGCAGGACACTTATGGTTTTTAGCTTGAGAACGTACGCATAAAACGCGTACGCGGCTGGGAATGAGACGAGGATCTCAAGAATTCCACAAAAGGTGATGAACACTGATCCCGTGTGTACGTATGTGTAAACCACCACTAACGCAAGCCCGACGGCAATGAGCTTCGCGTCGTGTATCATGGCCTGATCTGCCGCATACTCTATGACTTCTTTTCCGCCGTAGATAACTTGGATTCCCTTTGATTCATCTACCGCATGCGCCTTTAAGTGTGGAAGTAGCGTCCCCGACATCCATTTCGTCCACGTCTTTTTGTCCACTTGACCGACTGCGAAACTCGTCCTGAATGATTTCGCATAACCCTCTTCGGCTCTGAATTCTTTGTCAACGTACATGTACAAACCTTTTGAACCCAGAGAGAGACCGACGTCTTTCGGATCCTTGAAGTACGATCCACTCGGGGTCGATTGGTAAAAGAGCGGCGCGATGGAGTTCGGCGGCGAGCACCCGTCGGGTCCCAAGTAGGCGTCATCCGGGTACTGAAAGCAAATATCCGACGCGTAACCGGGTAAATACGTTATTGATTTCTCCAGATCTAACGCAAAGTCGATGAAGTCTTTGGTTAAGACGTTCCCATCACGCGTTGACGTGTAAACCAACTGAAAACTGTACATTTTCACCGGTCTTTGCGTGCTCACATACGCGAGCAGGCGACGGCGGGCCAGACTGTAGTACGGCACCGTACCCGCGGTGAGATTCGCCTCGACCGACGAGTAGGACCCGGCCGAAATGCTACCCCCGCCGGCTGTTTTCAGCGCATCCCACATATCCATCGTCTGGTCTTCGCCGTTGTTGAGCGCGTCCATGAGTCTTGCCGTGTCGTGATCGCGAATCGAAAACCCCTCGACGTCGGTTTCCACGATTGGTGGCTTATCGATCAATGCGTAAGCTCCGACGCCGACCCAGAAAATCATGGAGAAGAACATGACGACGATTGGAAACCTCGCCGTTACGGCCATGAGCGTCGACGGTCGACACTCCCACACCTCCTTCGCCATCATGTCCCGCATATCGCAGCTCAGCATCCTATTCAACCGATTCGCATCCTTCTGCGGCATCACCCTCGAGCTCACCCTGGTCAACACGCTCGGCGGCGCATTCGCGCTCCGCGTCAGCACCTCTGAACCGCCGTAAATACGCTCCGGTTCCGCCTCTCCGTCCCCGTCCGCCGTCTCGCGCTCCACCCCCTCGTCCCTCGCGCTCTTCCCGTGAACGTCCACGTCCACCCCTCGCTCGCGTCCCATCATCACCACCGACGGCGCCGACGCTCGGACGCCATCGACGGCATCCACCCCCGCGGCGTTCGCGAACACCACGGTGACACCCGCGGGCGCGGCGTCATCTCGTCCCGACCCCGTCTTCCTGCGCGCATCCCTCGACGCCCCCGTCGTCGCGTTCGACGGAGACATTTCTTCGTCGTTCGAATCCACCTCGCCGACGCCCGATCGCGCGCGCGGGGGCGCGACAGCGCTCGATGTCTCGCGATGCGCGTCGATGCCAACGCGATTCGACCGCGATGGCGCCGTCGCGTCCTCGACGGCGTCGCGCGGGTGCGTCGGCGCGCTAGACGAGAGACGCGGGACGGTAAATTATCGCCGCGCGCGCATCGAGCGGCGCGCGGCGAGCGGGGCGCGGCGAGCGGCGAGCGGCGCGGTGTCCAGGCCGGGCGCGGAACTCGCGTGGGGCGAACGGAACGATGGGTGAATGGGACACGTGGCATTTTGTGCGGGCGCGGCGGCGTCGGCGTCGCGGCGTGCGATGGACATCGGACATCTCGGGAAGATGACGTCTAGGCTAAGAGGGCGTCGATGCGCGCGCGAGCGTCGGCGCGAATTTCCTCGCACGCGTGGGCGACGTCGGCGCGAATGAGGGATTGGAGCTCGGCGAGCGTCGCGTCGGCGTACGCGCGCGTGGACGGTACGCGGGGATCGGGTTCGGTGACGGTGGGAGACGGTGACGGCGGTTTCTCGCTCGTCGTCGTCGTCGGTACCGTTGTCGTCGATTTGGCCCGCTTACGCGCGTTGTTCTGCGCGTCGGTGGTCTCGGATGGCCCGTTCGGAGTGTCCGCGGGATCGAAGGCGAAGACATCCGGCGAGCGCGCGGATGATTTCGCCCCGACGGCGACTCTCTCCTCGCTCGCGTTCGTGCCCCGGGCATCGCCCGCGTTCTCTTTGTTTTCATCCTTGGAATCCACCGAACCGTCGTCGATTCGACACCGAATCGTCGTCTCCGTCCCGAGTTTGATCACGCTTCCGTCTCGCAGCGCCAACCCGTCGCCCTCCGCGACGGCGTCCTCTCCATCAACCTCCGTCCCATTCGAGCTCCCGACGTCCCGAATCTCCCACCTCGATCGTCCCTCGTTGAACTCGATCGTCGCGTGTCGTTGCGACACCGCGTCGTCCCCTTTAATCCACACCGCGTTGCCGCGTTTGATCCTACCAACCGCGTGCGGCTTACCCGCTCTCAACGCAAACGTCGTCCCCTCGATCGGCCCCGCGACGCACTCGAGCGTCAACGTCGGCGTATCGTCTTCATCGCTCTTCGTCAGCGCGCTCGTCGCCGCTCTCGCCGCCTTCCGTCGCGGCGGCATCGCGATTCGTCTCGTGACACCAACCGCCACTCGACGCGAATCGAATCAACGAATCGAACCTCTTCGCCCGCGCGCGACGCCTCCGGACGCGCCCCGAGCGGTCGCCGCGCGCGGGTGAATTATTTCCCAACGAATCGGCGCGGTTTCACGCCTCGAAGCACCGCGCGCGAGCGCGTCGCGCGTCGAAATGTGATGCCGCGGAGGCTGCAATAGTTCCCCTCGACGACGAGGCGCAAAACCTCAAACCGCACTCTTCGGCGTCGCACCGCTCGCGCGACGTCTCCGAGCGCTCGTAAAAGCGCGCGCGCGACGAAGAATTAAAGAGCGGTGCGAACGATCGGCGACATGGGCGCGTCGGACGATGGGTCGAGCGACGACGCGCGTTTGAAGACGATCGTGGAGCTCTGCGTCAAGGCTGAGAACGCCCCCGACGCCGAGCCCGAGCGCGCTCTGGACGCGATGCGAGCGGTGTTGAAGCACTCCGAGACGACTTTTGAGTCCTCCACGCTGTCTTCGACCGATTTCGCGCGGTGTGGGAAGATGATCAACGGATTGCGAAAGCGACACGCCGACGCGCGTGTGCGAGACGCCGCGGCGGCGGTGAAAAAGGCGTGGACGGATATGATCTTAGCGAACGCGGGCGTCGGGGAGAAAAAGGAACAAAAGGTTGCGTCCAAGGCGGAGAAGGCGACGGAGGGGGACAAAGGCGGAGAAGAGGCGCACGGGACGGATGCGCGGACGGATGTTAAGTCGCGGCTCACGCGGACGGCTGACGCGGCGAGAGATCGAACGAGAGAGATCTTTGCGGATGCGCTGGCGATGTGCATCGCGGACGGTGCGGTGGAGGCGTCAAACGCGGGTAAGTTGGCGGCGATCGCGGATCAGATCGAAGAGGCGATGACGGCGAAATGGCCGGAGGGCGGAAAGGATTACAAGGCCAAGGTTCGACAGCTCGCGTTTAACATGCGAGATCCGAAGAACCCGGATTTGCGCACGAATTTAGCCATGGGAGAGATTAGCGCTGATGTTCTCATAGATCTCACCCCGGAGGAGCTGGGATCGAACGAGCGCCGGCAGGCGAATGAAAAGATTCGCGAGTTTGCAGAGTGGGAGGCGGTGCGCGGACAGCAACAAGAGGCGAGCACGGACGCGTTCAAGTGCGGGAAGTGCAAGCAACGCAAGTGCACGTATTATCAATTGCAGACGAGAAGCGCTGATGAACCGATGACTACTTTCGTGACTTGCGTAAACTGTGGGAACCGCTGGAAGTTCTGCTAACGCTCTTTGAGCGATGCGACGTATTTACTTTGTATCACAAATAAAAAATGTTGAATCAAGTTCCGTTTGCTATTTCGGAAGAGTCTTTTCGAGAATCTCGTTCAGTCTCGCGAGCATTGCCCGCGGGTCATCCAACGAACCCGCGGCGACGCGCGCATTGTCGAAAATTTGCTCAGCCACGAGGGCGGCCAACCGACGCGTGTCAGCGTCCGAGCTCGAGCGCGCCGCATTGACGCGACGAATCATCTCATGCTTCGGGTTGAGCTCCAACGTGAGCATAGAAAAGTCGTTCGCCATCTCCGCCAACTTCTTGCTCGCGGCGGCGTCGCTAGCCATCGTTTGAACCATGCGGTATCGACGCATAGCTTCGGGTTCATGACCAGAGAGGATCGCAGGCGAACTCGCGAGTCGAGTGCTCATTTTCACCTCTTTGAGCTTGCCTCCGAGAGCGTCGTCGCCGAACCACTTGCACAGGTCGGCGCTCGCGCTCTCATCGAGCGCTTCTTCGGCATCCTCTGACTTTTCATCGACCTCGAGATTCGCCGCCTCGACGCTGATCAAATCCTTGCCCGCGACTTTCATCAAGTGTTGCATGACAAACTCGTCAATGTGCGCATACAGGAAGAGGACTTCGTACCCTCGAGATTTCGCAGCCTCCAAGTACGGCGACGATTCCGCCTGCTGTCGGCTCGGAGCGACGATGTAATACACGTTCTGTTGCGACTCGGGCATGCGGTTCGCGTAGTCACGCAACGACGTCAACTTACCCGCCTCGGTGGCGCTCGATTCATACCGAAGCAACTCAGCGAGCTCTTGCTTGTACGCGTACTCCGAGCACACGCCCTCTTTCAGGAAGAATCCCAGATTGGCGAACCACTTGTTATATTTCTCCGGTTCCTTCTTTGCCTTTTCGTCCAAAAACTTTAGCACGCGCTTCGCCATTATTTGTCCGAGCCGCAGGACGAGCATGGAATCTTGAAGCGACTCGCGCGAAATGTTCAGAGGAATGTCTTCGCAATCGATCACGCCGCGGACGAAACGCAAAAACGGCGGGAGTAATCGCTCCGTGTTCTGTTGAATGAGCACTCTTCGCGCGTATAGACTCACGCCCGAGCTCGACTGCCCACCGATCCCGGCCAAGCGCTCGGGGTTCTCCGCGGGAAAATATAACAAGCTTCGAATCGTCATCGGCGCGTCCGCCTTGAAAGACATACGAAACGGCGGCATATCGCTCGCGCCGCTCATCAATCGATAAAACGCGATGGATTCTTCATCGGTGAGATCCTTTTCATCCTTGAGCCACAGCGCACCGACGTCGTTCATGCGGTTGCCGTTCAACAAGATTGGAAATCCCACAAAGGAGCTGTACTTTTTCAGCACCGTCTCCATCCCCCACTTGGAGACGAGATGCTTCTGGTCCTTCTTGATGTGCATCAGAATCTTCGTACCACGCGCGGGTGCGCCGTCGCTCTCCGTCGCCTCCTCGATCGTAAACGTACCGTCGCCCATCGAGCTCCACTTCCACGCCTTGCCATCCCCGCGCGCGCCGGCGCTCGAAATCACCTCAACCTTATCGCTCACCATGAAGCTCGCGTAGAACCCGACGCCAAACTTCCCGATGATATTCGCCGCCGCCTCCTCATTCGTCCCATCCAACCCCTCCAAGAACGCCTTACTCCCGCTCTTCGCGATCGTCCCCAGATTCTCCACCAACTCCTCTCGCGTCATCCCGCGTCCGTCGTCTTCAATCGCGAGCGTCTTCCCATCCGCGTCATCCGTCGTGATCCGAATCTCCAACCGCCCAGGATCTTCCCCACGCGCCAACGCGTCGTGTCTCGCCCGCTCCAACGCATCGCTCGCGTTACTCACGAGCTCTCGCGCGAACACCTCGCGCTCGGCGTACAAGGAATTGGTGACAATGTCCAGCAATTTTCTCGTCTCTGCCTTGAATCCAATCGTCTCCGACGCCACCGTCCGCGCGGTCCCTCGCGGGCGCGTGCGATGCCACGACGTCGTCCGCGTCGTCGGCACCGTCCCTCGTCCGGACGCGCGCGCGCGGGCGCCGTCGGCGGCGTCGATGATCGCACGCGCGCGTCGCGAGCCTTCATCGGGCGTCGATGCCCACGCGTGCGTCGCGCGCGCGCGCGCGGACGACCCACGCGCGCACGCCGCGACGACGGACGTTCGCGCCCGTCGAAGCGCGCGGCGGAGCATCGCGGTGCGCGGTGCGCGGCGAGGAATGGCGATGCGATGCGATGGCGATGCGATGGCGACGTGAATCGACGCCCGCGTCGACGGCGACGCGATCGACGACCACGGCGCGCGGCGACGGAGTTAGATGGATGAAAATTATGCGCGTCGAATCACCGCGGCGCGCGCGCGAACGGGGCGCGCGCGGTGACGGAGGATCGCGGGACACGCGGGACGAGACGACGCGGGCGATGCCGGGGGATGGGTGATTGCGCGACGCGCGACGCCCGCGACGATCGCGCGCGGTCATGGGCGATGGTGACGGTGCGACGGACGCGGACGACGTCGAGCGCGCGCGCGCGCGGACGGGAGGCGACGGAGAGACGGTGGAAACGGTGGAAACGGTGATGAGTAAGAATGCGCGGAAACGCGCGGAGAAACGTGCGCGCAAGGAACGGATGCGAGCGACGCGAAAGGCGGATGAGCGCGAGGAGAAGCGCGCGCGCGCGGAACGCGTCAAGGCTGCGTTCCACGCGCGAGTGGACGCGATGACGGAGGAGGAGCGGGTGGCGTTTTTGCGACGTCGGGCGGAAAAGTTGGCGGCGCACGCGGAGGAACACAAGAAGAAAAAGGAGGCGCGGGCGCGGCAGTTGGCGTCGGCGTACGATTTATTGATCGATTGTGAGTTCGCGGACGTCATGTCGAGGGAAAAGGAGTGGGGGTCGCTGTGTCATCAGTTGAAGTTTGTGTACGAGCGCAACTGTAAGACGACGAAACCGTTTCGGTTGACGTTCACGGGCGTCTCGAGCGGAGAGGATTTCGGGAGAGAGCTTCGACGGATAATAGGTGGTTTCGATAATTGGCACGTTATTCGACGGGAGGGGACGATCGCGGACGCGATGAAGGAGGAGGGATCGACGCTCGGCGCGTCCATCGTGTACCTCACCGCCGACAGCGAGAACGAGTTGTCCACCATCGAGGAGGGTACGACGTACGTCATAGGTGGGTTCATCGATCGAAACCGAAATAAAGGTTTGACCCTGAACAAGGCGCGCGAGCTCGGCGTCGCCCACGCGCGTTTACCCATATCGGAGCACCTCAAGATGCGCGGCACCGCCATCTTGACGGTGAACCAAACCTCCGACGTGCTCACCTCCTTCCTCGAGCGCGGTGATTGGGGCCAAGCCCTCGAGGCGGTGGTACCGATGCGTAAAGTTTCCCAGGAAGTCGCGCCCCGGACGACGACGACGACGACGACGACGACGACGGCGACGGCGACGACGACGACGACGACGACGACGTCGGGCGAATGAGCGCGCGAACGCGCGCGCGCGCCGCCCCGTACTCCGCGCGCGCCGCCCGCCACCCTAGTCCACGGCGACGATGCATCGACGACGAAGCCATCACACCGACGCCCATCGACGCCCCGTCTCCATCCCCACCGCGCGCGTCACCCCTCGGTCGACGACGGCGTCATCGGCACCGGTCGCGCGTTCACCGCCGTCGCCACGCTCGGGCGCGTCGCCCACGCGCGCGCGTCCACCGCGCGACGTCGCGCGTCGTCCACCACCGCGTCGTCCGCCGTCGAGCGCGCGCGCGCGGTCGCCGCGCGCGCGCGAGGGGCGATGAATCGCCCGCGCGCGCGCGCCAACGCCCTGCGCAACGCGCGACACTCGCGCGCGCGCCGTCGCAGCGCGCGACGGGCGCGACGGAGCGCCGCGTCGGCGACGCGCGCGATCGTCACCGCGTCGTCGTCCGAGGACGACATCGCGCCCGTCGCGCGTCGCGCGGTGGGGCGACGAACGATTTGAATCCCATCGTCGCGACGATCGGATTCATCGACGATGATCCTCGCGCGAGGGCTCCACGGCGCGTCGATCGGGACGAGACGAGGGGGGTGGGTGGGGGAATTTTGGACGCGTCGATCGGGGCGCGCGGGAGGTCGGGCGCGCGGTCGCGCGCGCGGACGAGGGGGGATCGGTGATGATTCGCAAAGTGCTGACGCGGATGATGATGATGATGACGACGACGACGACGACGACGACGACGACGTCCCGCGCGGGGTGGCGCTCACGGGCGAACAGCGTCGCATCGCCGCGATCGCGTTGGACGCGCTCTACGCGCGGGAGGCGGAGGAGGGGATGGGGGACGAGCGCGAGCGGACGCGCGCGACGCGCCTGCGGATGATTCTGGGCGAGGCGGTGGCGCGCGCGAGACGGACGTGCGAGGGAGACGAACGCGCGAACGCGTGCGTCGAGGCGTGGGAAGAGGTGAACGAGATCCGGGACGCGGCGAATCGAGCGGGCGTGGGCGCGATGGGTGGGATGGATTCGGGAGGGTGGGCGCGACGCGACGACGCGGAGGCGCGCGGCGACGACGCGACGCGGCGAGCCGAGGCGGCGGAGATGCGAGCGCGTTTGAGAAAGGATCCGCTCATGGGAGCGCAGCCGTGCTCGCGGTTGGGTGAGTGTACCGTGGCGGAGGGCACGCTCGAGGCGCGCGGACGTTTCGCGCGGGCGTTCGACGAGGAAGAGGACGGGCGAAGCGCGGTGGATCCAAAGCGAATCGAAGAAGCGGTGCGGCGCGCGATGAAATTGTGCGCGAGCGGATCATCCGCCGAGTGCTCGCTCGCGTGGGAGGAGGTGGAGGATCTTTCAAACTGGGGAGGTAAGCGTGGACGCACGGGGGATTGATTGAATTCGTTGAAGCAAATAGGGATTTGTAGAAATGTACCGGTATCGCACTACGAGACGTCGTCACATCTTGGCGACGTGCTCGGTGATGAGCTTGTGGAGCTCCTTCGCGTCGCTCTCCTTCCCGAAGCGCAAGTATACCAGAGTCTTCTGATTGTCTTCTTCCGCGTTGAACGCGGTGAACATCAGCCCGTTGGCCGTCTTACTTCCGTCCTTATTATTTTTCTCCGTCAACGTCGCAGACATCTTGGCGTACAAACCGGCGTTCAGGACAGCCTTTCCGATGGTGTTTCGCATGAGCACGCGGCATCTGTTCACCCCGCCCTCGCCTGGGGATTTTTCACGCCTAAATTCAAAGCTATTCACCCCGCGGTCGGCCCAGTTGGGCTCCGACGCGTCCTTCTTGGTATGGAATTTCACCTTGCCGACGCGCAAGAGCACCGTCTCGTGTTCATCCTCCGTCGCCTCGTTCGCCTTGTACGACGGCGAACTCGGACGAGGCGGTTCGTCCTCATCATCCTCATCCTCACCCTTCGCCCCACCGGCGACCGCACCGACGCCGCCGCCCGGGGCCACCGGCAAGGCGCCGAAAATCGAACCCGCCGGCGGCGCCGTCGCGAACAACGACCCCCCGCCCGAATTCGCCGCGCCAAAGATGGACCCACCCCCCCCGAACGGGTTCGCCCCCCCCGCGATCGCCGTCGCCGTCGTCGCCGCCGGTTTCGCCGTCGCCCCGTCCGCCGCGTCCGCCGCGTCCGTCTCCAGCACGTCCCGAAACGTTCCCTACGCGCGCGCCGTCTCCCGTCAGTCCTCCGTCCACCGCCACCGCTCACCGCGCGCGCACCTTTATCGAATCCAAATGTTTCAGGTAATCCTCGCACCCGCGTCGCCACGACGTCAACGGGTGCTCCACCGCGCGTCGCGCGACCCACGACGCGAACTGCGCGTTGAGCGCCTCGAGCGTGCCCCTGCACTCCGCCTCACGCCCCGCGCGCGCGCCCGGGGCCTCGCCCGCGGGCTCGGGCGTCGTCTCTTCCCCTCGGTGCGGTCGCTTCGCCATGCGCGGCGTCGCGGCGGGCGTCACGGCGTCGCGCGCGCGCGATCGATCGATCGTTCGTCGAGCGTGGCCGCGCCTTTGGGGTTTTTTGTCACCGGTGGATGTGCCTTTGGATTTTGTACGTCACCGGTGGATGTGCCTTTGGATTTTTTACGTCACCGGTACACGTGCCGCGCCTTTGGGTTTTTTGTCACCGGTGGACACATCCTTTGGTTTTTGTACGTCACCGGTGGATGTGCCTTTGGATTTTTTACGTCACCGGTACACGCCCCCGAGCGCCGAACGCCAAATGCACGGCGACGGATCGCGACGCGCGCGATGGCGTCCCACGCGTCGCCGTCGATCGCGCGCGCGTCGCGCGGGGCCGACCGCGGACGCGCGAACGAGCGCGCGTCCGCGCGCGCGGGGAAACGCGGAAAACGCGCGACGACGCGGTCGCGGCGGCCATCGGCGCCGCCGGGACGGGACGGACGACCGCCGACGACGAATTCGACGTCAGAGGGCGATGACGACGCCGATCCCGAGGCGCCGCTGGGACGGCGATCGCGGCGACCGGTGTTGCGCGTCGGTGCGCGCGCGCAGACGCTGCCGCCGCCGGAGGGACGACACGTGAGCGAAAAGAGGATGAAGAAGGTTGCGCTGGAGGGAGCGGCGCGACGGGCGGCGGACGCGCCGGCGGCGGATGGCGTCGCGGAGGTGGCGCTGATCGGACGGTCGAACGTTGGGAAGTCGTCGTTGTTGAATTTGGTGACGTTTGGGGCGGGGGCGGCGGTGGTGAGCGCGAAACCGGGGACGACGTGTAGCATGAATCACTACTCGGTGGACGGACGGTGGCGGCTGGTGGATCTCCCGGGATACGGCTACGCGGAGGCCGAACCGGGGGAGATCGAGGCGTGGGACGCGTTTACGAAGGAATACTTTGCGACGAGGGAAAATCTTGCCGGGGTTTTGTTGCTCATCGATGCGAGCGTGCCGCCGACGGCGAACGACGAGAAGTACGCGAATTGGCTCATCGAAAACGAGACGCCGTTCACGATCGTCTTCACCAAGTGCGATCGCGATAAACCCAAAGGTCCGAGCGTGGAGGATAACAAAGCGGCTTTCAGGGCCAAGCTCGAAGAGCGTTGGCATCGATTGCCGTCGATGATCTCCACGAGCAGCGTCACGACGCAGGGTCGAGACGAGGTGCTCAAATTTATCAGTAGTTTAATTGTGTATCGACGCATGCGCAACGAAGAGCGCAAAAAGGCGAAGCGGCAAGAGAAGGTAAAGGCGATGAAAGAGGAGCGCTACGAAGCCAAGGGCGAGGCGATGCGTAAGGCTCGAGGCGGAAAACCTGCGAAGAAACCGGTTTCGAAAGTAGAGGAAGAGTGGGACGACGAAGAAGAATTAGACGAAGACTGGGACGACGAGTCTTCGTTCACGGTCAACGCGAAGGGTAAAGGAGCGAAGACGATTCAAGACATGATTCGCGCCGAGCTCGAGGAGATCAATCGCGAGGGGCGCTGATTTGTGCGAACGCACGCGTGTAATTGTATGAACACTTTTTCCATTGCAGACTTCACGGGAGCTTCTCGAGCAAATAATGCGAAATGTACCACTCGTTGCCGTTATTGTAGTTGAACAGCTCAGAGCACGACAGAAAGAAGAGACGCCAGTACACGTACCACTTCGTTCGGTTCTCGCGACCGTACGTCTCGTCCAGGATGGGTGCAACCAAACCTTTCTTGTAGTTTGCATCCAACAATTTCAGCCAATCCTCGCACGTGCGAGAGTAGTGCTTCCCGTTCACTCGCCATTGGCGCTTGAGGTGGAGCTTTCGCGCAAAGTACGCGAACATTCTATCCGTTGGCATCGTCCCTCCCGAGAAGAAGTACTTGCTCATCCAATCCGTCTCGTCTTCGACGTCGTAATGGAACGGGTAGTACGCGTGACAGAAAATGTGCACAAACATCTTCCCGCCAACCTTCAACCACTGCTCGCAACGAGCGAACAGGACGTCGTAGTTCTTCATATGCTCGAACATTTCGATCGACATGATTCGATCGTACGTCCCCGCGTTCGGCGGCGTGAAATCGTTCACATCCTTTGTGATAATCTCGAGGTTCTTCAACCCGAGCTCGCGCGCCTTGGCGTCGATGTGTTCCTTCTGCGTCCTCGAGTTCGACACCCCGACCACCTTTGAGTTCGGGTACTTCTCCGCCAAGAACAACGACAGCGATCCCCATCCACATCCGAGCTCTAAGATGGACATTCCATCACTCAACTCTGCCCTCTCCGCGTATTTCTCCAACATCGCCGTCTCCGCCTCGTCCAGCGTCGTCCGCTTCAAATCCTCGTACAAGCAGCACGAGTACTTCTTCCGCCCACCGAGGCACAGATCGTAAAACGCCGTCGGCACCTCGTAGTGCTGTTCGTTCGCCGCCGCCGTCTCGATCGCGATCTTCGATCTCGAGCGCAAATCTTCGATGAATTCCATCTCTCGCTCCATCGCATCCTCCACGTCGTCAAACGTCCGTAAACACTTATTCCTCAGGTTTCTCCGTATCCCCGCCCGCAAGATCGCGTCCGGGACCGCGTTGCGCTCGACGAGCGACATGAACGCGGCGTACGGCGTCATGGCGTCCCGCGACGTGCGGTCTCGCACAATGACGTCACGCGATGCACTTTTTGCTCGCGACGCCATCGCGACGCCGTCGCGACGCCACCGCCCGTCGCGACGCCATCGCGACGCCGAGGCACGCGAGAAGACGCGATCGATCGACCACGGCGCGCGCGCGATGGACCGCGCGCCGGGAACGACGGTCGAGGACGCGGTTGAACCTCTGAGCTTTTTCTGTTGGAACGCCGATGGATTGACGAGAAAGTTGAAACGCGACGACGGACGACCGTCGAGGGCGGCGATGGCGCTCCGGGAGGCGATCGCGAAGCGCGCGCCGGATGTGATCGCGCTGCAGGAGGTGTGGTTGAAGGCGGCGGGTGGAGGGAAGGAGGGAGCTGGGACGCGGTGCGGACGCGACGAATGGCGAACGCGCGACGAACGCGCGAGCGACGACGGGAAGCGTGGACGACTGACGACGACGCGCGTGACGATGGGTAGGGATCACACGAAAATGTCGGATGAGGGTAAGGTGTACGCGGAGGATAAGGCGGTGATGGAGAAGATGCTGGGAGGGTATCCGTTTCGAGAGTACGACGCGCACTTTTGCCTGGCGGGGGCGAAGCGATATGGGACGTGCGTATTGGTGAAGAAGGCGTTGAAAAAGCCGATTCGCGTCGCGCGAACGTTGGCGTTGGACGGCACGGACGCGTCACCGGACGATATAGATACGAACGAGGGACGGGTGTTGCTACTGGAGTACGAAAAGGTCATCGTGTTGAACACGTACGTGCCGCACAACGGCGGGAACCCAGAGCGGTGGGAGAAGCGGGCGATGTGGGACTTCCGAGTGAAGCGCTTCTTGACGCATTACAAGGGTAAGAAGGACGTGATTTGGCTCGGTGATCTCAACTGCGCGCATCGAGATCTCGATGTCGCACCGAGTCCGGAACAGTTTATCGGCGTCGGCGGATTCACTGTTCCAGAACGTCAACGTTTCACGGACATTTTATCCACGAGTGATATGGTCGACGCCTACCGAGCGCTACACGGGGACAGACAGACTTTTACGTGGAGAGGTATTGGAATGGGGTCGGGGTTGGCAATGCGTCTGGATTACTTCATCGTGCCGAGAACGTTCGTTCATCGACTCAAATCGTGCGAAACGTCCACGGACCGCTTCGACGACGCGGTCGCTCGCGAGCGACCGATATCATGTTTTTTTGGCTCAGACCACTGCGCTCTGTACCTCACTCTGCACAAACGCGATGCGAGCGACGCCGAGAAACCATCGGAGACGAAGGCGGTGAAAAAAGATGAAGCCGACGAGGAGCGAGAACCAAAACGAGCGAAAGCAAACGAACCGATCGAAGTCATCACGCTCACGCCCTGAGCATCCATCACTTGATTATTAGAACTATCACATCATCGTCGCATCGCGACGGCCGCTGTAACGCTAGATTCATAAATATCTTTCGCTTCGTCGCTCCAACCGTCCCGCGTCCCGCCTCCGCACTCGCCGTCGCGCACCGTCGCGCGTCACATGCCACGATCGCCCGGAGAGTCCAATCCGGTGTTCGTCACCGTCGGCACCACCTCGTTCGACGCCCTCATCGAGGCTCTGGACTCCGAACGAACCGTCAAAGTCCTCGAACAAAGAGGATTCACAGAGTTGACGCTGCAGATCGGTCGAGGGACGTACGCGCCGACGACGCTGCGCACGCGTGGTGCGTTTAAAGTGCGCGTGGTGGAGTATCTGCCGAGTATCGAACGGGAGATCGCTCGCGCGGGTCTGGTGATCTCGCACGCGGGCGCGGGGTCGGTGTTCGAGACGCTGCGGAGCGGGACGCCGCTGCTCGTGGTGGTGAACGAGCGGTTGATGGATAATCATCAGGTGGAGCTCGCGGAGGAGCTCGCGGAGCGTGGGTGTTTGAGATGGTGCGTCGCGGATGGGATTTTTGGAGCGATCGAGGCGTTGGAGTTGGACGGGAGCGGGTTCGCTCGGAAGGCGTACGACCCGGGTGAGTGTTCGATCAAGGAGCGGCTGGAGGAACTACTCTTCTAACGTATTACTTTGTGTTTAGCTACTAGCGCTCGTGATTTAGTGTACAATAAAGTGATCAGAGAACGATCGGTGCGCTGTCTGATAGCGCCCGATTGGCGAAATCCAACGCGTCGTGCGCGAGCGGAATGACCCAGCCCTCGCGGATCAAAAAGTCAATTGCTCTACCAAGCACAGGAGAAGAGCGCAGCGTCTTTGCGCATCCGACGATGACGAGCTTCTTCTTTGCGCGCGTGATGGCGACGTTAAGGCGGCGTTCATCGTTCAGCAGCTCGCCCGCGAGCGCTTCTTCGTTCGAACGCACGAAAGAGATACAAATGGCATCCATATCGCGGCCTTGCGCTCGATCAATCGTAAGCGCCTCGACGCCCCTCAATGCTGGGTATCCGCTCAAACTAGCTTGCATGGCGTCCACCTGCGCGTTGAACGGCGAGAGCGTGCATATGTTTTCGGCGTCGACGCCGTGCGTGACGAAGGCTCCCACGACGGTGAGTACCAAACTCAACTCTGCCTCATTGATTGTCGGCGGCGGCGTCTCGTGAGCAGCGGCGCCGAGAGCGCTCGTGTCAAGGAAAACAAAGTGATTCATCGGATCCATGGCGTGCAGAAGCCACTGCGGTGCGGATGCATACATTCCTCTTGGTGCTTCGAGAGCGAGCATTTGTCTCGCGACGACCTCAGTGCCACTGCGCAACTTTCCATCGTACGTCAAAAGATTTGGCAACCGCGTCAGTGGCTCAGCCATGCGGTACTGCAACGACAGGTGCGTGACGATGTCTGGATGTGCCTCGCACAGTTGAGCAAACAGCGATTTGTTTAATCCTCTCTCGGCCGCTTTCTTCGACACCACGAGCGGAGGAAGTTGATGGTGATCACCGACGAGCACGAATGACTTTGCCATGAAGAGAGGAGGCAGAATGTTCGGGAGCGTGATCTGCCCGGATTCATCAATGAGGACGACATCGTACATCTTTCGCTGGAAGAACGCGTGACCCATGGCGTAACACGTTGCGCCGACGATTTTCGCTCGCTCCGATATTTTACGCATATCGTCCGAGACGGTGCAGCTCCAGCGCTCTGAGCCGAGCATGTAAGGCTGCACCGTGGGGGAAATCTTTTGCTCTTCGCCGACGCGCAAAAAGTCCGTGATGCCGACGTCTGGCAATCTGGAGAGAATGTTATCGATAGCGCTGTGTGTATGTGACGTGACCAGAATCGACTTTCCTTGAGCACGAAGTGCTTTAATAGCGACCACGAGTGTCGCCGTTTTACCAGCGCCAGGATATCCGAGAACCAACGAGTAGTCCTCAGCAGTGATGATCTTTTCGACGGCGGAAACTTGTTCAGCGTTGAGAGGAAACTTGACATCCTTCAAAGCAACCTCCATAGTTTGCTTGTGCTCGCCCAGTTGAGAGAAAACTGGGCGTTGTAGATCAATGATACGTCGACGATTGATTTGTGCGCGCTCTGTAGCGTAGAACAAGGCGAGCAAGTTTCCACGCGACCTCGCAGCCATCGTCAGAGAGGCGCCGTCTTTATCGATTCTCCAGAGTGCGTCCGGTTCACATGATCCAGGTAATGGTTCAAGTTTTTCGTTCGGATTATTTATGCGAAGCGGTCGCTCAGTGGACATGAGAATATGAGTTTCTTCTCCGGGACCCGCGAGCACGTTTTGGATTTGTGCGCGACAAATTGTTGTCGCACCGTTGTTTGTGCTCAAGACAACGCGATCACGAATCGCGATCCTCTTGACAATGCTCCTTGGAGTGTTCGGAGACGGTCGAAACATGTAATAGTAAAGGTCATCACCTTTAGAGAGATCGTCCGTCACTTCCCGAACGAAAGATATCTCAGAAACGGCAAATCCATCGCGTTGATTCACCAGCTCCACAGGGAGCCAAGGAGTGGCTCGCTTTCGGAGTAACTCCGATGACTCCAAATCGATGAGATGGAGCCAGTGACGAAGCGTATCATCGTACTTTTTGTTTAAATGCGAAGTACACGTCTCGAACAAATCTCCGAGCTCGCTCGTACCGCTGTTTCCTCCTTCGAGCGCGCGATGCAGGGTGAAACAATCGTCGCGCGCAAAGCACCTCTCACACCATCCTTGTGGAGTCATTTCCGGCAGCTGACCGTTTCCCAATCGAGCTTTTCCGTGCGGTGCGATTGGCACGTCTCGTTTGACTGCTGCCTCAGGTGTGGGACGAAGCGAAACCGCCAGCTTGTTGCGTTGCAGGATCAAAAGTCCTAAATCCTTAGCGCTCAATGGAACCAGTTTACTCTCGCCCTCGGGGTCGTGATCGCTATTGGTGTAGTGCAACACTCCGAAAGGAGAGACGGTTCCGTAGCGCTCACCAATCATGAGATTATACAGTTGCACCTGCGCGTTGTGTCCGCAGTCTCTCCACTTCCCCGTCTTCAGCTCAAGAGGTACAACGCTCGGCTTTGGAAGATCCGTGTTGCGCTCACGCACCACTGCGCTCGCAACGCCGTCTAGGATACCTTTCAGACCCAGCTTCGGGGCCCATATGAGCTCTTCGATGTCCACGACTTCATCTACTTGAACCGTCCCTTTATCAGGAACTTCAACGCCCACCGTGCATTTATTTCGTAACTTGTCAATCGCCGCCTTCCGATTCATTCGCACCAATGCGTTCGTGTCCGGCGTGGCGCGCGGAAGCTTTGTCACGCGCGAAAGCGCCGCGAGCTTGTGAGCCCATCGTTGCACACCGGGGATGGTGTTATCGATTCTCTGCTTTAACTTTTGCTCGCTGTAATCAATTTCGAATATTGCGTTCGTGGATGACTTGATCATACGCTCAACCGTGACTTCCATGGGCTCCGGATTCCTACCGGCAGCAGACAGGATCGCCTTTTCAGCAAGCTCGTGCATAATGGTACCGACCGTGGCGGCTTCACTCGCATCGCCCCATGTTTGCTGAACTTGCTGCTGCAGTACCGTCTGCCGCAGACACGTAAAACTCCCACCGATGGTCGTCGCACTAATCAAATACGCAGGGAAAAGAATCAGCATGATTGGGCTTCCTTCCGTGATTTCCACTACGTCCTTGCCCGCGAGCTCTCGTGCCGTCTCGTCGAGGCCGTAAAGACTTACGGAATCGCCCTCGGATACGGGAGTTTCTCGCCATGCACCCTTCAGCAGAACCTTCTTAGCCTCTCCGTTCGGTCTATGCAAATCTAACGAATCAACTAATCCTGGACGACATGACTCGAAGTGCTTGATCATCCAGGTACCTAGAATTTCAGTTTCTCTGCGCGCCACTTCCAGCTCGAGCTCAATTGCTCGTAAAAATTCAATGTCGCCGTCGTCGTAGACCTCATCTATGTGCTCTACTTTTACTTCAGTCTTCGACTCGGTCTTCACCTCGGTCTTCACTTCTACCGGCGATTGTTGAGTTGAGCGCGCGCGAGCTTCTGAAGTCGCGGTGGCGTGACGCGTGGTTTGCCTTGGCGATCTCCTGGGCGATGTAGGCACCGATGCGTTCCGCTGCTCAATTACTCGCTCCGCCTCGGTGACGGCGGCGTACAGATCTTCGTCATCGTCGTCGTCATCGATCAGCGTGCCCTCAGAAGCGATCGCGGGTTCTTTACTCGCCTGCGTCGTCTGCGCCGAGCACGCCTTTGCCTTTTCGACGAGCGTCACCGCGTCCAGAAGTGCCTGACTATCGTCCTCGTTATCGCTCCCCCACGCGACGTCCGGCGCCAGGTTCTCTCGTGATGTCGTCTTGGTCTCTTCGTGCTTCGCCGCGCGCGCGACGGCGGTTTCAATCGCGCTCGGCGCCGCCTCTTCGTGACCTCGCGCGCGCTCTTTATCCAAATTCATCAACAACTCTTCCAACACGTCCTCGCTTCGCCGTCCCGTCGCCCCACGCCGACTGTACCTCCTACCCTCACGCGATTTCGCCCCTCCGTCCCCGTCCCAATCCTCGGGCGAACCGATCGGGAGCGACGGTCTCGCCGGTTCATCCTTCGAGTCTCGTCTCTTCGCGCGCTTTCCGTCCCCACCGTCGTTCCCGTGGAGCCACGTCGCTAACTCGCTCTCGTTCCCTCGCGCCCCATCCCCCCCCGCGCTCCCATCGCCCCCCCCGACGTCGCCCGCGCGAAACAACCGACGCAACGCCTCGTTTCGCGCCCATCCGTCCCGCGCGCGTCCTCGCGCCTCCATCGCCGCCTCATCCTCCGCCTCAACCGCGCGCGCGCCCGCGTCACGCGCGGTGGTCGACCCCGTCGACGCCGCCGCGTACGTCACGCGCTCGCGCTGCGACGAGACCGGGGCGTCGTCATCCGCCATCGCGCGCGTCCGTCGTCGTCGCGATCGCATCGCCGCCGCCCGGTGCGTCGCCGCGCGCGCGAGAACGCGAGACCGCGCGCGCGGGCGACGGGGGTCGACGGCCGATCGACGCGCGCGCGAGTGGCGATCGGCGACGACGGGGGCGCGGCGTCGGGGCACGGCGTCGCGCGATGCCGACCGCAGCTGTCGGTGGGTTCAAATGTACAGTTTCAATTGTACGACGTAAACTAGGGTTGAACGCTAGGGTTTAGCGACGACCCCGCACTTCGCGACGCCGACGCCGACCATGGCGACGAGCGCGAGCGCTGGACAGGTCCTCGGAAGCGTCGCCGCGATGTGCGCCGCCGGTGGGGCGATGTACTACGCCATCAACGTCGCGCGCGTGTTCGGAGGTGCGTCGTCGACGACGACGCGGACGCCGATGGAGGGGTGCGCGGGTGATCGTGAAGCGATCGAGACTGACGACGACGACGGCGACGACGCGTTCGAACGCGCAGGAGAGACGCCGAGCACGATAAACAAGGAGTGGGCGCAAGCGACGGCGGCGCGAGCGAAGTCGTGGCCGAGGGAGGGGAGCGAGACGCCGATCGCGCTGGACCCGATGTCGGGGGCGCGCCGCGCGTGAAGGCAAAGCGAGACCGAGTAGCGAGCGCGACGACGGTGGACGTGTAAATCAAACCCAGAAGAGTTTTCAATCGTGCGTGCGCGTGATATTCGCTAGACGGGCTACGGTGGTGGTTAAAAGAACGACGCGCGACGCGACGGTTTACATGCGCACGAATTGGCGCGAGTCACCCTCAGACTTGCGACCGTAAGGGTTCTCCGCGCTAAATTTGTGACCCGTTCCTTTTTGACGACGATAATCGCTCCCGGGTCCGCCCTCGCCTCGAGATTTCGTTCGCCCCTTGCTCGCCTTGGAATCGAGATTCAACTGCACCTTTGGAGGCTTGTGGAAACCGAAGGAGCTCGCCACGGCGACGAGGTTGAGCGAGTGCACGTTGTACACATCCTTGAGCGTGTGCGAGTTGTACGCCAAGATGTACGCCCGGTACGCGTCTCGCGCGCTCGTGTGAAGGTAGTAGTTCTTTTCTACCAGTTTTTCCAGCTGGCTCTGCACGTTTGCGATCTTCTTGGTCGGGAACTCGTACTCGTTTAGGGGCACCTTGGCCGCCTTGAGATATTTGAGAAACGCCAACTCCTCGGGGATGAGGAAGAGCAGAGCTCGACCCTTACCGTCCGTTCCGCGTGCGGTACGACCGACTCTATGAATATACTCCTTCGGATCGTCCGGTGGATCGTACTGGATGATCCAATCTACCGCCGGAATATCCAAACCTCTCGCGGCGACGTCGGTGCACAATAAAATGCCTCGCTCCGCTTTGCAGAACTCAAAAAACGTCGTCGTGCGTCTCTGTTGCTTCTGCTTCCCATGAATATCACTCACGGGAATGTCGATGTAATTCAACAGCTCGGCGTGGTACTTGACCGAGTTGCAAGATGAGAAGAAGACCATGATTTTCTTCTTCAAGTTTTTCTTCAAAAAGGTAAACAACAACAAAAATCTTTGCTCACTCGGAACGACGCAATACCCTTGTTCGACGCCACTCGCGGTAGACACTGCTCTGGAATCATCAACACCGATGTAAATCGGGCTCTTGAGCGACAGCCGGGCGAGATCTTCGACCTTGGTCGTCTGCGTCGCGCTGAAGAGCATGGTCTGTCGCTCCTTGGGCAGCATCTTCACAATGGTTCGCATCTCCTCCTCGAAACCGATGTCGAGCATTCGATCCGCCTCATCCATGACGAAAACCTTGAGCGAACTAAACGTGAAACCACGAGTGTTCTGCATGTGATCCAACAGCCGACCCGGGGTGGCGACGAGCAGGTTCACGCCCTTTATCAGCCGCTCCGCCTCCGCTCGTCTGTTAGCCCCTCCGATGATCAAGCCGTGCGTCTGCGAGTGCTTCTCCATGAGCTGCTGCGCCACGTTATAAATTTGTAAAGCCAACTCGCGCGTGGGTGAGAGCACCATGACCCCGGTCCCGTTTCTCGGCATAAACTTGGCGTGATACAACAATTCCGCGCTCGGTACCAGAAACGCCAGCGTCTTCCCGCTCCCCGTTCTCGCCGCCCCCAAGACGTCCTTCCCCGCCAACAGCGGCGGCACGCACCGCGCTTGCACCTCCGTCATCGTCGTGAACCCCATGGACTCAATCCCTCGCATCGTCGGCGCACTCAGCTCGAGCGACGCGAACGTCGCGTCGGACAGAATCCCATCCGTCCGCCCCACGCTCTCCAGCCCCTCCACGCCCGCGTCCGTCCCGTCTTCACCCGCACCCTCCACCGCCTTCGTCTTCTTCGCCCGCTTCCCTCCCTCGCCGTCTCCTTCGCTCGTTCGTCGCCCCTTCTTCGCTCTCTTCTTCGTCGTCTCGTCGCCGCCGCCGCCGCCCATGGCGAGGCGTCTCGCGTCTCTCGACCCCTCCGCGCGCGCCCGAGGCCCCGTCGACGCCCCGCGCGCGCGTGGATGATGTACAATTAAATCTCCGTCCACCCGTCGCGCCGTCGCGCGCGGTCGATCGCGCGTCGACGTGTGTCGTCGCGACGGTCGTCCGCGCGCGCCGGCCGCCTTTGGACGCGCGTGGACGCGCGGGACGCCGCACCGCGCGACGCGACGGCCACGGCGCGCCGCGCGCGGGAGATTTCGATGACGACGTAAACGGTGCGTCGACGGGCGACGGGCGACGCGGAGACGGTGGGTGGATCGACGCGCGAGGACGGAAGAGGAGGGCGCGGTGAGAGGTTAGGAGTTCGAAATGAAATGCGAGATGGAAACCCACGAGGCGCGCGCGATCGAGAGCGCGGCGGCGCGGACGTCGGCGATGAAGATTCACACATTCTGACACCTCTTGTACGAGACTTGGTGGCCCTTGTTCGATGAACTCATTATGCAAAAGACTGAGCCGACGTCCGCGTCCGAGCGGGAGACCGAGCGCGCCGGGGGGAGAGGTTTGATCTCGCACCGACGCGGGTGATGCGCGATATACAAAACGCAATGATAGGACTGATTCGCGTGAGGACATCCTTTAATGTGCTGACGCGTCTGTGGCGAGGGGGGCGGAGGAGATGGGGGGATTATCGTTACGGTGGCGATCGTTTTCGAGCGCCCGTTCCGATGACGATCAATGCACATCAATCATTCATGCGTGTCAGCTGAGTTTTGCTGTGATTATGAATCTAAATCCGAGGAAACGGGTGTCGAATTAAACGTCGTCCGAGCGGCGATTCGCTGATTTATGTGACTGACGAGAGATTTTTGTATCGCTTGGCAGAAAACGCTCGAGGAGTCGCGAGGGATCGAGGTGCGCGCTTTGATTCGTGCGTTTTCGCGCGTTCGTTTATTCGCCGCCGCCAGACGCTTCCTCCGAGACGTGCCGGTCGTCTCCGAGGTGTCTGGTGGTGGCGTACAGCCAACTCGTCGATCTGTTGAGTCTCTCCCATGGTACAAGTCTTTGGGAGAATAATTTATGTTCGGCACATCTCTAATTTCTTCGCGCCATCGACCTCACCGGAGCATGTGCTCTGTGCCATGTTCCTGATGTCTTTGGCGCTACAACGACGGGCCATCTTCCATCTTGCCGCTTCCTCACGTGATGCGTCGAGCCATAATTGGTCTACATTTTTTCCACCACAGCGGGAGACTGGGCGACTGACTCGCTTCTTTTCTCGTTTCTTTCTTTAAATTGCAGATGTCCACGGGACCGCGCGTGCTCATAGACACGAGATGGTCACCTAAACGAAATCCAGAGAAAGAAGAAAAGCGAAAATCTGGTGTCGACCCAACGATGCTGACATCTCTCTCCACGGATAAATTCTACGACAGCGAGGAAACACAGAAAAAGAGAAAGATAGAGGAGGGAAAAAAGAAAGTTAGAGAGCTTGATAGAGAAGAAAAGGATAACCCAAAATGGTGCGTCCATTTTAGACAGCAAGAAATGTTCGAGGATGCGGATAACAAGCTCGGAATATTTCCTCGAACATATTTTTGTGAAGAGTCCGCGGAGAGTCACGGAAAGCCCGTGCGCAAGTACTTTGCCGTCAAGAGACTTGACATGTTCTGGAAGTACTATTACAGGAATAAGAGGGATAAGCATTGCTATGAGCTCATGCGGGAAGACACACAATGTCATCTGTACTTTGATCTCGAATTTTCTCGAGAAGCAAATCCCGACTTGGACGGTGAAAGCTTGGTGGATCATTTGCTTGAGCTCATCGTCGAGGAGTTCGACACGACGCCAGAAATCGACTCATCCAAGTTCAATCCGAAGGAGCACGTCATCGAACTCGATAGCACGAGTGCGACCAAGTTTAGCCGACACTTGATCATCAAATTACCCGACGATCAAGTTTTTGAAAACAACTCGCACTGCGCGCACTTTGTCCGCAAGCTCATGAGCCGAGTGGAATCACGCCGAGGAGAAGACGCTCGATGTGATGCGCTTTTCCTCAAGAAAGATTTGGATGACGTCGAGAGAACGGAGACATTCATCGATCTTGGTGTGTACACGCGAAATCGCGTGTTCCGAGTTTATCTGTCGAGCAAGTACAGCGAGAAGAAGGACAAACCAGCACTGCGAACGACTGGGCGTTTCTGGAAGAGTGACGACGAGGAAGAGACGTTCAAAAAATCGCTGGCGTCTGCGATGAGTTTGACTACAGAGGTCAAGGTTATCTCCTTCGAGGGCGTGACACATACGTCGGTTTTACGCGGAAACGTGTTTCAAGGCTACCGAACGGGATCTCACCTCGTGCGTCCTGCATCGGAATTCAACGGAAACTCAATCGGTCCGTGCCCTCGCACCGCCGAGTTCGTGTGCAAAGATTTCAATCGCTGGAGCGGTCACGGCGGTGCGGCGGTGCGCTCGTGGACGGCGTTTCCCGAGTATGGTGTATTAGTGCTCAATTTATTCGGAAATCGGTTCTGTGAAAATATCGAACGCTCACACAGGAGCAACAACGTGATGTTTGTCGTGGATTTCCGTGAGAGTGCGTATTATCAGCGATGCCATGACCCCGACTGCAGAGGTACGCGGGGTCCTTGGCACGAGTTGAATGAAGATGTATTGGACGAATCTCACAGTTTATTAAAAATGTTGTACGAACGTCCATCGTTCGAGGAAATCGACGATGAAGAGTTGGCTGTGGCCGTCCCGACGTTCGATGGTTTTCGAGACGAAGAGATTGCACAGTTAGCGGCAACGCTGTAAATTTCAGTAGAAGGCGTACGGCTCGTTTGTAAAGTACGATAGTAACGCGCGAGTCGACGATTAGAATCCCATGCCGCCACCCATGCCGCCCATGCCACCGTCTCCCGGTAAGAACGCGGGCTTGTCTTCCTTGATTTCCGTAATCATGCACTCAGACGTCATCATCAATGACGCCACCGAAGCCGCATCGGTGAGCGCGGTGCGGACGACCTTTAATGGATCGATGACGCCATCCTTAACCATATCGGTGTACTCGCCCGTTGCCGCGTTGTAACCGATGCCGTTGTCCGTCTCGGCCAACACTTTTTCGACGACGACGGACCCTTCGACGCCGGCGTTCATTGCGATCGTGCGAAGCGGTCGTTTGATAGCCTCGCGGATGATTTGAACACCGATTTTTTGATCGAAGATCGTCATGGAATCTTCGAGCTCTCTCAGCGTCTTGCTCGCGTGCAAAAGTGCGGCTCCCCCACCCGGAACGATACCCTCGTCGACCGCCGCCTTGGTGGCGTTGAGCGCGTCGACGACGCGATCCTTCTTTTCGCCAACCTCGACCTCGGAGGCACCACCAACCTTGAGAACGGCGACGCCGCCGCTCAGCTTAGCGAGGCGCTCCTGCATCTTTTCGCGATCGTAGTCGCTCGTCGTCTCGGCGATCGCCTCCTTGAGCTGGTCGCATCGCTCTTCGATGGCGCCCTCTTCGCCCGCGCCATCCATGAGAATGGTGTCGTCCTTGCTCACCGTGATCTTTTTGGCTTGGCCGAGCATGCTCAGGTCAACGGTTTCGAGCTTGTGACCAAGATCTTCGCTCACCAAGGTGCCACCAGTCAAGATGGCGATATCTTGTAAGTTGGATCGTCGGTTATCGCCAAAGCCCGGCGCCTTGACGGCGCACACCTTCACCCCGCCGCGAAGCTTGTTCACGATCAACGTCGCCAATGCCTCGGATTCCACGTCTTCGGCGACGATCAGTAGCGGCCGTTGCGACTTGAGGACCGCCTCGAGCACGGGCAAGAGCGGGGTGAGACCAGAGATCTTCTTCTCGACGATGAGAACGTACGCATTCTCGAGTTCGCACTTTTGCGTCTTCGGGTTGTTCACAAAGTACGGCGAGATGTATCCCCGATCGAACTTCATGCCCTCGACGACTTCCAGCTCGTTTTCGAGCGTCTTACCATCCTGCGAAGCGCACGATAAATATCATAAAAAGGTCAGTCTTGCCGCCAGAACCATTTGTCTCGCGTTCGTCTCCGTCGCCTCAGCCGCCGTCGTCGAGTCAGTGTAACTATGACATAATGCCCACAGCAGCGCAAAGTGATGACACGAATGTATCACGGGCTTTAGGCTCGATTAGTTATCATCACTCTCGACATCGACGGCGGCTCGAGCCCGGTTTCGCGTCTTCGCGCGCATCGTAAAATAAAACTCACCCCAACCGTGATGACGCCCTCCTTGCCGACCTTTTCCATCGCGCGCGCGATCAAATCCCCGATTTCTCGCTCGCCGTTCGCCGAGATCGTCCCAACCTGCGCGATCTCTTCGGTGGTAGAGATCATCTTTACGTTCTTCTTGAGCTCTTTCACCACGTGCTCCACCGCCGCGTTGATGCCTCGTCTGAGATCCATCGGGTTCATCCCCGCCGCGACGCTCTTGCATCCCTCACTGAAGATCGCTCTCGCCAGCACCGTCGCCGTCGTCGTCCCATCGCCGGCGACGTCGTTCGTGCTCACGCTCACCTGTTTCACCAGGCTCGCCCCGAGGTTCATCATGCGGTCGCTGAATTCGATATTCTTCGCCACCGTCACCCCATCCTTGGTGATCTTCGGCGGTCCGTACTGCTGCTCGATCACGACGTTTCGTCCCTTCGGTCCCAGCGTCACCTGCACCGCGTCCGCGAGCGTATCACATCCCCTCAACATCAGCGCCCTGGCCTCGACGCCAAAGCGCAAATCTTTCGCGTACGTCCGCGCGATCGCCCGCGCGGGCAACGCTCGCCCCCCATCCGTGCGCGTTCGCGTCTCCGTCGCGCATCTACCGCGCGCACATCTCTTCGTCAGTCACCGTCCACGCACGCGCGCGCGCGCCATCGCTCGAGACCCGACGCGGCGCCATCGTCGACGCCGCCGCTCGAGTTTCCATCGCCTTCGACGACGGATTCTTTCCCACGACGCCGCATCCATCGCCCGCGCGCGAGGTCCATCGCGCGCGATCGGTCGAACGCATCGATCGGGCGCACCTCACGATCGCTCCCGCGCGCGCCAAGGCTCGTCGTCGATGCATCGCGCGCGCGTGTGCGGCCGATGCGCGCGCGCTGTGCGCGCGGGCGGGTGTCTGTACGTATTCCACGCCACATTGTCCCATGTGTGCACATTGTGTGCTTGTCGGTACGTATTCCACGCCGCATTGTCCCATGTGTGTACTGTGTGTGCTTGTCTGTACGTATTCCACGCCACATTGTCCCATGTGTGCTGTGTCTGTACGTATTCCACGCCGAAGTATCATATGTGTGTACGCGGTACGTATTCGCCCGCGTACACACCTGAGTCGTGACTCGACAAAGAGTCCCTCGCGTGCGCCCGCGCACGCACCTGAGTCGTGACTCGACAAAGAGTCCCTCGCGTGCGCCCGCGCACGCACCTGAGTCGTGACTCGACAAAGAGTCCCTCGCGTGCGCTGCGCCCAGGCGCGGCGGCGATCGATCCCCGGCGCACATCGCGACGCCCGCGCGTCGGTCGCACGAGAGATGCTCGCGCGACGCCTCGCTCGGGACGGGTGCAGACGCGCGCGAGCGATCGAGCGATGGGGACGCGCGAGCGCGCGCGCGAGCGCGGTGCGCGACGGGGGCGCGATGGAAATGACTTGGACGGCGACGGCGACGGCGACGGCGACGACGACGACGACGGGCCCCGCGCGTGGGTTCGCGGCGTCCGCGGAGGCGCTGATCGCCCCGCACGGGGGTGAACTGGTGAATTTGGTGCTGGCGGACGATGGGGCGAAGGCGAAGGCGATCGCGTCGTGCACGCGCGCGCTGGAGCTGAGCGATCGAAACGCGTGCGACGTCGAACTCTTATCCGTCGGGGGGTTCTCTCCGTTGCGAGGATTCATGAACGAGGATGAGTACGAGCACTGCGTTGAGAACATGCGATTGAAGGGGTCGAACTTGTTGTTCGGGTTGCCGATCGTCTTGGACACCGCGTGCGAGGACACGAAGGTCGGCGACAGGGTCTTGTTGAAGTATCAGGGCAAGGATGTCGGCGTCTTGACGGTGGAGTCCAAGTGGAAGCCGAACAAGCCGAAGGAGGCGAAGATGTGCTACGGTACGAGCTCGATCGAGCATCCGGGCGTGGCGATGATCTCCATGGAGCGACGCAAGTACTACATCGGAGGTAAGGTTGAGGGGTTGAACCTTCCGCAGCGGCCGTTTCCGTGCCCGACGCCGTCCGAGGTTCGGGCGACGCTCCCGAAGGGCAAGGACGTGGTGGCGTTCCAGTGCCGTAACCCGGTGCACCGTGCGCACTACGAGCTCTTCACCCGCGCTCTGCACGCGGATAACGTCGGCAAGGACGCGGTGTGCCTCGTACACCCGACCATGGGTCCGACGCAAGACGACGACATCTCGGGCTTGGTTCGATACAAGACGTACGTCGTCCTCGCGGAAGAGGTGAAGAACCCGCAAATTCGTTGGGCCTACCTCCCGTACTCGATGCACATGGCGGGACCGCGCGAGGCGATCCAGCACATGATCATCCGTAAGAACTACGGCGTCACGCACTTCATCATCGGTCGCGATATGGCTGGCTCAAAGTCGTCCCTCGACGGCGAGGACTTCTACGGCGCGTACGACGCGCAAGACATGGCCAACGCCCACGCGGCCGAGCTCGGCATGCAGACCGTTCCGAGCCTGAACGTCGTTTACACCGAGGAAGAGGGCTACGTCACCGCGGACGTCGCCAAGGAAAAGGGTCTCGAGGTGAAGAAGCTCAGCGGCACCAAGTTCCGCCAAATGCTTCGAGGCGGCGACGACATCCCCGAGTGGTTCGCCTTCAAGTCTGTGGTGAAGGTTCTGCGCGAGAACATCTAAGTGAGGTGTACGCGCGCGCGAGTTGAAGGCGTGAGTTGAATACTAACTTTGTCACAGCATTATTTCCATTCTCTGAAACGTCTACGCGCCCTCACAAACCTCGCTCTGCGCGTTACGTTACTTTCTCAACGCCGCGCCGCCGCTCACCGCCTCCTCAGCCAATCTCTGCTTCTCCTCATAATATCCAGGAATAGCTGGGGTGTAACTCGGAAGCTTACGCTTGAGCGGGAACAACTCGTCGTCCTCCACCATCGCCGCGTCCCGCACCGCGCCCGCCGGGAGCGCCTCCACCGCCGCCATCTTAATCCTAATCTTTTCATTAATATCCTTCGCGAACGCCCGCTCCGCTCGCATCTTCTCCCTCGAGTACGCCTTCGCCTTCGCCTCGTACGCCTCCAGCTCCTCTTCGCTCAACGCGTCCTCCGCGACGTCGCTCGGCGCGATCGCGCGCAGGAACGTCTCTCGATGCTCCCGCGTCGTCCGCTCCGCCTTGGCGCTGATCGTCACCGTCGCCGGTCCCCGTCCCTTTGATTTCTTCCCTTGACTCGCCTTTGACTTCGATCCTCCCTTCACCGCGCTCGCGTGCGTTCGCGCCCACCCGGGCGTCGCCATCGCATCGCTCGACGCCGTCGCCGTCGTCCACGCTCGCGGGCGATCGATCATCGTCCGCGTCGTCGTCCACGTCCGCGCCGACGACGCGGTCGACGTCGACGCGGCGGCGCGCGCGAGCGCGCGGACGCACGCGAGCGCGCGGCGTCGCGACATCGTCGCGCGCCGTCGAGCGCGGCGCGCGCGGGGTCGGCGCGCGCCGTCGGCGGGGGCGTCGCGCGTATATTACCTCACACATCGCCATCACGCGTCGTGACGATGGACACGCGGCGTATATTACCTCACACATCGCCATCACGCGTCGTGCCAATCATTGGCAGCCGACTCGGTTGGGGAAATCACCTTCAATCGGTCGTGCTCGTGATGCAACGCACAAAGTTTCGGGTGGTGATGTGGTGATGCAAAAGGTGATTTGAATGTCACCCAATCATTGGCACCCGATCACGCGCGCCCTATGGACGCGCGCGGTGGACGGACGAAAACCCATACGTGCGGTGACTCATGCGTCGCCGTGACGTGCGTCGCCGTGAGACGCCCGCGAGACGTCGAGCGGCGCTCGATCGCGTGGCGGGCGTCACATCGAGGGCGATGCGGGCGGACGGCGACGCGCTCGCCCGCGGTGGGGCGCTGCGATTAGCGGTTCGGGTGCGTCAGACGTGCGCGCGCGCAGTGGTGATACGTGCGATCGACCGCGCGCGAGCGACGGGTCGTGGACGGGGAGTGAAACGTGCGAGAGGATCGCGCGCGGTGGCGACGGGGCGATGATGGGTGACGACGGCACGCGATGGAGGCGAGCGAGACGATTGCGAGGGGGGGGGGGCGACGGGGAAGAGGGAGACGTCCACGTCGAGCGCGCGCGCGTGGTCGATGGTGATGCGGCGCGAGGCGAGGGACGCGAGGGATGACGGCGCGGCGTTGCGGGGGTGGATAAATATCTTCTCGGCGCGCGCGCGACGGGGGACGGAGACGGCGAGCGGGCGTGCGCGGTGGTGCGGACGCGGTGATTGACGAAAAATATACAATTTTAATCGTTCGCAGTGCGCGATGGAGTGCGCGAGACATCCCCGGGGGGACGAAGCGTTCGTGAGCGAATCCGTGAAGGCGTCGACGAGCGGACGAGACGCCGACGCGGGGACTTCGCGCGATGGAGAGAGCGGAGATGAGCCGAACGGACGTTTGGAGTGGGTGATTAAGAGGGCACAGAACAGTAGATATCAGAACACGGACGAGTTCAAGGCGGATGTCGAGCGAACTTGGGCGTTTTTGGAGGATAAGTGGACGAGAGAAGGCGCGAAGACCAGGATGGACGCCGCGCGCGTCGTTCGCGAGTACTTCGACTCCAAATGGTTGTCTCGAGGAATCGGCGAGCGCGGCGGGCTAGTATGCATCGGCAGCGTTGGAATATCGCCGGAGACGATCCAAATGAAGAAGAGCTCGAGCTTGTACTCGCTCAACTCGCTCGCCGAGCGAGCGAACACCGACGACTGGGCGAACGCGACGGGTGAGACAGCGTTCGAGTCAGAGACCAACAACGGCAAGGTGATCGAGGATGATCGCGCTAAGGAACTCCAAGCGCTCGATCGCTGCGTGCACGTCATCAAAAACTTTATCTCTCAACCCGAGGCGTTGAGTTTCAAGGACCCGTTCGATCCGCAGTCAACGGATTACGCAAACTATTGCGCCGTCATTAAGGAGCCCATGGACCTATCCACCGTGCTCAGGCGTTTGGAAAGTAAACAATGCGAGTCTCCGCAGCAAGTTTGGGATATGTGCAACCTCATCTGGTCCAACTGTCGGTTGTACTATCCTTCCACGAGCAAGATGCAAAAGTTGTGCGACCAAGCCGAGTTGATGCTGACCGCGGCGTGGAGAGCGGAGGGTCTGGAAAGCTTTATCGGCACTTCAATCGATGGTTCGTGCAACGGGCAGTCAAAAACGCGAGGTGTCTCTTTGAGAAAGGGAAGTGGGGTGAATACTGCGACGTCTACGAAAACTGGCGGACGCGTAGCCGCTTTCAAATGCGATGTGTGCAAGCGCAGTAAGAAGGGTCGATGCGGTACGGAGAGCGCACCTAAATCGTGTCTCACTCGTCCAGAGAACCAGACAATCGAAAGACAAGCGAAGATCAAAGAGAGAGTGAGTAAACTAAAGCCATTCAAGGCAGCTTGTGTGAAGAAAATGCTGGCACAGGATGAAGAGCTGCCAGCGAAAAGGATGATTGGTAAACGAAAACTCACCGAGGCAGAGCAGCAGGAGAGTCGTTTCAGACGAGTTTTCGATGAGACCGACCCGGAGAATTTCATCTCACAAATCCTTGAGACTGGAAGTGGGTCGCAGCAGACGGACTTCAACTGGGATACCACGGCGCACCTCGCAAACGAACAGTTACGCTTGGAGGTGCTCGCAAACCAGCAACTGGCTCGTTATGAAGAAAGCGAGCTGTCTCAGCGGTCGAATGACGGTCCGAATTCGAGAAACGCGGCGAGCATCGAGGCCCTACAAACGAGCATGAAGACGACCACCGAGCTCCTGAAGGAGTGCAACCTCAAGCTGCAAGTGTGCAACATCATCATCGCTCGGACCACGGACGATTCGAAGAGAGAGACGTACGTCAGCGAAAGATACACGCTCGAGGGTCAGATCCGTGCACTTCACAAGAGACATCAGCAACAGGCGCTTACGCTGCGACGCTTGGTGCTCGGCAAAGACGATACGCCGAAGCCGGCTCGCATCTCTCCCGAAGTCTCGAGACAGCCCCGTAACGCCTCATCGGAGTACACCGACGTCGATCTGGTCGACCAATTCGATCAATTCATTTCCGTTGCTACCGTTTTCGACGGCGTCGGTGACGATGCGAAGAACGACGTCGCTCCTGAAGTCGCCATCGAGAGCATGTTCAACTTTCCGAGGGCGTGAGCCGCTCGAAAGCGCCGAATTCCACATCCCCGAACTATGTTTGCCCTTCGTCAAAAATGTTTTATATGTGCGCGTTCATTTATTTAATTTATTACTTTAAACGGTCAACATCAAGAATCCATCATCAATCATCGCCTCTCGCGCGTTCCACCCTCGTCCGACGCGCCCGCGCGCGGGCTCGTCCCCGGGACCACCAGGCTGTCTAACCGACACATTTCCCGCGAGTTTTCCCGAGTCACGACTCGTCCACAAAGGACTTTTTCGAAACCTTTCCCACACACATCCCTCGACGTCGTCGCCACTTCGCGCGCGCGCGCTCGCGCCGTCGCCACCGCGCGCGTTCGGGTCGCCACCGCGCGCGGCGCGCGCACACCGCGCGCGTCTCGACGGGTCGACGCGGCGACGACGGGTCGAGAGCGGCACGGGACGATTGGATCGACAAGATTCGATCGCATCGCGCGCGATCGCTCGTAAAGTCACGGCGCGCGCGATCGTCGAGCGATGCGCGGGTCGGTGCGAACGCGCGCGAGTGAACCGAGCGCCCTGGGGGGACGCGCGCGGTCACCGCATCGAACGAGCGCGCAGTGGGACCGCGCGAGAGGGGCGAGCGGGCGAAACGCCGGGACGAGCGCGCTGAGCCGAGGGACGACGAGAGAGCCGATCGAGAGGGAGAGTTTTGGAAGAGGCATGTCGAGCGCACGCGCGCGGAGCTCGAGCGTGGGCGCGAGATCGGGTGCGTGCGTGCGGGGAAGGACAACGCGAGACGCGAGCGGTATACGACACCGCCGGGCGGCGACGAGGACGGGAGCGGTGAATCAGGAGCGACGGGGTGAGGTCACCATCGACCTCGAGCCGCGTGATGGTCCCGCGAAGGAGCAGTTTTACTCGGAATCGTTCACGGTGACGCAGCGCATGCGAGTGGACAACGAACTGAGCATTCGCGTCGAGACGAACGGTGTTCGATACAAGGTGACCATCATGACGGAGATGGAGTCAAGTAATTTGCTCTTACACTGGGGAATAGCCGAGTCGAAAGATCGTTGGGACGAGTGGAAGTGCCCTCCCGAGCGCCTCAGACCGAAGTCGACGCAGGAAACGGTGGGCGTTTGTCAGACGCGTTTCAGCACTCTGCCGGCGGACCGTTTCGCCAAGGACAAACTCGTCACGGTCATCGAGGGCGAAGTCAAGGACGAGATTTACGCCATTAATTTCGTTCTTTACGACAAAAAGCTCGATCAGTGGCTCCACGATTCCCAGGGAGGGTTCTGGCATGTCACCTTGCCTCAACCGCCGGAACCAGAAATAATTAAGCGCACCATCACTCTGCTTGAGGACTTCGAAGAACCGTACGAGGTGGAGGAAGAGTACGAAGTCGAAGACGACGAGGAAGAAACACTTGAAGTTAGCGGTGGCGCTAGTGTGGCCACCGCTCAAGGTGAGGTGAGCGCGCCGATTGAGGAAACGGCGGTGTCGCGTTCGACGACCTCCAACGACGACGCATGGCGGCGTCTGATGACGCCTCCCGTCGAACCAAAGCCTTTTAACGCCAACAAGGATGCCTTAGACGCTATTGCGAACGATTTGCTAGGGAAAATCAAAAAGCACACCAAGTCATCAGCGCCGGTTGAGGAACGACCCGAAGTTCAGGAGCCAAAGGTTGATGAGCCCCCGCCTAAGCGCAAGTTGAAGAAGATGAAAACTCTGAAACGAAAAGTGACCAAGAGTGTCACGAAGCGCAAGGAGGTCACACGCGAAGTTGAGGAAAAGGTACCGGTACAATTGGTGGAGGGGTCGTGGATTTTCACCATTGACAGGAAAGAAAATGTGCAGAACGAACGAGAGTGCCAATTCACGATTGGTGCGCTGGTAGAGAAGGATCGAAAAGGTGGAGGGGTTCGAATGCGCGTGGAGGCTGAAGTTCCTTGGGAGGCAGTCTTGCACTGGGGTATCGTCCCTCGCGGTGCGCGTAACGACATGTGGTCTTTGCCTCCGGAAGAATGGCGACCACAAGGCACAGTCGTGTACAAGGACAAGGCTTGTGAGACGCCGATGTGCAAATTTGACGCTCCCCTGATGACGACGAAACCCATCAGTTTCGTTGAACTTGAGTTGGGCAACGCGCCGACTCAGGTGCGCTTCGTGCTCAAGGAGCAAGGAGGTGGCAATCGTTGGGTTGATCTCAACGGCGCCGATTTTATCATTCCGATGCCGGAGGCTTTCTATGACCCACCAACGCCCACGTTGGATCGTTCGCCAACCATGGAAGAGATCGTCGTTGCCGAAGCCGCTGCCGCTCGCGCGGCTGAGATGAATTTGGATACTCTGACTGAGATTGAGATCGAGCCAGTAGCGTTTGAGACCCCAGTGCAGACCCCAGTGCAAACTCCCGAAGAGAAGATCTCGATCGAGGAAGACTTCGTGGCGGCCCCGGCTCGACCTCAGAAGTCTGCCGTTGGTAATGGTCGAGAAATTCTTCTCCAAGGTTTCAACTGGGAATCTTGCAAGAACGGGGCGTGGTACCAAAACGTCGAAAGGCTTGCACCGACCATCGCACAACTTGGATTCTCCGTCATCTGGTTGCCTCCGCCAACAGACAGCGTCAGCCAAGAGGGATACATGCCGCGTGATTACTACTGTTTAGAGTCGCGTTACGGCACGAAAGATGAGCTCAAGGCGTGCATCAACGCGTTACACGAAAATGGTGTATTGGTTCTTGGTGATGCTGTACTGAACCATCGATGCGCGCACTTCCAAGACGACAAGGGAATTTGGAACAGGTTCGGCGGAAAGTTGGCGTGGGACGCGAGAGCCATCGTGTCTGATGATCCAAATTTCCACGGTCAAGGCCATCGCTCCGATGGTGACTTTTTCCACGCGGCGCCAAATGTCGATCACAGTCAAGCGTTCGTCAAGGCTGATCTCGAAGACTGGATGAGCTGGCTGATGAGGGAGGTTGGTTACGACGGGTGGCGTCTCGACTACGTGCGAGGTTTCTGGGGAGGTCACGTGAAGGATTATATGGAAGCGACGAATCCTCAGTTTGCGGTGGGCGAGTACTGGGACGCCCTTTCGTACAAGTACGATAACCCGGAGTACAACCAAGATGCTCATCGACAACGGATTGTGAACTGGCTGAACGCTACTGGAGGCAACGCGAGCGCGTTTGACGTTACCACGAAAGGTATCTTACACGCCGTTTTCGAACGTCAGGAATACTGGCGCCTTTCGGACCCGCAAGGGAAGCCTCCGGGCGTCATGGGCTGGTGGCCGAGTCGATCGGTAACGTTCATCGAGAATCACGATACAGGATCGACGCAAGGTCACTGGCGATTCCCGCGAGGTAAGGAGCTTCAGGGATACTGCTATATCCTCACGCACCCCGGCACGCCAACCGTCTTCTGGGATCACATGTTTGATAATGATTGGGGACACCTACATAAACCCATAGAGGACATGATTCGCATCCGAAGACAGTCGGGTATACACTGTCGCAGCGAGGTGAAAATCGTCAAGTGTGAGCAAACGATGTACGCCGCGGTTATCGACAACAATTTATTGATGAAGATCGGCCCCGGCCACTTCAGCGCCGACGGTAACTGGGAATTGCAACTGTCCGGACAGGATTTTGCAATCTGGCGTAAAAAGGGAGCCGCATCGACGCGATGAACGAAGAGACTCTAGGTGGCGACGCGCGGCTAGTCGCTACTTAATAAAGCAGGCGATCCGGCACGCATGTCACACAGTAAAATGTTATGATAAGCAGCAAGCGCATAGCGCATAGCGCTCGACCAAACATACGTCTACATCTGTGTTACAAATTGTTCTACGCCTCGGCTCCTACTTCTTTCTTTTCGGCGACACCGAAGCCGTCATGTGCTGCAGACCCACCATTTTTGGCGCCGACACGACTTCGACGTCCTCGAGCATGGACATCACATTCTCCATTATCTCCGCCCCTCGCGTCGCTCGTTTATCCAGAGCTATCCCGTCCGACTTCTTGAACATGATCCTAAACGTCACTCGATTCCCCGCCTCTAAAAATTTCTTCGCCCCGCTCATTTTCGTTCTCAAGTCGTGCGCGTCGATCTTCGCCGTCAACCGCAACTCCTTGATCACGTCTCTCTTCTGCGCCTTCGTCGACGCCTTCTTCTGTTCCTTCATCTTCCGTCGCTGTTCGTACCGCGCGCGTTCGTAATCCATCATTCGACACACCGGCGGCGTCTGCGTCCCGTTCACCTCCACCAGATCCAATCCCATCGCCCGCGCCATGCGCAGCGCCTCCCGCGCGCTCATCACCGCGTGCGTCGACGTCGACGCCCCCTCCACCCCCCCGTTCGCCCCCATCGCGTCCGTCGTCGCCGTCGCCTTGTCGAGGATCAATCGCACCGTCGGCGATTCGATCGCCTCGTTCACCCGCACCCCATCCCCGTCCGCGCCCGCGCGTCGCCCGCCCGTCGCCCGCGCGCTCGACACCGCGCGCTCGACGCCCGCGAGCGCCCCGCGCGCGCGTCGCGCGAGCGCTCGGAGGTTGGCGCGGGCGAACATTGACGCGTGATTCACATCCACGACGCGAAAGACCGCGACGACGCGCTCATGGTGCGCATCGAGGAGATCGGGGCGGGCGACGCGATCGGGATCGGGCTCGCGGGGTCGGAGCTCCCGCGACGACGACGGACGCGACGCGCGCGCGCGCGGGGAGAGACGGATGAGATGGAGACGAGAGATGCGAGGGTTGGGACGCGTGGGACGAATGGGAAGACGACGACGACGACGACGACGACGAGGCGACCGATGAGCGAACGGACGGTGGTGGAGGGGGCGGGGCGGCGATTGGTGGTCGTCGCGGCGGTCGCGGTGGTGCTCGCGGGGGTGTGCGCGGCGCTCGCGCGAATCGGGACGCGCTTCGCGGGCGGGTGGGCGACGCGCTGACGGGTTGAGTGACGAATTAAAAATATATTGAAATGGCGAAAGAATGACGATTATTTTTGCTTTTCATCCAATTTTTCGATCATCGCGCGTTCCTCGTCGGAGAGCTTGGAGGGGATGGTGACCTTGACGGTGACGTAGTGGTCGCCGCGAGCGGAGTCGTTGCCGAGTCTGGGGACGCCGCGCTTGGCCATGAGAAGCGTCGCTTGCGGCTGGACCCCGGCCGGGATCTTCAGATCGACCGGTCCGTCTACCGTGCGCACCTTGACGGTGGAGCCCAGGATGGCTTTTGTGTACGGAACGGTCACCGTGGAGCTGATGTTGACGTTGTCGAAACGCTTCAGCTCCGGATCGTCGCGAACGTTGATGAAGACGTAAAGATCACCCGGCGGGCCGCCTCGGCGACCGGCGTTGCCTTCACCGCGGACGCGCAGACGAGAACCCTTGTCCACGCCCGGCGGCACGCGCAGCTGAATTTTCTTGCTGCGGCGCACGCGACCGTCGCCGCCGCAGCTCGGGCACGGCGTGGACGACTGACCAGTCCCCCCGCACGCTTGGCAGCCGGTGACTTGCTGAAAATTACCGAGAGGCGTGCGCACGGTGGCGACAACTTGACCCTGGCCGCCACACGTGCCACACGTCGTCGGCTTGGTACCCGCCTTGACGCCGCTCCCCGAGCACTTGTCACAGTTTTCGAGTCGCATCGTGTCGAGCTCCTTCTCCACCCCGAACACGGCTTCGAGGAAGTCGATCTCGAGGTCGTAGCGCTCATCGTCACCTTGCGTCGGTCGGTTACGCGCTTGCGATCGACCACCCATGCCGCCCATGCCGCCCATGCCGCCCATGCCGCCCATGCCGCCGCCGCCAAAGAGCGACTCGAACAGGTCGAACGGGTCGCTCATGCCGCCCATGCCGCCCATGCCGCCCATGCCGCCCATGCCGCCCATGCCACCCTTTAATCCGTCCTCGCCGAAACGATCGTAAATCGCCTTCTTTTGATCATCGCTCAGCACTTCGTACGCGTTGGATATCTCCTTAAACTTATCCTCCGCCCCCGGATCTTTGTTCACGTCGGGGTGAAACTTGCGCGCCAACTGCCTGTACGCCCGCTTCAGCTCCTTCGAATCCGCCGACCGCGACACCCCCAAGACGTCGTAATAATCCCTTCCAGCCCGCGTCACCGTGGACATCCGTCCACCCACTCGCGGCGTCGGTCTCTTCATCCGCATCGTCGTCCGCGCGCCGCCGTCGCCGCGCCGCCGCGCCGTCCGCGGCGTCTCCGTCGTCCCGCGCGCGTTCGCGAGCATCTCTCCCTCGTCCACGCCCTGCGTCCGAAACCGCGTCGTCAGTCTTCGCGCACACCCTTTCCCGACCGTTCACGCGCGCGCGAGCGCCCGTTCGCGCACGCGCGCGTCCACGGTGTCGACACATTCCATCGCGTTCCATTCGATCATCCATCCGGCGGCGCGCGCGTTGGATTCGACGACGACGACGTTCGGGCGGACGACCGCGGACGCGTGCCGACGCGCGCGCGACGACGTCGATCGCGCACCTCTCGCCGCGCTCGCGTGTGCGGCGTCGGAATCCCGCCGGGACGGCGACGTGGGGAGACGTCGACGTCGACGCGGGACGAGTCCGCACCGGTGGATTTTTTAGATGACGCGCGGAGGGGCGGGCGGAGACGCGCGGGCGAACTCGGGCATTACACCATGGACGCGCGCGACGTCGAGGCCTCAGGCGAAGGCGAAGAGGGAGACGGAACGATCAGCGCCGGCGCACGCGAGCTTGGTGCCGTCGGGAGAGAATCTGACGCACCACGCGGCGTCGGCGCGATCCGAGGCGACGTGCGCTCGAGCGCGCGAGGAGAGATCCCAGAGCGTCACCGTGGAGTCCGAGGACGCGGTGACGAGGGCGTTGCCGTCGGGATGCGCGGCGACGGATAAGACCCAACTCTTGTGACCGCCCAGGGAGTCGATGAGTGATTTGTTGTGGGCGTCGTAGACGTGCGCGTAGCCGTCGTCGCACGCCGTGTACAGGGTCTTCCCGTCGGGAGAGAACGTCAAGTCTCGCACCGGGGAGGCGTGTCCGGTGAGCGAACTCGCGCATTTTCCCGTCTTCACGTCGAAGATGGCCACCGTGCCGTCCGACGCACCGCACGCGATGCGCTTCCCATCCGGCGAGTACGCCACGCAGTGGGCGAATCGTCCGTTTTTCGGCGTCTCCGCCGTCGTCGCCGGAAGCTCCATCGTCTGTTTCTTCTCACCCGTTCGAGCGTCGTGCACGTTCACACGCTGCGACACCCCTCCCGCGACCGCGAGATTCGCCGATCCGCTCGATGGATCGAACGCCACGCCCCACGACTCCGCGGGCGCGCTCTCGAGCGCCAGAACCGTCTCCCCAGTGCTCGCGTCCCACGCGCGAATCACCCCATCTAACGCCGACGCCGCGACGAGCCCGTCCGTGGACGTCGCCAGGGACACCACGCCTAATGCGTGTCCCGTGTACGCGTGCGTCGAGCTCAGGGCATCGATCGGTCCGTCGTCACCGCCGTCGCCCTCGCTCGATGTCACATCCCAGCGCTTGACGGATTCATCGAGCGATCCGGTGAATAACGACGACGACGACGCGTCAAAGGCGACGCACCAGACCTCATCACCGTGTGCATCGTGTTTACGAGATAACGGCGAGAGTCGCATGACGGGCGACGCGCGGGTCGAGCGCGACAAAGTGCGGCGGCGACGCGCGGGGCGACGCGGGCAAAGTCGGCGTCGGCGACGCGCGGGCTCGGGACGACGGGCGCGTGGATGGGAAAATAACCAATCCAATAGCGTCGAGATTGATGTCATCGAACGCGTGAATGTATTCCATGGGCTAACGAGCGATCGCGACGACGTCACATGAAGCGCCACACCGCCTCTCGATGGCTCTGGTCGGGGGCGGAGTGTATTATCGCCGAGTCGCGATACACCATGATCTCCTGCCCGCGCTTGAACACGGGGCGGGCGACGTACTCGTCCGCAAAATCACCCTCGTACGGGACGAAATCTTCCCACTGGATCACCGAACCGTCGTCGCCGAGCTGGACGAGCGGATGCGAGAGCTTCACCGCGTGCGTGAACACGCCCACGCCCGGGGGCGGGTCCTCGCTCGGAGTTGACGCTGGGAATCCCAACATGACCGTGAAGCGATCGTACCCAGAATCTTGATGCCAACTGTGGCGAATCTTTTGTTTGCCTATGCTCGCTATGTCGATGAGCGTTCCGTGACACGGTTCGCCGCACAGAGCGCCCAAACCTTTGATGAAGCGCTCGCCCGTTAGGTTGACGCCGTGACGAGCGAAGTGCGCGCTCAGTGCGGCGTAGCCCGTGCGCGATTCGAACCAATTCACGTGCACAGAGCTCGAGAGCGCTCGCATGGTCGCGTTTCGCGCCTCGCTCAATTTTTCATTCGGGACGAACAAATCGTCCCGCATCGCGAGTCGAACGCCGGTTCGAAACCTTCCGTCGCCGTGAAACGCGTCCGCGAGACCGCTTCCCGGAAACACATCCTCCAACGACTTGTGTACGACGAACGTGTCGTTCTCCACCGACCCCGGTCGTCGTAATCGCTCCGGGACCTCGTACACGCGCGCGTCCTCGAACGCCGGATACCTCCCCGTCGGTCGCGTCTTCGTCTCGCTCGTCGTCGTCCGCGCCCCCGACGTCATCCTACGCGTCGAATCGCCGAACGGATCCGTCGTCGTCGTTCGCCCGCGCGCGCGCGCGAACGGATCCCTCGACGCCCCCGACGCGGCGAATGCATCGATGGCTCGACGTCGCCCCCATCCACGCCCCCGTCGCCCCGTGCGTCGCGCATCGACGCGTTCGACCCATCGCGACGCCGCGAACGTCTCCATCGTCAACGTCTCCATCGTCCTCGCCCGTCGTCGCGGTCGTCCGCGCGCTCGCGAGCGTCTGCGGCGGTCGCGTCGTCGCGCGAATGTCTTCACCCATCAGTGCGCGACGCATCTTATCCGCCCCGTTCGCGCGCGATGTCGCTCGTTTTCGCCCGCGCGCGCGCTGGACGCGCGTCGATCGCGACCGACCGTGGGATTCGCGGGCGCATCGAACGCGCGAGCGCTCGAGCGCGCTCGAGACGCGCGACGAAGCGCTCGGTCGTCTCGCGCGAGAGCTCGGGCGCGGACGACCTCGCGCGCGCGCCGGCGCTCGTGGACGACGCCGCGGCGAGCGCGAGCGAGAGAAAACGATCGACCATGGTGGGGTCGAACTTACCGACGCCGACGCCTCTGGCGAGACCGCCGTTGAGCGCGATGGGGGGTCTCGCGTCGGCGGGCGCGTTGGAGTCGTCGTACCTGGCGTTTCAAAAGCTCACCGGCGGCGAGGCGGCGTGTCCGCTGAGCGGATGCCAGACGGCGCTGAATAGTGGGTACGCCGAGCTTTTTGGGATCCCGCTGTCGGCGTACGGCGCGGTGGCGTACGGAATGGTGGCGGCGTTGGCGTTCGGCGCGGCGAAGACGCAGACGGAGCTCGTCGAGCGCGGCGACGAGAACAGAGACGCGGAGTTGGAGTCCAAGTACGGGAAGTCGCGCGTGCTACTCTTTTTCGCCTCCACGGGTTTGGCCGCCGTGTCGTCGTATTTACTGTACGTTCTGGCGTTCAAGCTCGGCGGCGCAGAGTGTTTGTATTGCCTTACGTCGGCGGCGATCTCCTTCACGCTCTTCGGCATCGGTTTCGCGGGCTTGAGTGGTAAAGAGAGCGCGAACGCGGCGCCGCCGGCGGTTGCTCTGTACATTATCACCGTGGCACTGATGGGACTGGTGCTCACCGAGAGCCCGGACGCGAGCTCGACCGCCGGGCTCCGGTTGGCGTACGCTCCCCCGCAGCTGGAACAAAAGTCAACGGCGTACTCGCGTTCGCTCGCCAAGCACCTCGCGGAGACGGGCGCGAAAATGTACGGTGCTTTTTGGTGCTCGCATTGCATCGAACAAAAGGAAACGTTCGGTGCTGGGGCGGAGATTCCGTACGTCGAGTGCTTCCCGAACGGTTGGGAACGCGGCACCCCCGTCGCGGACGCGTGCTCCGCGGCAAACGTGGAGGGCTTCCCAACCTGGGTCATCGACGGGAAGAAGTTAGAGGGCGAACAAACGCTGGAGAAGCTCGCTGAATTGAGCGGTTTCCGTGGCGAAAACGACGCCGCGAGTATGATCGCGGACTTGTTCTAGTATTGCGGGCTTTCATCGTTCGGTTGTTAATGTGCAAAAAGCAAAGACTTCTAATGTACGGGTACAGCTTATATACTAATCACGGTTTGAGAGAATCAACATAAACTTGGCTTCAATAATGCCCGCCGATTCTCCCGGTGCAAAATTTTGAGCGAGATGAGATGGCTCGGGTGCTCGACGCGAGGAAGAGTTTTCACTCGTATCTTCGAAACGCCGAGACGTCGCCGCGACGCCCTTCCTCGAAAGAGTTCTGATCGCCGGAGCGTCTTCTACTCGATCTAGACGTAATTTCCGAGCTCGACGACCCGGGCGACCTCGGGTGGGAAGCTCGCGCATCGTGCTTCATCTTATCTTGAACCGCCGAGCACAACACCGCGGCGTCGAAGGCGCTCTCATTCAGCCCCTCGAGCGTCATCGGCATACCGTTGCTCGGATCCTTGCAGCGATACGTCAGGTTCAGCGATTTCATCTTTTCCTCCGGTATTCCACACTTATCTCTGATCTGTCGCATGAAATCAGCCAGTCCCTCTGGTCCCGTGCGTACCTGGCACCGGAACGAAATGTTATTAAACTTGACGATAATGTCCCCTCGAACTTCACTGTCGACGTCATCCGACGACGCATTCTCAATATCTTGGATCTCTTGCATTCGCATCGTTCCAGTGGACGATCGACGCGGTCTATCTTCATCCATGCTCCGTCGTTTCGTCCCCGACGTCGTCGCCGTGAAGTCGTCGCTCGACCGTCCGCCGACGACGTCCTGAAACAACGTCTCTCGCCAATCCGGTAACTTTTCCAGACAAAATTTGCACATCACCTCCTCCGGTTTCCCCGAGCACTGTAACTGCCACCTCGCCACGCACTTCGCGTGCGCCCATCGCGGGCACGCGCACGGATGATACAACTGCAATCGCGGCGGGCGCGTCAGTCGTCGGGATCGACCATACATATAGAGTCCCATTCTCCACGAGTCATGACTCAACAAATATCCCACACAGATATTTTCCCAAAAAAAGCGAAAAAAGCGAAAAAACGCGCGCCCCCCATCTCCCCCGCGTCGTCGTATCTCGCGCGCGTAATCGCGCACCTCTCGTCCCGCGGTGTCGCCGTCGAGACAGATCCAACACTGATCCTCTGCGTCACGCGATCGCGTCGATCGTCCGTCAGTGCTCTGCGCGCGTCACATCCACCGTCTCCATCGCGCGCGATCGCGACGACGCGCGATCGATGCGCGGTCAGCGCTCTGGACGTCGTCCGCGAATCGTCGCGATGACGCGATCGCGCCCGTCCTCGCCCGCGCGCACCGTCGGTGGAGGACGACCGCGGGGCATCGTCGGCGGCACTCGCGCGCGCGCGCGCGCGCGCGCCCGCGTCCTCGGTCGTCGCGCTCGAACGCGTTCGCCCGCGCATGGATGATGAAGCCACGCGCGCGTCGCGACGTGCGACGCGGCGCGACGCCCGGGTGGTCGATCGATCGGTGGCATCGATCGTCGATCGATCGGTGGCATCGGTCGTCGATCGATCGATGGCATCGATCAGTCGATCGTCGATCGATCGGTGGCATCGGTCGTCGATCGATCGGTGGCATCGACGCGATCGGTCGTCGATCGATCGATCGGTGGCATCGGTCGTCGATCGGTCACGTCGCGACTGATCGATAGGCGGCTGTGAGCCTTTCCATCAGCGACTCGACGTCGTGGACGGTGGAGATTCTAAACCCTACGACACACCCTCGGTCCGGTGGAGTCGTCCCGCGGGCCAATCGTCGTTCGTCCCGCGTCGACGGACGCGACGACGATTGGTCATCGCGGCGAGGACGGGATCGAGCGACGATCGGGTGAGGACGACGACGACGACGACGACGACGACGACGGACGCGCGACGGACGCGCGACGGGACGGAACGGACGAGCGACGGACGACGGGACGGACGGGACGGACGGGACGGACGGGACGGCGATGGAGGCGCGCGCGCGCGATGGACGCGATCGAGAGGGACGGGAGGCGCGGACGGGGGGGCGGGGACAGGCGGGACGTGCGTGGGGGGGTGAACGACGGGTCGGGAAGAAGATGAAGCGGGAGGATGGGGACGCGCGGGCGAGGCGAGCGAACGCGGCGTGCCTGCGCGCGCGCGCGGCGCGCGCGCTGTCCAGTCCGCACGGAGACGATGGGCGGTACGGTGACGCGCGAAAGAGAGATGCGATGGCGATACATGATGAACAGAAGCGGGTGTGGGAGGAGAAGTTCCGGAGCGAGGCGTACGACCCGACGCCGTCGAACCTCGCGTATCGGTACGAGCCGCCGGACCTCGCGCGGAAAGAGGTCTTCGCGTCCGACGTCCCGATCGACACCGCGTACGGCGTCGAAGAGGACGTTGAAAATCGGCGAGGGTCGAGCTCGGAAGCGGACACGAGCGAGCAGACAAAGATAGCGGTGTTGCGCGGGACGGGCGAACGCACGCCGCCGCCGGTCAACTCCGCGTCCCGGGGACGCACTTTGTGTGAGCTTTACCCGCACCAGAGGGCGCGAAAAGGAGACACATCGACGCTTCAGACGTTTTACAGTGTGTTGAGGGACAAAGTGACCCCGGAGGAGCTGTTACGAGGTGAAGACGAGAGATGGTGGCGAGAGTTTGAAAACCAAGGCGCAATGGTGATAAAGATTGAAGACGGTTGGGATCTTTTGGACGACGCGAGCGCTCTGTGCGACTTATCGTGGATCGGGACCAAAAAGTTGAAACTATCGACGCTTGGACCTGACTATCAGTACATTCGACAAAATTTGCCTGACAGTAAGACGGGTTTACTTCAACCGTTCCGAGCTATGGACGATCACGATCGTGACGGAGAGGTTGGCGCGTTTGTCGAAGATTTTCAGGAGAGAACTCGAACGCACGCCGATCAGTTCAGGCTGATGGACGTCGATGCTCGTGAGGCGTGGTTCTTACAGCAAGTCCACAGTGGATTTCCTCTTCAGTTCCCGTACCTGCAGGGGATCAGCATCGAAGCGCTCCTGAAAAATGTGCGCCAAGTCGATCCAAACGAGACCACGCAGAGACATGCGTGGGATCCACGTTTTCTCGGGACGAGGGAGCCGAGTATTTTGAAGAAATGTCTGCAATTATGTGAAGCCTCTCACCACTGGCGAAGGGGTGTGAGCGACGTGCGGCCTCCCCCGAGAGAACAGTCGAGTGACTTGTATAACAACGTGATCAAGCAAACGGTGGACGAGGCGAGAGAAGAGGAACGGAAGTTCACAGGTGGTGAAGTCACACGATTGCCCTCAGCCGTGATGCAACGACGGGTCGAACGAAGAGAGAGTAAGAAGAAAGGAAAACGACACAGCTCTTTGGGTGTATCGCTCGAGTCTAACCCAGACGTGTTGAAGATGGTGGAAGCGCAAAGCGATAAGAAGCTTTGGGGCGTCGGCATCATCACGCCGTGGCTCTACTACATGGGGGTCGGCTCCGTTTTCCCGATGCACTTCGAAGATTACGCCTTTGCATCCGCAAACGTCCTGCTTGAGCGCCCGGAGTCTCAGTCAGCGGTGGTATGGTACAGCATTCCGCGCTCCGATCTTTACTTGGTTCACACCTACTTGCGTGAAACGCTCGGGGATGAATACTCGGTGGATATCCTTGAAATGCGCAGGCTGTGGCTCGATCCGGTGCGCATCGAACAGTGGAACAAAAAGCGCGCGAGCAAGGACGGCCGAATCCGAGTATATAGACACGTTCAACGCGCAGGAGATTACGTGGTGAGCGATTACGGCTCCATTCACTGGGGCGTCAACCTGGGCGATGGCTGGAAAGCCGCCGTCAACTTCGCTTACGTGGATTGGAAACCGGCGGCTGAAGAAGTCAACGAAGTGTACAGACGACTCGAGGAAGAGACCGGAATGTCTCGCCATCATCGTTGCTGTCCAAAGTTCCACGAACTGGATGACTTTTTCAGCGCTGAACTACTCACCCAACCCTCGGCTTTCGCGCAAACTGATACCGGTAGATAGATTTTGGGCATTACGTGTGTTAGACTATTTGTAATGATCTACACTGTATAAGTACTACAACTCGTGCGCTTAAATCTTGACGCGGGGGCACACGATCAAGCTTTGGGCACACTCGCGATTGTTTCGGGATGTGTTGGATTGAACACCGACACTGGAGTATAGTCGACGGCGTACCCTTCTTTCTTCAGCTTGGCGACGTAAAATTCAGGAAACTCCTTTTCCAACTCATTTCTAGTGTCCGCAACGTGTACTGGCTTGTCGGTGAGGTAAAGTGGCTCTCTGAATGAGATGTTCAACCAGGGAGTAGGATCGAGTCGGCCATCGATCATCGTGCGAAGAAACGCCTGCCACGACCCGCGCCCGAGGTTCAAATCAACCTCATCACGCACCATTTGCGTCATCTTAATACGCTTATGACCCTTGACAGTGCTTAAATCGATCCAGTTCGCGTCTTCTGCCTCGGCTATGACTTTAAGCCAGTGTTTAATCTGATGTATTCCCTCTGCGACGGCAAGTCGTTCCTCGATGCTCCGCGACACTGGAAGTATCGCCATGTCACGAGCTCTAGGTCGCTTTCCGTGCAAAAGCCTGAAATCTAAATGAATATGCTCTTTTGACAGACCTTGCTCGTGTCTCCACCATCCACGAGGGATGTAGAGAAAGTCTCCCGGCTCGAGCACGAAGCTTAGGCCTCTAACCGAGGTGAATGCTGGCGTTTGCCCGTAAACCACGTCGTCGAGGTCCACCATGCTGTAGCCATCGTAAGGGTGGGCAACGGGGTACGGGTACATACCTCCAAACGAGTGTTTCGGAGGAATCAGCAAAATTCTTCTTCGTCCATTTACTTGTAGGTGAATCGATTCTTCGAGATAATAGCGCGCTGGGTTCAAGCTATCGCGTTGACCAGCGACGAGACGCATCGAGAGGAGCTGACCGAATCGCTGCGCTCGCGTGAATCGATTGAACCACCCCCAGTCGATCCCACTACAAACATTCTTGATGAAGTCGTCTGGACACCTTTGATCGAAGTCACTCTTGGGCGGTGGGTCTGCGATATCTTCAGCGTTCACAATCGTCTTCGCGGTGAAAATTTCCGCGTCAAATAAAATAGATTTCTCCCTCCAATTTCGAGCGCACTGAACGAAATCTTCAAACTTGCATCGCATCGTCTCTACCTCGGGCTCACGAATGTGATAATAAGAGCCGTGCGCATTCTTAGACGCATCGCACACCAAGAATTTATGCTTGCTCGAGGGACACATCAAACACTCCCACTCGCTCGCTCCGAGCGCCGACGCGACTCTTTCAAAATCCCACGTCTGCTCCAGTCCCTGGAATCGATCGGCCACGTACTTCGAACTTACGTCGCCTAAAACACCCGTCCTCTTCAAAACCATTGGCTGACTTCGCATCATCGTCGCCATCGCGTCTTGGTGTTCCCTGGAGGACATCGCCTTGAAGTCGCGCGTCGCCGTCGCCGAGCGCTCGGCGTCGACGCACGTCGGCGGGTATCTCGCCGGCGGATCCTCACACGCGTTCAACGATCGTGCGCTCACGTGTGCGTCGATCGCATTCGTCCTGAACACATCGCTCAGCGTCGTCGTGGGCGCGAGCGCCAACGCATCGCTCCCGTGTCCCCGTCGAGCGCGTCGTCTCGCTCGAATCACCCCTCGACCGAACCGTCCACCGTTCGTCCCGCATCGCGCATCGCCCGTCGTCCCCGCCGACGCCCGCGCGTGGTCGTCGTCCATCGTCGCTCGACGATCGCCTCGATCGCGGTCGCGAGTGCGGTCGCCAGCGCCCGTGCTCGCGAGACGGTCGTCAAAGTAACGCTTCACCGCCGAGCGTTTTTTTTTGTCCCGCATCACCGTCGTTTCACCCGCGCGCCGTGGACGTGGACGCGGGCGTCTCGGGCGTTGGCGTGATTTATCGCCTAAACCCTGCACGCTCGATGGGCTCCACGGCCCCCACACAGTGAGTCGCCACGTGATGGCGTCGACCGACACCCGACGACGCGCGCGCGGTCGACGTCGAGCGACGACGACCCGACGGTCGCGCGCGGTCGATGCGGTCGAGCCGAGCGCTCGGGCGTCGCCTGCGAGCCGGCCTCGACGTCGTCTCGTCGTCGGGACGTCGATCGGAATCGATCGGTGGTGGCGTCCTGGACGCGGGCTCGAGCTCGAGCGGTCGGCGCTGTGATGCGCTCGACGCGCCTCTGGGTCGGCGCCGAGCGTCTGCTCGCGCGCGCGGGCTGTACGGACTCGAGGGGTTTCACCAATCGAGCGATCTCGAGCGATTGGCGCGAGAGACGATCTCGAGGTGCGATGCGAAGGCGCGCGAGCTCAGAGCGCGCGCGCCGAGCGGCGCGAGCGTGCGAGCGTTGGATGAGATATCAGATGATATATGTCGCGTCGTCGACGTCGCCGAGGTGTGCCGACACACGCATCCGTCGCAAACGTACGTCGAGGGGGCCGAGCGCGCGTACGTGACTCTGCAGGAGTACGTCGCGAGCCTGAACGCAGACGTCGGGCTGTACGAGGCGCTTCGGCGGGCGAGGGAGACAGACGGGAACAATCTGAGCGAAGAGGGCGCGCGAGTGGCGCTCACGCTTCAGGAAGACTTCGAGAGAGGTGGTATCCACTTAGATCTCGCGGCTCGCCGTGATTTCGACGCTAGTTTATCGAAAAGTTTGGAACTCGGGATGGAGTTCCAACGCAACTTGCTTCGTCCCGAGCACTCGAGCACGGTTTCGCTGGAGGCGAGCGCGTTCAATGGTCTGCCGAGCTCGGTTAAACGGAAATTTAGACAAGATAAAGATGGTAAAGCGTGGAGGGGAATGGTGGACTCGTCCAATTCGTCCGCGCTGTTGCGGCACCTGAGGGATCCCGGAGCCCGAAGAGATGTGTACGTAGCAGCAAATTCTGGACCTGAACCGAACAAACATGTCCTCGCCGAGCTCTTGTCCGCTCGAACCGACGTCGCTCACTGTCTGGGATTCAACACGTACGCGAGCTTTGCGACGGCGCCCTTGATGGCGCGAAAGCCAGAGGCCGTTCGCGAGTTCCTCTTACATTTTTCAGAGAGTCTTCGAGAACGCTCCGAGGAGGAGTACGGGGTGATTCAACGGTACAATGGTGGGAAAAGCGTCTCAGCGTGGGATAAAACTTATTTGATGGCACAAGCTCGCGGATACGAGTGCGATATCACTTCGTCCGCGATTTCGGAATACTTTCCACTCGACGGTGTCATCACCGGCATCGGGGCTCTTCTCGAACGCGTTTTGGGCATGCGAATCGAATTAAAAGACTTGGATCCAGGCGAAGGATGGACTAATGATTTGAAAAAGCTCGTCGTGAAATCAAAAGACGGTGAAACGCGAGGCACGGTGTACTTGGATTTACTCCCCAGACCGGGAAAATTTAGTCACGCAGCTCACTTCGTGATTCAGTGCAGTCGCATGATTTCTCCAACAGAGCGACAGCATCCATCGGTCGCTCTCGTGTGTAACTTCCCTCCAAGCGGTGGAACTGGAAAATCGTTATTGACCCATGGAGAGGTCGAGACGTTGCTGCACGAGTTCGGTCATGCGATGCACTCCGTGCTATCCGACACTGAGTTCCAACATCTCTCCGGAACGAGAGCTCCGATGGACATTGTTGAGGTTCCTAGTCATTTATTCGAGCACTTCGCGTGGGATCCGAGCGCATTGAAGCTGTTAGGAAGACACTATCTCACTCAGGAGCCTATAACTGACGCGATGATTGCCGCTCTGCGAAAGTCCAAGGACATATTCAGCGCGCTTGAGGCGCAGCAGCAGCTGGTGTTTGCGCTCACAGACTTAGAGCTTCACGATCAAAGCTCTCGACTGTCGCCGAACGCGGTCGCCGACATCGCGGCATCGGTACAAAATGACCACAGTCTGTTCAAACCCACTCCCGGTACGAACTGGGAGCTTAGCTTCGGACATTTTGTCGGTTATGGTGCCACGTATTATTCGTATTTGTACGCAGATGTCTTAGCGAACGACATCTGGCAACGCTATTTTGTGAGCGACAGTCTCGCTTCTGGGGCGGGAGAGACGCTTCGCGATAAATTATTACGACACGGAGGGTCGAAGGATCCAGAAAAGTTGGTGAGAGAAGTGCTGGGAAAGGATTCTCTCGTCGAAGTAGGAGGAGGTTTTAGACCAAAGAGATGAGAAATTACAACATCGAGGAATAGTACCGGTAGTTTAGTCGAACGTGATTTTCGTAGCCTTCACGGTCATGTCAACTTCCTTGAAGTGAGCACCGTAAAGCTTGCTTTCCTTCTTTTTTACGTGGGTACCAAACTTCGTGAGATCTTCGGGAACTTCGGCTCCTGCTTTGCGCAACACGTTCACGAGTTCGCCGGCTCGCGCTTTGTCATGCTGAGTGAAGAAAGTGTGGGCCAGACCTGTGGCGCCAGCGCGGCCAGTTCGACCGATTCTGTGGACATAATCCTCAGTTGTGAGAGGAAATGTGTAGTTGATGACGTATTCGACTCCCTTGATGTCGAGACCGCGCGCCGCGACATCCGTGGCAATCAAAATTCGCGAAGTTCCCTTCTTGAACGCCTCGACAGATCTTTCACGGTCAGCCTGGGACATGTCACCATGAATGCACACCGCCGGCCATTCACGAGACAATCGCTGATGAAGGTTCGCGCATTCCTTCTTGTAAAGACCAAAAATGAGTGTTCTTGGGCAATCCTTGGGACTGCCCAGATATTGCTTCATGACACGAGCCAAGTGTCTATCCTTGTCTTGCGGCTCGACAACTTCGACTATTTGAGTGATGCTTTGAGACGCCTTCAAGCCCTCCGAACCGATTCGTACTCTAACAGGATTGCACATGAACTCCGAGGCGAGGCTTTGCACGCTCATCGGCCACGTCGCGGAAAACATGACAGTCTGCCTATCAGCGCGAGTGGCTCCGGCGATGGCGCGAATTTCAGGTTCGAAACCCAAATCGAGCATACGATCCGCTTCATCGAGCACCAGCATCGTAACGCGATCCAGTTTAATCACACCTTCTTCCATAAAGTCGCGAAGTCGACCCGGCGTGGCGACGATGACCGCGGCGCCTCCTCCAGCTTTCATTGCGTTCTTTTGCTCGTATTTCGGAGCACCACCGTACACACACACGCAACGAACGCCCGAAGCTTCACCAGCGTCGTCGAAAACCTTTGCCGTTTGCTGCGCTAACTCACGCGTGGGCGCAAGCACCAAACAGATGGGCTGACCCGGCTTGCACGGCGGTTGAGAGCGAATTTGCGTCAGAGCCGGCATCCCGAACGCGAGCGTCTTCCCCGAGCCAGTCGCCGCGATACCAACCATGTCTCTTCCGCTCATGACGATCGGCCACGATTGAGCCTGAATCGGCGACGGTTTCTGAAAGTTCGCCGTCACTCTGAGGAGTTCCTTGGAGAATCCCGCGTCCTCGAACGTGCTCACGGGCGCCAAATCGACGTCCAGTCCCTCCACCTGCGTGATGGCGAGCGTTTCCCTCGCGGCCGCCACGTCCTTGGCCGACATCGAAGCTAGCTTTTTCGGCGGTTCGTAGAACACTCTCTGAAAAGCGCTCGACGTCGACGCGAGCTCGCGATCGCCCACGGCGGCGTACTCGTTCGAAGACGAGACTTTGCTCTTTTTGTGTCCGCCATCGCTCGTCTTCTTCTCAGCACCTCCGTCTCGGTCACGCTTCGCCGACTTCTCCTTCTTCTCTCGCTTCTCCTTCTTCTCCTTCTTCTCCTTCTTCTCCTTCTTCTCGCTCGACCCCATGATCGTCGTCGTCGTCGTCCGGTGCGGTCGTCGGTCGTTCGGTGTCGGCGGCGGCGGGTTTATGTTTTGTGTAGCGCCGAGCGGGTTTGTGTTTTGTGTTTTGTCGCCCCGGCACCGCCTCCGTCGCCTCCGCGCCACGCGCACGCGTCGTCATGGTGGACGACGAGGACGAGGACGAGGGTCCATCGACCTCGTCCTCGCGCCCGGTCGTGATCTCCTCAAACGTCATACGCGCCCTCACCGCGGTCGTGGGGCGCCAGACGGACGAACAGAGGAGTAATCCCACGGCGTTGGCGCGCGCGCGGGACACCTTGGAGCGCGCGTTGGTGGATGCGTTCGGTGATGGGTTCGAGATCGAGAGCGAGCGCGACGGTCGAACATGTGTAGAGACGATCGCTGGCGTGCTCACGCTGCCGAGACGAGGAGCACACGAGGGGGTGACCACGGAGGCCGTGCGGGCGCTGCGCTCGGCGTGCGCTTTAGGCGCGTCGGGGACGCGAGACGCCCTGCGGAAAACGGAGACGGCGCCCACGCTCGGGTTCGTCATGTCGACGCTCATATCGATCGCACACGAGGAGACGATGTCGGGGAGCAAAGCCCTGCGCGCGATCGCGCTGGAGACGCTGGATGGACTGATACGAACGGTGAACGATGCGGACGCGCTCGCTTTTTTTCTTCCGGGAGTCGTCTCGGGTCTGACCAAAGCGCTCGCAGCAGCGAGCGGCGTTCGCCCGAACGTTGGTGCGGGACCGGGCGGGGCGGGGTCGGAAGGCGTGGAGTACGCCCTGAGCTCCTTGGGGTCGATTCTAACGTGCGTGCTGAACGATTCTCTGTACGATGAGTTCAGCGATTTGGATGCGAGCGCAAATTTACACGTCGTGTCTCTGGCCGACATCGTGAAAAAATCGACGCAAAATGGCAATCAGAAAATTGTGAAAAATCATGATGTCAAAGTTTCGAGAGAAGACGAGCCACCACCTCACGTCGAGAGCTCTGAAAGAGATTTTAGAGTGATTCGGCACGGTGAGTGGTTGCGCAACGCTGCATTGCGAGTTGAAGCTGCGGTGCTGATGACGATTCCTCCACTCGTCCGTAACGAGCGTGCCTCTGTCAGACTACAAAGCGCGAAAACAGCCGCTCGAATCATTCAGAATTGTTCACACGTTCTGGGGAAGAAGGTTCGACGTCGGATGATGGAGTGCGTGCTGACGGCGGCGGGAGATGACTGGCCTCAAGTCTCAAAACCCATCATGGACGAACTGAAATCTCTTGATTCTCTCGGTCGCGTCTTTCGAGAGGATCTCGAAGCCATAGTGAAGGAGGATTTGTTTAAATTTGCGGATACGCTACGCGATTCATGTGCTCCGGCAGCCGCTGGACACGTTCGATGTCTACTCATTGCGCTCGATTTCATGGGTCCCGTGCGAGTGAAGGAAATACTCCTCGAGAATCTAACTTTCAGAGAGCTGCTGTGTTCTACAATCGTTGAGTGCCTCCTAATTGAAAATCATACTTCGAAAAGAATTCGAGCGGGGCAATCTTTGCGGTTGATAGACTTGAGTGAAGCAAGCGTGCCCACTGCGAGAACGCTTCCTCGGAAGCCAACACGGTTGCAGTACTTTGCCGTATCAGGCGTTTACGAGGACTTTGCTAAAGTGTTGAGATTGCTCGGAGCAGCGTCAGCAATTACGACGGACGTTTCGCCTGAGGCGTACCTCGTTCCAACCGCTCAGTTCTTCTTGAACAGCTTGAGAGATAACGGAGAGCAGCTTTGTGCGCTTGCAACCACGGGTATGTGGCAACGAAACGCCACTGCACACATCGTCGCTCTGAATGAAATGATGTATGGTGCCATCAACGAGAAAAAAGTCGACAAAAAGTATCTTGTTCAATTTTGCGGTCTGGTCGTCGAAGAATATGCGTGCAGTCAAGTCTGGGACATCGACACGATGGACCAGGATAATGCTCTTCTGCTTTGCCAGTTGATGGAGGGATTTGGAATAGTCGGTGAGGCTCTTGGCGCGGATTACATTCGAAACACTTCGCTCTTGGCTACCGTACTTTGCCCGTTGCTCGATAAGCTTGGCGACGATTCTACGGCGGTGCGAGACACCGCGGCACTTGTCTTGCTCACTCTGGCTCGAAGCGGTGAGTATGACTATGTCAATGCAGATCATTCAGCGATCGGAAATCTGGTCATCGCGAACGCAGATTACGTCATTGACATGGTATCTAGACAGATGCGTCACATGGACACGCATCATCGCGCTCCTCGTCTGTTTGCAGCGTTACTGAGGAGGACTGATGCGGCAAAGAGCATGGTGAAGCTCCTCGCAGAACCAGTTCAACTGGCGGCACGGACTTTCTTAATTTCGAATCGAGAACGAACCCAGTCGTACGCCGAGGGATTTTTAGTCGCCATGAAAGAGTACTGCTCTGCAGTTTTGCTAGAAGTACGAGATATCGAGAAATGTTCTCGCAACGTTGTGGAACGACTGCAGATTTATCACCCAGAAGAGCCAGACAGTGACGACGAGCTCTCAGAAGTGTTTGTGGAGCAAATTCAAAAAGTACTTCCAGACGATCTTGAATCGACGCAGTCGAGTTCACTAGAACGCGTTCGTCGAATCCAATCTATGGTTTGTTGCGCATCGGAGTTACTGCGATGCATCAGTGCAATACTGGAATCCCCTGACACTGGAAATCGAAGCCTGGCCGCTTTGGCTTGTGGACTCGGCATCGAGAGCTTGGCTGCCGCCGAATCAGCTTTGCGACATGAGAAATACATCTTAAAGGTACTCAAAGCCTACGGTGGCAAAGGTTCACTACCTTTTGACATTGCCGAACTCTACAAAGAAGCACGTGTTCTGCCGCATGTGCACAACATTTGGCCTCACGTCGTGTTATCACTGAGCAGTCGGTATCAACTCTCCACTCAGTTTGAAGCATTCGAGGCGAGTTTGAAGCTTGTACACACGCTCGCATTCACCAGTGGTGGAGAGTTTATTGCGAAGCGCACGCATGCAGAATTATGGCCGATTTTTGCACGGATACTCACGCACGGGGTTCGTCACTCTGATAATCGACACCGTTCACTTGACCTCCTCACAATTGCCGATACGGTTGACACTGATTTCATTCCCGATCACGAAGTCGCGTTTGAGCTGACAAAAAACGTTCGCATCTCAATTTGTCGAACGCTGGAGACCATCGCCGCGTCAGAGAATTCAAGAGACGCATTGCGAGACTTGGTTGCAGAGTCTGTGCCTATCATCGCAAAGCTAGCCGTCGAGGGTGACAGCGCACTACGATCAGCCGCGTCGAGGACTATTCGCGCGTTTGCAAACGTTAATGGTGACGAGGTCTGGTTGTATCTAGTCAAAACAATCGCTCGCGCGGGTGCGTGCATCGAAGTGCCCACTCCCACGTGGGGACCAGGGCGAGCCGGAGCGCACGTGCTGCCCAGTGTGTCTGAGATTGTTCCAAGGTACCGGACGAATGCCGAAAAACGACAAAGCGGCGAGCTACAATTCGCCCTCAGTACTCTGAACTCCTTAGCGTTATAGATTGTGTAGTTTCAAACTCTAGTAGATAGCTAATTTTCGCGACGATGCCGACGAGCCCCGATCCGTACCCCAGGAACGACCGCTGTTTGCAACCGCCGTCGACTTGTCACAAGATTTGTAAAATCATCGATTTCCGGTTCCCTGGGCTCCAAATGCACGCATGTTGACGGATATCGAATGCCTTGATATAATCCGTTGTCGAAGTATACGAAAACATCGTGAATGATCCCTGTCCAGGGAAGGAAGTACTGAGTCGGCTGGGAGCCTTCGAAGAGTGGTGAGGCTTCATACACCGCAAAGTGTCCAATCGCTGGTAACGTGCGATCTCGTGCGCTCGTGGTACCTGGAGCGTCTCCATACATTTCTAAAAGATCACTTGGCCGTCCGATTGGATCACTCGAGTGCTCACCGTTACCCAACGTTATCTTCTCATGCAAGTTGCCAGACACGTTGTAGAAAGGTTGGAACACGAATTGGCCCATGGTGTATGGATCTGCTATGCCTCTCAACTTGTCATTTATGTAGATCTTTGTCGTGTTCGATACGCCATCATACGTACAAAGCACCTTGAATCGGATTCCATCCCGAGCTACGAAGCCTTTGCCCGGCACCGAAACATCGACGATGCGCAAGCCTCCGCCCAATTCGAGTGGGCTGTTGTTGTACGAGTCCATGAACGTCTGCGCGCCGAATCGCACTTCTCCCGCGTCCGTAACGAAGAGTACGAGTGAGCCGCCGCAAGATGTCTGGTATGGCGCGCATCCTCCGATCGTCGCCACCGTTTGAGCAATCAAGCCAGTACAAGGTATGCACCACCACCATGTAATTAATAAACACCAAGGATCACAGATCGGTAATGAATCGTACGTGACGACGGCCTCCACTGATATTCTCAAGCCCGCCCGACCGTAAAGACCTGCAAAGATTACAGGAAAAATTGCAGTCAGAAACGACGAAGATCGCGCGCGCAGTCGTATATTTAAGAAAATTGAATTCGCCGAAATAATTCGAACCTGGAAGCGTGTAGGAGCAAGGCGGAGACTTGCATTGACCGAATCGCCGAATGCGACCTTCGCTCAACTCAAACGCATGGCCGCGCCGATACGTGAAATCCGCAGTGCGGCAGACGTCGTGAAAACGCGGTAGCAGCACTTTGTCAACCTACAGATGATTTTTTCGACGACAATTAATTAATTAAATGTTTGAAGTTGAAGTAATTAATTTACCGTGTACAGCTCACCATTCAGAGCGTGCTGACCTGTTGACATATCCTGCACGTATGGATTGATGTGTGCGTTGAAAATGAGCAATGAAAGACACGCGCGTACCGGCGAAATTATCCGCGCAAAGTTTGCTCGAGGTGCACTGCGCGGGACAATTCAACCTGAGCCGAATCGGTAAGCATGAATTTTACCTCTGTGAGATGGAAGAGCTCGCCGTTGGACCGATGATGCGTGGAGCCGCTATAAACGCGTTGATTGGTGTGCATACCTGCCCTATGCAGCGTTGCTGCGCTCCAAATCGCATTATATTTGCACTCTAAAATAATAATTAATTAAAAAGAAATAATTGAAACGTTCCATTCCCACCGAAGTGTAAACCGACAGTGCAGTTATGATTTCATCTCCGTCTCTCGCGTCTTTCGATTGCCATGGTGCGTAAGTTTCTCTTTCAACGTCGAGAAAATGCTCCGTTCGTGGTGCAATCATAAATAAAATAATGTCAAATAGGAGAGCCGTCGAGCTACCAATGAGATCCTCCTGCGTCGTCGTCCATTCGCTCAGAAGCGCAAACCAAGCCGCGTTCGTCGGTGCAAAAATGGTAGTGTCTCCGTTCCCGAATCCTTGTACGCGAAACTCGCGCTGGAGACCGAGCACGTTGATCAACTCTCGGAACACACGTAACGTCGGCGTGCGCCAAAGTCGATCGTACAAACTCAGACCAAGTTCCGCTGTGGGAGGGATCAGCGCTCCATTGATGATACCTATGCCACCGCTCGTCGACGGAACGTCCGTCGTAATGAATTGCGCGGTATTCAAGCGCCCCTGGAGGCTGTACCGGGGAGCAAAAAGGAGTTTCTTTGTGTCTAGCGCAGAAAGGACTCTGACTGTTTTGGCTATTGGTGTTCCTTCAAACGTGTTGGCGGAACGCTTGGATAAAATAGGGTACGCCAGTCGCGTTGTGAGTTGCTGCTGATCGCGAATGAATCCCACTCGAAATTGAAGTCTCTCTGGTGCTCCTGCACCGCTTCTTGTGCCGACGACATGGTACGTCACAAATTGCTCCACCAAAGCCTCTTGTTGCAGTAAATCCTCAAAACTCCAACCCAAATACGTCAAAGTTAGCTTTATAGCTAAATCTGTGGGTGCAAAGACGATGCTGTCTACGAAAACATTACTCTCAGAAGGCGTATCGAGCTCTAACAGCAACTCAGAATTCACGGGGGCACGCAACATTTCTGTGAACATGGAAAGGTCTCTGCGCAACGATAACTGACGAAATGCCGTCAGTGTCGGTGGAATCAAGACATGATCTATAACGTGCACGACCCCAGTACAAGAGGCGATATCGGAAGCCACCACTTGCGCTGTGTTCTCAAAGCGTGAACTTGTCGAAATCCCAGATAATTTCATGTATCGAGGCATAATTCTTGAAACATCCACCTGTAGGCGTAACCAAGGAATTTCTACTTGACCCGGGAAAGCGCTCAAAAATGACGACGCACCAACTGGGCGTAGTCGCTGACTCGCATCGAAGCTTGTCGAGAGGTAAGACATCAAGGCATCCTGTGCCACGTCTCCCTGTACTTGCAGCTCGGTGTACAGAAGAATGCTCAGAAGTAGAGCGTGATCAGCGAAGACAGCGGACTCGGTCAGTTCAGTTTTGAGGAAAAAGTGTCTCCAAGCTCGATTTGAAGGCAGGAAATAAGCTCGAAATCCGTTGTTTATTGCGCAGTTGACCACACTTGATTTCGCTACGGACCCATCATACTTGTATTCGTTTGATTCGAACATGACTCGAAACGACTCCGTGACTCGAAGCGCTTCCATTGTCTTACTAAGCTGTGGCAAATATCCAGCAATTTTGAAAACGCTCGGAAACAAGTCAGGAGCCAGCCACGGGATCAACAGGTCTGAGACAAGGACACCGCGTAGTTGTGAGCACACGACTATATCTGTGGCAAAAACATCCGCCACGGTGGGTCCAGCGTCGCTATATATCTTCAGCTTGCGAATGTTAACGTCTTGCACGATCGAAACTCGCAGCCTCGGCACGGTCGATGACGCGGTGTTGAGTTGCGTCCCGTCTTGAACATCACGTGGATCGAGTGAGCCAAAAATTATGGAAGACTCCAAAATATCGCACACTAAATGTTCATCTTTTAAAATTTCCTCCAATCCTTTATTCATGATGAGTGAAGCTCTCTCAAAAGCGTCATCTGGTGTGATCAAAAGCGTCACGCGCTCCGAAGCAGTCGCCGCAGTCTGCAAGGTGCCTGCGCACCGCGAAGCCATCCCAACATCTATGAGCGCCCCAAAAAAATCGGCGCTCGTCTCGAACTGTTCGTCGACACTCGAGTTCGTTCCGAAACTATTCCTCATTGCTCGCCAGATCGTTGTTCTCGAAAGGCGAGTGGTGCATGCATGTGCACCACTCACCAGTAACCACGAGCAGCATAGGAGTGGGAGGAGAACGCTGCAGTACTCAAGTCCACCTCGACGCAGAGGCACTGCCGAGGTACAGAAGTACGACACTCGTGCACCCCTCATCTTGCAAAGACATGGTCCATAAGGTTTCGAAGTCGCCCCTACGGAGTACGAGGCGATGAGTGAGGTGCGCGCACAATATAAGCACGATGTGACTTGCTATGACTACAAGGAAACTAGAATTAACTATTCGCTACGTCGAACGAAGATTTTTGATTCGAAAAATGTTCCACAGCACTTTGCACGACTCCTGCCATCGTCACCACGCCTCCGATGATGGAGCAGATCCCAATGATGAATGCTCCAAATGTCGTGCGCGTTTCTTTGAAATCGACACGAATCGGCTCAATTTCGTAGGTGAAGAATACTCCCGGATCCCTGCCGTTTGATGAGCCCCCCAGGGATCGCTGAGATGTTGTGAAAGTCTCAGTCACGCTGTATTGATGAGTGCTGATCCTCGCGTCTCCTCTCAACGGTTGAAACGTCGTTGCCACAACATTCAGAAAATATTGCTGCACCGCGTTCGGGGGGAGTGAGCGATGGGTACCATCGAGGGGACTCACCAAACCGGGAAATCGTTCGCCGAACGACAAACGATGTATCGTGTGAGTCAAGTTCAAGTCTGTGTGCACATTCAGCTTAAATTGTTGCATGCCCATCATCACAACTCTGCCCGGAGAGATGGAAATCCGTCCCGGCACTCGATTGACTTCAAGGTATCCCTTCACTTCGCACCCTTCACGCGCCTCATTCCGAAAAGCGTTCTCGATACCCTCCGGAAAAGCTTCTTTTAGCATGCTCTCGAACCCGAAAACACCAGCAAAGCGATGAGCCCGATCCTGTTTCTGCAACGCGGTCTCGTTTCCAACCACTGAATCAGTCTGGTTCATCTTCTCAAGCGCCTGCACCATCTCTTTATGCTTATTCGGCTTCTCAGACGTAAACGTTGCATCGATAGGTTTGCCATCTTTATCTACTCTCCTCTTCTCGATGTGACCATCATGCACGTCGTAATGCTGTTCCCCGGCTTTATCTGAAGTGTCCAACGTGATGAGATTGCACGCCATGCTGTGAAAGGTGATATCGATGTCGATCTTCAGTCTCTCGGCGTTCGGCGTCACGCTGTGAACGCCCATGGGATTCACCCTAAGCTCACTCACCACCTTGGTAGTCCTGTACGCGAAGAACTCGCCGAGGAAGAGGAGCAAACACAACGCTCCGCACACCAACGTGATGATCACTCCAGACGTTGATTGTCGCGCGTAGTCCTCCTTAAGCTTAGGATTGGCGTCTAAAGACTTGAGTAGAGCGCTCATTCTCTTCGTTGGGGTCACCTCATCGTCATCCCGAGCGTTAGATCCGATGTTACGTCGGGTTAAACCACCGCGATCGAGACGGTTCATTCGTCCTCCTCAACGCACGACGTGCGTCCGCGAATGATACGAAACGCCCGTCAACGTGCGAGTACTGCCGTCGCAGACGATTCAAACGACGATGCGAGCGTCTCAGCGCGATCAATGCGCGCGCGCACTTCGCGTTGTGGCGTCCCAGACTCTCGACGCGCTCGTTATGTTTGGTTGGCAATGTGAGTTATGACAAGTCTCCTACGTGTCCATCTCGCCTTCGCTTCTCGCAACCGCGCTTACTCGACCAGCTGCACGGCGGCGATGGATGGGATCTTTTCCCTCAGCTTTTGCGTCACGGCGACGCGAACCGTCATAACCTTGGCCGCCGGTCCCGTCAGGCGCACCTTGACGATGGGTTCTTCGATATCTAAGAGCTCTAACACCCCTCCGCCGGTTCCGGCGAGGTAGGGCCTGATTTCGTTCAGCGTCTGCTCGACGTTTTCTTCGGTCAGGGGTAAGCCCTCGATCTCGTCCTCGATCTGGATCACCTCCATTATGTCTGGAATCTTCTCCAGGAGACGCTTCTCGATCCCCATCCTCATGGTCACCGTGCTCGAGGGGCACGACCCGCACGCGCCCTTGAGCTTGAGCTTGACGCTTAAACCATCGATTTCCACGAGCTCGACGTCACCACCGTCCGCGATGAGGTACGGTCGCACCTCGTCGAGCACTTTCTCAATGTTATCCGCCGTGAGCTCCAGAGTGTCCAGGGCGCCGTCCGAGGTCGGGGGCGACGCGCGCGCGCGCGTTCGCCGCCACGCCCGACCGCGGGTGCGTCGCACCAACGTTCGCGCGCTCGTCCTCGAGCTCGACGCGCTCGCGCTCGACTGCGCGCGAACGAAAGCCATGGGCGCGACGAAGTGACGACGTCGGCGCCGCGCACCCCCCTCCGCGCCGACGCGTGGCACCACGAGGGGACTCGGGGTTGATTCATGACTCATGGTGATGCCCCACCACGCCTCGGGTCGAGGTCGAGCGCGCGGACGGGCGCGAGCGCGCGTCGGTGCGCGCGCGATCCGGGCGCGCGCGCGACGGTGCGACGACCTCCTCGTCCTCGGCCTCGCGCGGAGCTCGGTCGAGGCGACGGGGGCGACGGGCGATCGATTTCGACGCGCGATGACGACGACGACCACGGCTGCATTCATGGCTCGAGCGAACCCGAGGTCGTTCGGGCGCATCCTCCTCGCGCATCGTCAGCGAGCGCTGAGCGAGGGACGGTGGACGAGACGCTCCGTCGTGGTCGTGACGAACGCATCGGGACAATCCGCTCCGGGAACGGCGCGGGCGAACAGAGGAATCGGGGGGACGCCGCTCATTCGCTCGGACGCGGCGACGGGGCCGACGCTCGCGAGGAACGCGCGGTTGGTGTACGGATCAGCGGTGAGCGAGACCGTCGAGAACGGCGGAGAGAGCGGTACCGAGGGACGAGATCTCACAAAACTCTGGCTCACGAACACGATGACTCGGAAGAAAGAACTCTTCATCCCCAGGGACCCGGCGGGGAAAAAAGTGCAAATGTACGTGTGCGGAGTCACCGTGTACGATTATTCGCACATCGGTCACGCGCGCGTGTACGTCGCCTTCGACGTGTTGTACCGCCGACTCATGGGCTTAGGATACGACGTGACGTACTGTAGGAACTTCACCGACATCGACGATAAAATTATCAAGCGCTCAAACGAAAGCGGCGAGACGTGCGAGGCGCTGACCAACAAATTCATCGACGCTTTTCACGAGGACATGACCGCTCTCGGCTGTCTCCGACCGACACTCGAGCCGCGAGCGACGGAGTGCGTCGATGACATCATCGCTTTCATCGAGCGTTTGATCGCCAAGGGAAACGCGTATGAGGCAAGTGGTGACGTGTACTTCTCGGTTGATACCCTTCCAGCGTACGGCGCGTTGTCTGGCAGAAAGCAAGACGATAATCGTGCCGGCGAACGCGTGGCCGTGGACGAACGAAAGAAAAACCCGGCCGATTTCGCCCTCTGGAAGACGGCGAAACCGGGTGAGCCGACTTGGACGAGTCCCTGGGGAGATGGTCGGCCCGGCTGGCACATAGAGTGCAGTGCCATGATCGAAAAAATGCTCGGTCCGACGATCGATATTCACGGTGGCGGACAGGATTTGGTTTTCCCGCACCACGAGAACGAGCTCGCGCAGTCTTCGGCCGCGTGCGGATGCGGGGCACACGCGGATGAAAATCCATTTGTGCGATACTGGGTGCACAATGGGTTCGTCAAGGTGGATTCTGAGAAGATGTCCAAGTCACTAGGGAACTTTTTCACGATTCGAGAAGTTTTGGACAAATATCATCCGTTTGTCCTTCGATTCATGCTTCTTGGCGCGCACTATCGAGCGCCCATCAACTACACGCAAAGAGCTCTGGAGGAAGCTTCGGATCGCGTGTACTACTTGTATCAAACGCTCCAAGACGTCCGAAGCGTCATTCGCGACGCCGCTGTCGAGGAGGATGCGACAAAACCCGTACCGATGGTGGCAGACGCGTTGAAGCTCGCAAATGAGACGGAGAAGCAAGTTTTGGAATCGTTGAACGACGACTTGAACACTCCGGCGGTGATGGCGACGCTCTCCGCACCACTCAAGTCGATGAACGATTTCATGACTACCAAGGCTGGGAAGAAGGCTGTAGGTAGAGTTCGAGCCCTACAAGCGCTTTTGACCTCCATCGAGGGCGTGCTAGAGGCTGTTGGTATGCCCAGAGGTGAGGAAGATGTCTTTCTCGGTGAACTTCGAGCGAAAGCGTTGCATCGCGCAGGTCTCACGGAAGACGCACTGTTAGCTAAAATAGAAGAACGCAAGAAAGCGCGCGACGCGAAAGACTTTGCAGAGTCTGATCGCTTGCGTGATGAGCTTTCCGCGCGCGGTATCGGTCTCATGGATGGCGCGGCGGTGGCCTGGCGTCCCGTCCCGGTGGTTGACGCATAGGCGTCAATCGACCAATGATATCGTCCTCGCCGTTCATTTCGTCGCCAGTACTCTTTCAATTGATTTTGCACGCGCATTAGAATCTTTTATCCCCGATCTCCGTCGTCGCACGTCTCGAACGAAAACGCGGAAACACGCGCGCGCGCGCGGACCAGGGTTTGGGCCAGCACCGGCTGTCGCTTTTTAGTTAGCCGCGTAGGAGGTGGCGGCTGCTGGCTGCTTCACGACTTCGCACACGCCCGCGTTCGTTCGCGTCGCGCTCGTTCGCTCGCTCGCGAGCGAGAGCGCAGGTAAGCGAACGTCTTCACCCCGTCGCCGCGCGCGCGCGTCCTCGCGCGCGCAATGGCGAAGAAGAAGAAGCACGCCAAGGCGAACCCGGGAAGCGGCGGTAAGCGTAAATTCTTCCAAGGAGCGACGAAGACCGAGACGGAGACCAAGAGCGCGTTCGAGTCGGTGAGCGTGCGAAAAAAGTTTGACATCTTAGGCCGCAAGGTGAAGGGCGAGCGCGGGAACGTCATCAAGGCTCGCACCGAGGCGATCGAAAAGCGCAGACGTACGCTCCTGAGAGAACACGAGGAGAACGGGAAAGCAAACTCCTTCGTGGACAGACGGTTCGGAGAAAGCGACGACGGCTTGAGCGCGGAAGATAAGCACATCGGACGGTTGGCCAAAGCACGATTGAGACAGTACAAGAAATCAAAGAACTTTTCTCTGAACGACGACGACGAAGATGGTTTCGGAACGCTCACTCACCTGGGACAGCCACTGGCCGAGGGAGATTTGACGGCCAAACCGAACGGAGATGACGACGACGACGACAACTTAGACGGAGAGATGACGCGGGCATTCCACTTTGGCGGTGGTGACTTCGAACCGACGTTGAAACGCGACGGCAATGGTCACGACGTCAGTGAGCCAGAACGCCGGAAAACAAAGAAGGAAGTGATGGAAGAACTCATCGCTAAGAGCAAATTCCACAAGGCTGAGAAGCAAAAGCAGCGCGAAGATGATCAGTACACGCTAGACAAACTTGACGCCGACTTCAAAGTGATCAGCCAGGGAGGGATGCTCTCAAGTGCGCTGCGAAAGGCTGTCGGACACATGAAACCGACGACGAAGGCAAAGAGCAACGCTCCCGAGCAAGAAAAGGATGAATACGACACCTGGGCGAGGACTTTGGCCTACGAGCGCCGAGGTCAAGCTGGCGAGAGGGCAAGGACACAGGAAGAAGTCGAGGCGCAGGAGAAGCTTGCATTGGAACAAGCGGAGAGAAAGAGACTGAAGCGCATGCGCGGTGTGAACTCTGATGATGAAAGCTCTGACGACGATGGTCCCCAGGGTGGGTACGCCGCTCGAAGACGCAAAGCAAAAAAAGCAGAGAGAGGCGATGATGACGATGTTGCTACTGATGACGTGCGTCGAGAGGGAGGCGACGACTTGGATGAAAATTTCGCCCTGGATAGCGCCGAGGAGGTTGAGGATGAAGAAGAGGATGGCGTCGGGTCCGAGGATGAGGACGATGTTTCTGATGAGGATGAGGCTGATGACGATATGGATGATAATGCTCGTCTTCGAAAGTCATTTAGATCCGAGTTGAAGGATGTCGAGGAAGATTTAGACAAGGGGAAAAATCGCCTTCGAAAGCTGGGTATTCTCCAAGACGGAGTAGAAGCTAAGGATTCAGAGGAAGATGAGGAAGATTACGAGGACGAGGATGAGGACGATAAGGATACCGAAGACGAGGATGAGGACGATGAGGATGCCGAAGACGAGGATGATGTGGTCGAAAATGACCATGCTGGTGTCTTGAGAGAGTTAGAAGAGGAAATTGCTGGAAATGCGGCATCTCGTGAGGGCAAAAATCCGGATAAAAAGGAAACGCCGAGGCATGAAGCAAAGTCCAGTGAGTCAATGAGAGTGGATATACCTTTCACATTTCCTATGCCCGAGAGCTATGAAGACCTCGCTGGTATGCTTGGTGCGCACGGCGCTGAGGACACGTTCACGATTATTTCTCGAATACGAGCTTGCAACGCGCCTACGTTGGCGGCAGAAAACAGAAAGCGAATTCAAACGCTTTTCGGTCTACTTTTACAACGGTTTGAGATTTTTGCGGGGCAGGCGCCGATACCCACCGACCACTTGGACGTTCTTTCAACACACATTGTCGATCTGAGCGCGCAAGTTCCTTTCTTTGCCGCAACCGCGGTCAAGGCTCGCGTAGAAAAAATGAGTTCAAGACTTCGTCAAGCGCTGCGCTCTGGGGAGACCGGTTGGCCGCCCTCGAGAACGGTGTTGCTTTTGTCCTTGTTTGCAGCAATCTTCCCCACAACAGACAAAGTGCATCCAGTGATGTCGCCTGTGTCTCTCTACCTTGGAAACTTGCTCGCGCATTGCGCCATAAGATCAACGAAAGACGCGGCGTTGGCTGTCATTATTGCGACGATGTCTAGCATGTATTCATCTGCATCTGAAAGAGTATTTCCAGAAGCCGTGGCGTTGATGAGTGCTTTGGTTCTATCTGCCTCAAGACCTAAAGCGCATTGGTCAGATGGTTTGCCAACGCATCTCGCAGAGCAAATCGGTGGTCCTTGGTTGTCAAGTGCTATTAACTCTTCCAAATCGGGCACGTTGTCCTTGCCTGAGACGTTGAACGGCATTTATTTTGGCAAAGTCTCTGATGAACTGTTGGCGGTGGTCACTTTGCGGGCCGCTCTTTCATGCTTGCGACAACTCTCTAGACCTGTCGCAAAAACGGCGTCGGCGTCTGAAATCCTCTTACCAGTTCGATCGTCGGTGGTAACGCTTCGAAAAGCTTTGAAGAATGCCAAGTCGCCGTCAGCAAAGCTCTGTGAAGACTTTATGAAGGAGCTAGATGATTCTCTTTCTGGAAGCGTCAAGACACCTCTGGCGTACCACACCAAGGCTGCAGAGGCGATCAAGACGTACAACCCGATGTACGAAGAAGATGGTTACCAGAAAGGTCGGGATTACGATCCGAATCGCGAGCGAGCCGAGGCAAGGAAGCTCAAGAAGCAGCTCAAGCAAGAAGCCCGAGGCGCCATGCGTGAGTTGCGCAAAGATAATCGTTTCATGGCAGACGCTCGAGCGAAGGAGCAAGCGCAAGCGGCTGAGGAACGCGGTGCACGCCAGCGTGATGTGTTATCGTTTTTGGAAAAGCAAGAGTCCGATTTCAAATCAGGAGGTCAAGGGGGACAAATTGTCAAAAACAAACGTCGTGTTTCAAAGGGGAGCAGACGGGCGTTTTAGAATCGAGCATTGTCTTTGTGTAAACTACAGCTAGAAAAATTCACGAAAATTCACGAAAGATCACTGATGGGTGGCCTATTCACGACATCGTTCGCCTTCTTCGCGGTCGTCTTCAGATTCTGCGGAAGGTGCGGAACGCGTGGGATTTGCGCGAGGAGTTCTGCTGTCCGCCGGAAGAGTCTTGCAATATCGCCCTCATCCAGGGACGTGTCGTTACGAATCTGGTCCCACGACGTACCACTGGCCCACGATTCTACCAAAGCAGCGACTTCATAACTCAAACTGATCGGCACGTCGACTCGTGTGGTCGACTGGAGATACTGCAAATCGCCCATCGCCGGTTCGACATGTTCAATCGCTTCGACCAAGTTCTGTGAAGGATTGTAGAAGCACGTAGCCGGGCGATTATCCATGCACAGCGCACCAGCGAAACCGGCTAAAGTGGCAACGTCAAGTTCCGCGACGAGAGGGGAAGACATCGCCATTCCGAGCCAGAGCTCATTTTCACCCCTGAGGTCAGCACAAATCTCTCCAAATTCCAACAGTTTGAGAGACTCTGACTCTAACGCGCCGCACTCGACAAGGATATCGACAACGCGAAGAAACTCTTCCCAACCGGCGGCGGAATACTCTTTGATGCGTCGCTCAATACTGTCGCGTTTAGTTTTGAGCTTTTTCAGTTTCTCTTCACGTTTTTTCTGTTGTTTCGCTGTGCTGCGCAATTCTGCGACATTTTTCAGACTATTTATCTCCTCCCGCGTGCGTTGAATTTGAAGTTTTTGCGCATTGATGTACTCCGTCGATTCTGAAGACTGAATCGCATCCAATAAACTGTCAGCACCTTCGAGGACACGATCGGCCACCCTCTTTCCCTTCTTCGGCACATCCGCTTTCCACAAGCCTCCCCCACTCGCTCGAATCCATCGAAGACTGCTCGACGACGGAGGCGATCCCGCATCCGCGATATCTTCCGACCGCAGCGCAGTGGTGCCGACGCCGATCGACTTAATTCTATCAGAATAGAATCTATACCAGGCCCCGTCGCTTCCTAAAGCCGAGAATTCGCCCATTGGATATGGCTTCCCGATGGCACTTGCGGTCGGAGCAATTTTTGACGATGGAACAGCTTCAACAATCGCTGCGGTAATCAGGCGTCGCGGAGTGACATCTGCCATATCGTCGACAGACTGCATAAAATCATCGCTATCGGAACGCTGTTTGTCGTCTTCGGATTCGTCACCGAATAGCTCATCCAACGACGGTGCGTCATCGCTATCAATATCTTGCAATCTCCATTCGCCGGCGAAGTCTTGGCCTTCAACCTTCAGCAAGTCGTCCTCAAACAAAGCGATCGTCGCCGAACGGCGTTCTTTACGACGTATGAGTGTATTATCTCCCACATCGATGTTCACGACGACGGGACCGCCGCTCTGCTTGAGTCTGTTTTGAATTGTTTCGCGAATTTCGATTGCCTGCATTTCAGCTTCTTGACGGAACAGGATCTTCAATAAGCGCTTTTCTTCTTTCAGTCGCTCATCTAACTTGACGAAACGTTTCCAATCAGCCGCGTCTTCATCGTCGTTTGTATCCTCGATTTGTTTTGCCAACTTCCCGATTTGAACGTCGACACGATGAAGTTCGCGTTCACGAACTGATCGAGCCTTTCCACCAAGATAATTACCAAAACTTCTCTCCACAATGCCTTGAACTTGCTTGAGCGATCTTCCTTGAAGTAAATTCAATACCATACCGTAAGATATCGAAAACTGCGACTTGAGGTTTTCTGGTGGGGATATGACGAGCTCGAAAGCTTCGTCTGGTCCCTCAAACGGTGACTGACAACAAACAACATGCCCGACTGTGTCGAATCCTCGTCGCCCAGCTCGCCCAGCCATCTGCATGAATTCATTAGAGGTCAGCAGACGTGGACCCTGATCGTCACGCTTAGAAAGAGCGCTGAGGACCGAGCATCGCGCTGGCATATTGACCCCCGCCGCAAGCGTTTCTGTCGCGAAAACAACCTTGATCAAGCCTCGCTGGAAAAGCTTCTCCACCAACCCTTTCCACGCGGGCAGTAAGCCGGCGTGATGGGAAGCCACGCCGCGCCGAAGCGGTTCAATCATGGCGGTTCGTATAGCCGACTTGTTATCCTTGGAGAATTCTTCTAACGCGACGTCGATCTGCTCTCGTTCGGCGCGCGTGACTAAATTCCCACCCGCCTGCATGAGATAGTCAACAGATTGATCGCAACCTTTACGACTGAAAATAAACCACACAGCCGGAATCATATCGCTAGCGATGAGCTGCTGGACCGTTGTTTCGACGTGCGGAACGAAACGGCGCCTAAGAATGCGCTCAGATTCACGAGAAGATGGTCCCTGCCTGCCAAAACCATCCTCCCAGTTGTCGTTCCTCTGCTGGAGTCCTTCTCGCGTGAAAGGACGAAGATCGTGATGAAGCTTGGTACCCTTGAAATTCAGAAGAGGTCCGAGCCCAGGATACAATCGCGATGGTTTCATACTATACTGCCAGGTGAGCGGAACTGGTCGATACGATGAAACGATTGTGTCGCACGGCCCGTGAACTTCCTCTATCCAGCCAGACAAATCCTCTGGATTGCCCACCGTGGCTGACAGGCAAAGAAGTTGGATCCGAGAAGGGCAGTATATAATAGTTTCTTCCCAAACCGTTCCTCTGCCAGGGTCAGAAAGATAATGGACCTCGTCAAGGACGATGATGCTCACGTCAGACAACCTGTCATCGTCACGACCGCCTGCAGCGCTAGAGTACAACATATTCCTTAAAATTTCCGTCGTCATGATCATCACGTCCGCATCGCCGTTGATATCGACGTCTCCAGTTTTTAAACCACACCTCCTCTTTCCAAATATCTTTTGAAACTCTCTCAATTTTTGATTGGAAAGCGCCTTCAATGGCGTCGTGTAAATGGCCTTTTCTCCGCGAGCCAAAGCGGTCAAGATGGCTGTCTCGCCTACCAAAGTCTTCCCACTCCCCGTGGGCGCCGAGACGACGACGGACGAGCCCTTGAGAAGGACTTTTGTCGCATCAATTTGGAAAACGTCCAGGTTGTACGGATAAAAGTCCTCGATGTCTCGCACGCTCACCGTAGACTGCGTCGCCTTGCTCAGAAGCGTCTCCAGTCTCTCCGACGTCGATGCGATCGTGAACTCTTCCTCCTCGTCGCCTCGATCGACTTCCGCGGGCGGCGCGCTCGCTCGCGTTCGCACGCGTCCGCACGTCAATCGCGCGCGCGTTTGAGCGCCCCACGCGCGCGTGTTCGAGCGCTGACAGAGCGCAAAGTTGGAACTCGTCGAGGTCATCTTGACGACGACGAGCGGTCGTCACCGTGTTCCGAGCTCCGTCGATCGACGACGACGACGCGGGCGACGGGAGAGGACGCGAGTGAATGCGGTCCGTGATGCACCTCGCGCTCTCCCGGTCGATCGCACGCGCGTCTCGCGAGCGGCGTCGTGAGGGAACGACGCGAGCGCGAGTTTGAAAAGTAAGTAGTGCTCTGTTGCCTGCGTCGCGGAGAGGTGGCCGCATCGTCATCGTTGCAACTTGATTATGAGAGCGAGAACTAAGAAGCACAGCACGAACACAAGCACGGCTATCGTGGCGGAGCGGCAGCTCGATCCTCGCCGCATCATGTTCTGCACCGCCCGAGACGCTCGCGTCAGGCGCCCGCTCGTGTCTGCCATCTCGTCGTCGAGCGAGTCTAATAGTTTGGCGTGGAGATCCAACTCGTCGTTCACCGCTATGGAGATCTCCTTTGCGCGCCCCGCCGCTCGAGATAAATCGTCCAGTGCATCGTCCTGCTCCTCTAACATCGCTCGCTGAATCTGCAGCACTTCACCCTTGTCTCTCTGTCGTGTCTCGACGCCGGGCGCCTTTGGAGCCTGCTCGGCGGGATTCCACCTCACCGCCGTCGTTGCGCTCTTTTTCTTTCTCACGCTCGCGCACCGCCTCATCGCAAGGTCTTTGCGTCGCTCGAGCGCTCTAAGTGACTCTATCCTTCTCTCAAGATCGTTCATACAGGGCGTTCGTTCGCGACGCGCGACGAGCTCGTCGAGCGCGGCGAGATTGGCGCACACCCCGTTCAGGCGCGTTCGCGCGTGCGCGGTGAGACGTGCGATCTCGCGCTCGACGTCGTTTGACGATGATGTCGACGCTCCATCGTCTCGCTTTTCCGCGTCGTCCGTGCGTTCACCGCGTTCGCCCGCCGTGTCTCCCCATCGTCGTCGCTCCAATTCATCTCGTCGCTCGAGCGTCTCCTCGCATTCGCGCAGTAACGATTCCGCGTCGACGAACGCGTCCTCGACGGTGCGTGATGACGCCATGCGCTCGGAATCGCACCGAGCCGACGCGATCTCGATCGGCGCGCGGTGGACGCCCACGCGTTCGGCGCGCGCGCGTCTCACGATTCCACGAGCGTCGCTCGACGCCTCGACGGCCTCGACGGCGTCGACGCGTCTCTCCGCACTCGAGCGCGGTGGGGGCGCGGGATGCCGCCACCGGTGACGACGACGACGACGACGAGCGATCGCGATGGACGTCGATCGCTCGCACGGTCGTGGTCGACGTCGAGAGCGTCGAGGACGTCGAGGGCGCACACGTCGACGTCGACGCATCGGTGCGCATTGTTCACCGTCGTGTTCACGCTCTGCTTGGCGTCGCGCTTCGGTTGTTCGAACGGGATGATCGTCGAACGGAGCGCGACGTTATCCTCGACGAACGTGAACGATGCGTCGGTGACGATCGCGACGTTCGCGTTCGAGAAGGGGGGGACGCTGGGGGTGTTCGCAGAGGCGACGCCACAGGAAAACGCGGGCGATGTGTGGGTCCTCATGTGTCCGAAACAAGAGCTGAGTCTGCCGCTCACGTTCTCGAACGTGGTAGAGGACACGTGCGAGGACGTAATCGTGGATGATTACGTCGCCACGCGAGGGTGTCGAGCCGTGAAGTTCAACGCGTCGTCGGGGGGCGACAACCGTAGCGAGGCGACGCTCACGGCGACGAGCAGGTCTATTCATCGCGTGGTGATGGCCATATGCGGCGTGAGCGCGCGCACTAGGGTAGAAGGAAAGTTTATTATGCTTAATCCGGGAGGAAATCACGTCGGGTACGACTACGCACCGTCGGCGGACGTGTTCATGGCGTTCATCATGACGTGGTCCATCGTGTTCGGCGCCACGTCGTACGTTCTTTGGAGGAGACGCGACAAGGCGACGTGGCTCCATCTCTTGTTGCTGACGCAGTTGATCACTCGTATTAGTTGGTTGATATCTGCGAACCGATTCTGGGCCAACGCAGAGGCGACGGGTGAGGGAATACCGCTCTTGGAGAGAAATTTAGACGCCCCGACGGGAGCTAGTGAAGAGACGAGCGCGTTCATTGCATTGCTCTCGCTCAATCAGTCCACATTTTTCTGTACATGGCTCATGATCACCTACGGATGGCTCATAACGAGGCGGTGGCTCACGACTTTTGAGGTGGCGAGTTGCCTCACGATGTACTTTGGCTTGTTCGCTGCAAACTTTGTCTGTAGGAGCACATCGGCGGCGTACATGTTCATCGGCTTCTACCTCCTTACTCCGGGTTTGTTTGCGATGTGTCTGAATAACTGCACGACGAACTTGAAGTCACTGCGCTTGCAGGAGATCATGCTGTCAAACTCGAGGAATCCGCAAGATGGGGCAATCGTCGACTCGAAGGTGCGAATTTTCAGGAGAAACCAATTGCTAGTGTTTTGGTACATAGCGATGAAAATTACCTCTTCGTTGGTCGAGTTGTTCCTCAAAGAGCACATGTGGGCGAGATATGCGATTGGCGAAATCATAGACTTCTTAGCGAACGCGGCGCTGACGTTCTCACTACTTCCAAAGACGCACAGCAATCCGTTCAATACACATTTTATCCGTGATTGGGAAGCCATGTTTGAGGGCACAGTCAACTCGATCGCTGATCGAATCGCTTCACTCGGGCTGAGTGCAAGCGAGATACCGCCTCCAGAGTTTTACATCGCTCACGTCGGGCGCTCTAGGACATCGGATGACTGCGTTGTGGACATCTGTGAAGACGCACAGGTCGAAAACCAGGGCGTCGGCTGCTTCCACTTAATTCTTGTTGAGCATCCGAGCGTGCCGGAGAAAGTGCTCCAGCATCTATCCATCGCCGTACCAGAATCCGAAATCGAAGGTAACGCGACGGAAACACGATCGGAAACTTGAGTATTATTCTCATCCTTTGCGTTTCGTTTCTTTGTAGTGAATTGCAACTTTGTATGTTTTGTGTACCAGTGCCGCTACCTACCGTAACATAAACAAGGCTAAATTTTACAGTGCCCACGGAAATAAGGCGCGCTCGCATTCTCACACTCGCGCCAACCGAGATCCATGGCATTCAGTACGTCCTTTGGCAACGGATCGGTGCGCTTTGCGGAGGCGACGTTTGATTCAAGCTGTGAGACACTCGACGCGCCAATAATGACGGCGTCTCCCTTTGCACCGTCCAGCTCGCTGTGGTTGTAAAGCCATCGTAGCGACGCGTCAGCTGCGTTGATGTTGTGTTTCGAACAGGCCTCCACGATGTTATCCACGGCTGTATGATAGCATTCGAGCCAAAACCTTGACGTATACATGTCGTTTCCATCGAAGCGTCCACCAGTCACTGTCGAGACGTCTCGCGTCTTGTACTTCCCAGTGAGCAAACCTCCACAAAGTGGATTATAAGCTGCGAATCGCATGCCGGTAGCGCGAAGCGCGGGTAACAATTCGAACTCGACGTTTCGCGTCAACGCATTGTACATACCTTGGTAAATAGTTGGCGCCTTCCAGCCATTCCGTTCACAAATTCGATGTGCCTCAACCGTTTCCCACGCCGAAAAATTCGACAAACCGATCTCTTCAAACAATCCACTTGTGCGCATCTGCTCGCATTCACCAAGAACATCCTCGAGTCTGGTATCCGCGTCCGGCGCGTGAAGGTATAGAACTCGAATTTTCACTCCATCACCGAGAGACGCTGTGCTGCTCTCAACTTGGCTTCGCAACTCGGTTGGTGCAAGCCCGCCGCGTCCCGCCTGCGGGGTCATCACGCCTCCGGGCCAAGGATTCGCCTTAGTATCCACGCGAACAGCGGCGTTGAGCGCCGGATCACTCGCCAAGGCGCGACCGATGATCCTCTCCGTCTCTCCGCCCGCGTACGCCAGAGCCGTGTCCACTTCATGAAAGCCTTCCGCCGCGAACGCTCGCATCATCTGAGTCGACGCCTCGTCGTCGCACGTACTGCTCGAGTACCTCCACCCGAACGTCATCGTGCCGAGGATCGTTCCCACGCGCACGCGCGTCGAGGATTCTTCCGTGACTACAGCGCTCGACGTGGCCGACGTCGACATCATTTTTGTCGTACGCGCTCTGCTCCTCAGAGAAGCGCGGCCCGACACGGTACCGGTCGTCGTTCGTAACGCCACGAACGCGGTCGCACGGAGCATCGTTCACCGCGAGCGGCCAGACGCGCGTCGACAATCGCGACCTGCTCGCAAAGGGACGAGTGGCGCAACACCGAGTGGTAATACTGTGTGTTACACAAGCTGCTTCGTCCAGTCTACTGGATCATACATCTTCAAGAAGGCATCCAACTCCGCTCGCAAGACATTGGGCGCGAGCGGTCGTTGCTTCGCATCCGTCAGATGTTCGGGCAAGTCTAAAAGCCCAATGAGTACGTTTCGGCAGAAGTTACGATTCCACTTGCTTTCGTCGTCTATGACGTGGACATAGCCGCCGCGCATTCCAAACTCGACGTGTACATACGCGAAATTCGCTGGTATCGTACCTCTCAGTCCTTTCGGCGGCGCCGTTGACAAACATGTCTTCGCGTGATGCGTCGACCACTCCGACTCACACTCGAGAAGCTCTTTACGAAAGTACATCCTGGCCTTCTCGCTCAACTCTTGCGGTATCGGCACGCATTCGACGACGCAGTGGCGTCCACCCAGACCTAGATTTATCGCGGTCTCTATGAAGCAGCACTCCTTGCCCTCTTGCGCAAACATTCTCACTAAACACTTTTTGAAATTTCTCATCTCTTCCCACACGTCTTCGTCCGTTTGTCTGGACGATTGGACGTGATTCATTGGCGCAATGACGCAGTGTCCCACTACGAGTCGGCCTTGCGGTGGAAGCATGAGGTACGCCATGTTTCCGTACGCCACGTGTAAGTGCTTGGGCCTATCAGGTGCATCAATGCAATATGTGCATTTGTGTTGCACAGCTTGAGTTCTTCTCCATTCCTGACTAGCCTTTTCTTTTGCGCGCGCTTGTTGGCGCGCTCCAGACATCTTCTTCTCCCGACTCTCGTACATCTCCAAGCCTCCATCGTGATCGTACTCGTCGTCCACGTCCAGCTCCTTGCCGCGATACCTCTTGTTTCGAGCGATGTTATCGGCTACATTCACGTCGATATCCGCAGTTCCGCCATACTTTTGCTCCTTGACCAAATCCGTGAGCGACTTGTCATCGTCGGCAAAGTACCGCGTCCGAGTGCCGTCTTCAAATCTCTGTGTGACCCTCGGTGCTTTCCTCACTTGACCCTCCGCAACTCGCACGCCACCCTTGATCGTGGTGTCTCGTCCGAACGCGCCCGGCGCCGCGCGTCCGTCCGCAGTGACCATCGGGAGAATTTCATCTGACACCGAGCCAGCGCTCGCGAGTGCTTGCGGTGCTTTACTGCTATTACCGCCAAACAGTCGAGCGCGTAAAGCGGCTGCGGCTGACATATTTGTTGACAAAACGTTCTGAGCGGAGTTTCTTGCTTTGGGGACCGCGTGTAGCGTTTGAACATCGTTGCACGTCGTCACGGGTCGAGGCGCTCTCGCGTCGTCGTCGTCATCGACGTTCATCTCCCCATTCTCAAATTTATCCATGAACGACCCATCCGAGGCAAAGTTGTTGCTCTTCGTGAGCGCGGACTGTATAATTGCTCGGTCATCCTCTCGCAGCCCGGTGCCTTCACGACGTCTTCGTGGACCGAAAGAATCTGGCGCTCGCATTCCGTCACCACTGGTTCCGTCAGCACTGCGCCCAACTCGCGCTCGGCTCTTACGAGCATGTATGTGCGCCTTGCCGTGCGCCGCGTTCTCGCCGATACCAGCGACCAGCTCGTTCACCGAGCCCCAATGTTCGCTAACGACTTCGTTGATGTTCTTTCCCTCTGCAGCGGCGCGCTCCTGCGCGCGTCGAAGCGCTTTGAGTCGCCAACTGGACCCACCGTCTCCGACCACGCTCGTGGACACAGATGGAGCGGGTGAAGCATCGCCCGCCTCGCCTCGCATGTGCGGGTTCAGTTCTCTCGATGAGACTATCTCCCTTCGCCGGTCTTCCTCCGCTTTGCGCGCTGCCTCCCTTCCTCGTGAATCGTCTCCCTTCGAGCTCGGTTTCGCAGCGAGCGCCGCCGAGAAGAAATCAGATTGCGCTTCGTGCGGCTCGTCGTTCGTCGTCGTTTTGGCGCGCGCTCCCTCGCGAACTCGCTCCTCGGCATCACGCGCTGGTGCCTCGCTCTCGTCCCTCTTCTCACCGTCGCGTCGTCGACGTTTGTGCGACTTTCCGAGCCTGTCATCGTCGCGCTTTCGATCCTTCTTTCGCTCGCGTCGCTCGTCCGTGAACGAGAGACCGGCGAGCATGGAGCGACGCCCTGGCTCGAAGTGTCGCGTGTCGCAGTGTCGCGTGTCGCACTCGAGTCGATCGAATCGATGCTCGTTTTCGCTTTCGAGTCGCCTCTCGCGTCATCACTTGCCGACGCCGTGGAGCGACTCGTCGTCGTCGTCGACGACGGTGACGACGATGATGTTTGGCATCGACGCTGACGTCGCGCGCATCGTCTCGATCGCGCTCGCGCTCGTCGCCGCGTACGCTCTCACGCGCTTCATGGCGTCAACGAGCATCAAAGCGGAGAGAAGAGCCGAGGAAGAACGACAGAAACTGGAGCGATACCGGGCACAGCGCCAGCGAGCGTTAGAGAGAAGAGAAGAGGAACTTCGCGCGGCGTCATTCGAGCGCGAGAACGGGAAAGACACGACAGATCGCGAGACGGCACTGGAAAAGAAACTCGCCGAACTGGACGCAAAGGCCGCACGCCTCGGCGTATTGGCGACGCGCGGTCGCCAACTTGGAAGTTCGTCCACCAGATCGGAGTGGAACCCCCTCACGGGCTCGGGATCGAGCTCGGGCTACAGACCGCAGCGCCGAGCGCCTCCAGGAGGTGGATGAGGACGTTAAGGGCGCTCTGCGCGTCTCGCTCGTACCTGTTACGACGACGCGCGCGTCCTGAACCCACACGTTGGAGAGAGTTTCGTCTTCGAAAAGTACAAACGTGCGCGCGTGACACCGCGGCGGGAACGGTCTCGATGAAGACTACCGCCACGGTCGATTTGAGCACCTTTGTCGACGTCTCGCGTCTCACCTACTTTGCGACTGTAAAAATGTGTGTAGTAGTAAAAGCTTGTGACTCAGAAACGCCAAGTGGCTTTTTCGCGTCCCCCGCACAGTGGGGCCGTTGTCGTGCGCGGTGCAATGCCACGCGACGACGTGTACCGCCCGCCGAGGACTGTAACCCCGGCGGGGGTGTTCGTCCTGATGTTTGCTCGCGCCGCACGTCGAGGCGGCTTCACCGCGAGAGCGGTGGCGAGACGACTCGGGACGATCTTACGATTGACATTTCGTTTGGGAAAGTTTTCCACACTCCTCTGGGTATTCAAACTTCTCGGTCTCATCGCGTACTCCTTGATCCTGGCACCGGCGTTCTTACGCGTCGCTTGGAGGTGTGTGACATCGAGGAACATCGAACTCGGCGTCGTTTACGGGGATGCGCCGAGAAACGCGCTGGATCTGTACTTTCCAGACGACGGCGACGAAGCGAGAAGACAGAGGAGAGAGGCAATCGGTAGGGGATCAGTTTCGGACGCGCGCTCGAGCCCCAAATCTTCACCGCACGAGGCAGAAGCGCCGGCCGCGCGACCTGTGGTGATTTTCATTACGGGAGGGATGTGGATAATCGGTTACAAGGCGTGGGGGGCGCTGCTCGCCCAGCGTTTGTCGAGACGAGGGTGCATTGTTGCTTCATTAGATTACAGAAACTTTCCGCAGGGAACGATCGGAGACATGATCGCGGACGTTGGATGCGGAATTGGTTGGGTGCTTGATCGAATCGAGGCGCTGGGAGGTGATGGGCGAAAAGTCGTGGTGATTGGCCAGTCGGCTGGCGCACACATCGCGGCGACGTGCCTGCTTCGACAGGCTGGATGGGCGCAATCCAAGGCGCATTTCCCGAATGGTTGGTCGCCTGGAGCAATCTCGAGGTTCATCGGTATTTCTGGCCTGTACGCACCGGATGATGAGGCGCTCGTCGAGCACGTTCATCGCCAAGGGTTGTACAAGAACGTGTTCTGGTCCATCATGGAGGCGGGCTTTTCTGGTGCGCGCGCATCGGAAGCGTTACCACGAGCTTCGCCCGTGACCATCTTGCGCGAGCATGAGGTGCGAGAGAACGTTCGAATCATACCTCCCGTGATGCTTTGTCACGGTGAGTCAGACAAATCGGCCCCACCCGGGCAGAGTAGAATTTTTGCCTCGGCGTTGCGAAGCGTTGGCGTCGCCGTGGATGAGCGATATTATGTGGGCAAAACGCACACAGATCCGTTCGTGACGGACCCAATTTTGGGTGAAGACGTGCTCCTCGATGATATTACTAACTGCATCTTCGGTAGACGTCTACCGCCGTTCGACGAACGACCGCTGGTGCCTCGCTTCCTCGTAGAATTTGCTAGACTTGTCGTTCCGTTTTAGTACTACACTATCACTAGTTTGATCCGGCCTTCTTTCCGCTCAAAAACGCTTTCAACATGCGCTTGAATACTCGACAATCGCTTGAACACGTGTCGGATAACAAAAATGACACCCATGCTAGTTTTTCCTCCTGCGTCGCCTTTTTGCGTGGGAACGCGTCTTGTTCGTCGCCAAGCGCGCGTACCAACATGTCCGTGAATCGTTCCGTTCCGAAAGTGTTCCACACGAGATGAAGCGCCGCAGCGATATCGGATATCATACTCGGGGCAAGAGCACCATTGCCGCCCTCTAAAATTGCACGCACGAGTGTCGCACCGGCGCCTGACTCGATTTCAGCCATGATAGCGGCAACAAGCAGTTGAGACTGCGCACCAGAATTCCACGCGCATACGCCACGTTTCCTCGTGCTCTCGCCTGACACTTCCGCGGCAACCCTTCCCATGCCAGAGTTCATCGCGTTCCGCGATTTCTCGAGGTTCACTGAGGTAGAAGCGTGTGCGTCAAGCATCACTGGCGAACGCAACAAATCCGTCGCGAGTAAGAGCGCAGCCACCGCGGATTCGTCGGAGACGCTGTGCAGGGATTCTTTGCACACGCGCATCATCGTTTGCACGTGCGGTATCAGAGCGATGCACCCACTCCTCACCGCCGCTCGAGCGAGCGCGTATAAACTGATCCACGCATCGGGATCCTGCAGCGAGGTGGGCAACGCGCTTGCCAACAGCTCACAAATCACGTGTCCGACTGAAGCAAACCGTGCCTGATCACCGTGAATCACAATGGCACAGCCTCGGTCACCGTAAAGTTCTAATACGAGCGTAAGCGCATCCAAGTAGCACGCACCAAGAGTCGATGGACTTCGGCTGTACGCTTCGACACACAGCCGCAAGGTCGTCTCCAACAACCCCTCAACGTTGTTAGAAAGTTCCACGAGAGCCTTCATTACCCAACCAATTTTGAAGCGCTGTTCTATCATTTGTGGATCAATCAGAATCAAAGTCGTTCGCTCGACGGCATCGACTGCGCCAACCACCAAACGGGCCATACTTGTGCTCAAAGCATTATTCATGTGCCCGTACGCTCTTTTGATTGCCCGGAGAACGATGTCTAGATCTACCAAACGCTGAACGTACTCGTCGCTGGATTTCGACGCGTCGCTCAAGCACGAATTCAATGCTCCAACGACAGGCTCCGCCAACATAGAACACGCGTTTTCCGTAGCTTCTTGCGTATCGCAAGCGGTATAAAATGTGAGACAACGAAGAAGAATTGTCGACTCCCTCTCTTGTCCGAGTTCCAACGAAGTCGACGGCGACGGCGTTGGTCCGCCGCTGCGGTGTATTTCAGCAAGCATAGTGGGGACATCTGTGGAACTCAGCGTCTTCGTAGCGGTGCTTTGTTCGGAAAGACGCATTAATGCTACCGCTGCACCGCGCGCGACAGTGTGCTCAGGGCACCTCATGCACTGAACTAGCGTATGCGCGACGTGAAGTAGTGACGACTCCGCAAGGTTTGTCGCCATCGAGCTTGCCATGCCAGCCAAAACCCAACACGTCGATTCCATGACTGTCCTTGGGACTGCTGCGCCGTGCGACAACAGCGCACATAGATGGTTTATCAAGTTCGCGAAGGATAACTGTTGTGACCCAGCTTGAATTGATTTGAATGATTTCGCCAGAGCAAGGAGCACGTATAAACGCGCGTTGATCATTCGCCAATCTGCCGCGTGCATTTCAGAGCTAAACCGCGCGTTGAAATCATCCAGAATATCTACAATGGCCACGACCGAGACGACGTCTCGCAGGCACTCGCTTATCTCATCTTTCTTCTGATCATCCTGCAACTCATGGCGTGGCACAGAGCGCACGTATGCAACGGCTGCGTGCACGCATCTCGCGGCAATTGGACGAAGCGATTCAACGAATTCATCCGACATGAATGACTTTGCTAGCTTGCCCCACGGCTCGAGCGCGGAAGAGATCGAAACGCCCATAGAAAGTGCGTCCGATAAACCATCCAAGGCGAACATCAATACCTCTCGATCGATGTCCACGGCGATTGAGGTCTTCTGTCTGCCCTGCTGCGCCACTGATCCGTTCTTTTTCTGCTCTCTCTGAAGCCTCTTGAACTCGGCGTACTTATGATACGTTCGATCCCCTGACGCATTCGGTCCGGTCGCGAGTGGATTCTTCGTTGAGTCCTTTTGGTCGCGCAACGCCTTAGACGCAACACACGACAGGATGTCCGCAATCAACACTCGCGTCTCCTCAGACTTGTCAGATCCGACGACTTCACCGCGCAGCATAGTCATCGCAGACGCTAGCATCTCGCGGAGACTCCGATCTGTCGTCCAAACACACTGTTCCAGAGACGCACGAGCCGCGCCGGCGGCGCTTTGCTTCATGGAAGAACTACAGTCTTCGGAGCAGGTGACGTGCAGCGCGCCTTCAACAATGACTCGAGGAAACGCACGAGTGACATCCGCGATGTCCGCCCATGCCTCGAGCGCGTCCATAATATGCTTTTGAAGAGATGCGTCTCCAGCAGTGGCGTTTGCAAGCTGCTGTAATAAATTCATGACGTCGCCGCCAGTAGACTTCAAGCCAGAAATCACCTCTTCTCGGCGCATTGGATGGATACTCAAATCACGCGACGTCGCCTCTTGAGGAACGACGGCTAAAAACGAACACAGACACAACAGTTTTGCCGCATCAGGGACGCTTGTATCGCTCGTAAAGGCTTCGATAATGTCTCGTACGACGTTGTCTGCTTTCCAGGTCGGCATCTTACAGCCGAGCGCTGACAGCGACAGCGTCAGCATCGTCACGGTGCTTTTCGCGTCCACGGCACTGGAATCGCCCGAACACGCGATCTGTGCGAAGCGTTTCGTCAGCGTGAGCAATCGTTCGCGCAGTTGTACCCACTCGCTCTCCGTGAACGCGGCGTGCGAGGCCTGCGTCTTTTCCTCCTTGTGCACGCATCTTCTGAGTAACTCGTGGAGCGTCCTCGCGCAGAAGAAGGCTTCGATCGCGCGCGCGTCGGCGCTCTCCAAGATGTGCAAGACGATCACCCACGCTTGGTCGCTTTTTGAGAACGCCCTGAGCTCGGCCTCGGCGTCCGCCCGCGCTCGAGGGTCGTGATTCTCGAAGAGCGCGGCGATGCGACGTCGGACGTCTCGCTCGAGCGCGTCGCGGTGCGCGAGTTCCATCGTCATCGCGCGATCGCTCACGCGTGCTCGCGCATCGTCCTCCCGTCGTCACGCGCGCGATCGTTCGCGCGATGACGCGCGTACGCGTCGGTGACGCGTCGACGGCGACGCGACGCGAGACTTTCGTCGTCGTCGTGCACCCTCGGGTGGTGTTTCATTTCAGATGAGTGTTCCCATCGATCTCTCGAGAGACGAGACTGCGAGACACAGACGGTTCGGTTCGGTGCGTCGACCGGGCGACCGGGAGCGAGGGACCGCGTCCGCAGCGCGCGGCGGTGCGACGACGCCGAATGCCCAAGCGAACGCGAGCGACGACGGGGAAGACGTCTTCGGACGAACGATCGCTCGAGCCGTTCCCTCGGGGGGGCGCGCGAGACGTGGACGCGGACGAGGATGCGTTTCCGAGAGGCGGCGGCGGCGGCGACGATGATGGCGACGCCGAGCGAAGCGAGAGAGGACAAAAACGTCGAGCGCGGGGAAGCGGAGGGGTAGATGGGGACGATGATAACGTCGGAGACGATTTTGACGACGATCCGTTCGCCTCCATCGCGCGCGCGGCGAGAGGGGCGAGTTCGAGGTCGTCCGGAGCGGGTGGCGGGCAAAGTACGTCGAGACGCTCAAGTACAAATCGTTGCGATCGGGCGTAAAGCTCTTGGGCGTCGTCTCGGAGGTGACCGCGAGAGGTCTGGTGATGAGTCTACCCGACGGTCTTCGAGGGACGGTCGCGCGCGCGGAGGCTTCCGACGTCTTCCGCGGAGCGACGAGGAGTGCTGGAGCTGAATCGGCTGACGACGAATCGGAATCATCGGATGACGAGTTCGAAGGGGAAGAGGAGACGATCAGTTTGGAATCGCTGTATGAACCCGGTCAGGTGCTTCGCTGCGTGGTGCTAAGCCTGGACAAGGGGAAAACGGGCGGTAAGCGCATCGAGTTATCATTACGTTTGGAAAACGTTTGCGCAGGCATTGGCAAGGATAGTCTCGTCGAGGGATCCGTCGCACCGGCGATGGTGAAGAGCATTGAAGATCATGGATACATTTTGGATTTTGGCATAGCGGGAACGAGCGGGTTTTTGCCGAAGAAGAGTGTTGCTAACGACCTGACGATTCGACGAGGGAAAATTTTGGACGTCGTAATCACCGCGACTCCCACTGGAAATAAGGGATACTTCACGGTGACGAGCGATCAGAAGAGAGTCACAAGTTCAGTTTCTCACGAAACGTCTGCGACAAATGTGTCGACGCTTCTCCCAGGCATGCTCGTGAACTCACGCGTGAAGCAAGTCCTTGCGGACGGAATATTGTGCAGTTTCATGACTTTCTTTTCAGGCACTGTGGATTGCTTTCAAACGGGCTCGGTTGCCACGACAAAGGGCGTAGCGTCAGCCTTCAAGGTTGGTCAACGTATGCGCGCACGTGTGATTTTCGTAGATGCTGTTGCAAAGCGCGTTTGCTTGACGCTCTTGCCACACTTACTTGAGCATACGTCGATCACACTTCCAAAGCTCGGTAAAGTCTTTCAAACGGCGACTATCGCAAGAGTTGACGCCGGCCAGGGCGTTGCACTGAGCGTGTCTGACGGCGATGATCACATCGCGGCTTATGCGCACGTTTCTCAACTCTCTGATGAACGTGTGGAAAAGGTTGAGAAGAAGTTTAAAATTGGACGCTCGGTCAATGTCCGGGTCATCGGTCATCGGCTAATGGATGGTATCGTGAGTGTGAGTCTAAAGTCGTCTGTGATGGCTCAACCATTCTTTTCACTCGAAGAGCTCACTCCCGGTATGTTGGTCAACGGTGAAGTTGTCGCAGTCGAGCATTACGGAGCTATAGTAAAGCTCGCTGAAGGAATTAAAGCGCTGTGTCCTCCGCTTCACGTCTCTGACATTGTCGGTAGAACGACGTCGTCGAAGGTCAGTCCGGGGGCTAAACTTAAATTTAGAGTGCTGAACGTCGACAAAAATAGCCGACGGGCGACAGTGTCGCACAAACGGACGCTCATTAAGTCGGAGTTGCCTGTGATTGCGTCGCTCGAGGACGCCCTCCCGGGTGCTGTGACGCATGGCGTCGTCACCGGTGTCAACGAGTACGGTGTATTTATCTCTCTGTATGGCGATTTGAGAGGTTTGGCGAATGTGAATGATTTAGGTTTACTTAGTGACCAGAAACCAAGCGACGCGTTTGGAGTCGGACAGGTTGTTCGCGTCACTATTGTGTCAGCCGATGCTTCTGGCAGACTACGATTATCTCTTGCGGCTGGTGTGGCGTTGGAGGCCAAGACCCCCGGCTTGATGATAAACGCATCTGCGGCTGATTTAACCCCTGGTATTATCGTTGAAACGGCGGTGGTCACTCACGTCTCCGCGCAAACTGGGAACGTAGAGGTTGTTTTTACCGCTGAAAAAGGCAACGTACCAGGGATTATAGCTCTCGCGCACCTGTCAGATCATCCTTTGACAGCAACAGGCTTGAGTTCCGTTCTGAATCCTGGCGACAAGATCGGTCCTCTTGTTGTGCTTGAAGGCAAGCCTACGCGGGCGGTATTGTCTCGCAAGCTTTCTCTTGTTGAAAGTAGTCAGAATTCGAAACTTCCTGCTTCCGCCGAGGAGGCGACGCCCGGGTCGGTGTTTCCTGGGTACGTAGCATCTGCTACTTCGGCGGGTGTTTTTGTGCGCTTTTTGGGCAAACTTACAGGGCTAGCACCGCCATCGCAGCTCGTGGATGGCGTCTCCGCGGACATTCATGACATGTTCCCGGTTGGGAAGACAGTGAACGCTTTAGTGCTTGCCGTCGACACATCTACGTCGCCTCCGAGATTGTCGCTTTCGCTTAAGTTGTCAGCGACGTCGTCTCCTCTGAGCGATGCGCCATTGATACGATCGTTCTTCAACGACATAGAGCTTTTGGACGAACGAGTCGCTAATGCTGATGACGTCGGCATCTCACCAGAGACAGCCAAATCTCTCCAACCTGGTACCTGGATGGACGTCACTGTGAATGAAACCAAGGAATACGGTGTGCTCATGGATATGGCAATCGATTCCAACGCAGTCGGTCTCGTTACTCCTCATCAGCTACCAGAAAGTGTTGAATTTGAATCAGGCGATGCGGTAAAATGTTACGTGTTGGATGTGAGCCGGCGAGAGGGCGTTGTTGACATGGGCATGCGTTCTGGTTTAGAACGCTTCAAGCGTAACAAAACAGCATCTGGCAAGAGCCTTAAAAGACTCAAAGTTGGTGACGAAGTGACCGCAGATGTCGAGCTCGTCAAGGCTGAGTATGCTGTTTTCTCTTTACCGGATCATAGTGGACTTATCGGATACGCATCAGTTCACCATCTCAATCGATCTTACGAGGATGCTACGCAACGCTTTACTCCAGCTCAACGGGTGAAAGCAATCGTCGCACAGTTACCCGACGGTGCAAACGGTCGCCTTCTCCTTACGGTACCCGTTACTATTAGTTCGTCGGGCGGTAAGATAGCTGCCGGGACGCTCGTCAAAGGCGTCGTATCGGAAATTCAGCCACTTCAAGCCTTGGTCGCGTTACCAAACAACGCTCGAGGTAGATTGTACATTAGCGAGTTCGATCTCACTGAGGAGAAACCGCTCGCTTCCGTATCCGTCGGTAGCACGATCGAAGCTACTGTATTAGGTCTCGCTGGTGAGCGTGGAGGATTGCTGGATTTATCAGTCCACCGAAAGAGTGCGTTCAGTCTCGATGGCGTATCCGTTGGCGACTCGTTGAACGCCTACGTACTTTCGATCACTCAGGATGGACTCAAAGTTACCGTTGCGCCGGGAGTGACGTCTTTCATTCCAAAGATTGAAACGTCCGACAAGGCATCCGAGCTCAGTGAAAGTCTAGAGACGAGATTCGTCATCGGTCAGCGAGTACGCGCCACTGCTGTTGACATCAAGTTGAACAAGAGGCGAATCGATCTTACGCTTCGAACGGAAAGTGTTTTCGGATCGAACAAAGTGTGTGTGGGCGCGAAATTGCATGGTATCGTCACTCGCGTGGTTAAACATGCTGGTGTCATGGTTCAGATTGGGTCGCACTCGTTTGGTAGAATACATCTCACAGATTTATCAGATGAACTCAAGGAAGAGCCGAGTGCAAGCTACGCTGCTGGCGCAGTCGTCCAAGTGCGTGTGTTGAATGTATCGCCGAGCGGCGAGATTGATTTATCGACTCGTGCTTCGCGAATGTCGAGTAAAACGATCTTGCCCGAAGATGCCGAAGTACAAGACGTGGCGAATCTCGTACCAGGTCAACGCATCAAGGGCTATGTCAAGGCTACGACAAAGAAAGGCTGTTTTGTCGCTCTTTCTCGCAGCATCGATGCCATGTGCAAGCTTTCAAATCTGGCGGATGACTTCATAGCCGACCCGATCGCATCTTTCCCGCCTGGGAAGCTCGTGCAAGGTCGAATCGTGAGCGCCGACGCGGCGAAAGGGCGAGTTGAAATCTCTCTTCGTGAACGGGAAAACAGCTCTCAGGGGAACGCGGATGTTTCAGGCGTTGACGTGGGATCTGTGATGATGGGGACGGTACGTCGCGTGCAGCCTTATGGTGTCTTCATCGGTCTAGATGGAACGAAACTATCTGGGCTCTGTCACATCTCAATGTTTGCCGACGCACGTATCAACGATGACTTGTCTTTGCACGTTCGCCAGGGCGAGCGAGTGCGAGTAAAAGTGCTGGAGATCAATGCGGAGACAAAAAAAATATCACTCGGTTGTAAGGCTTCATTATTTGAAGACGACGACAAAAATGACGAAGACGAAGACCATGAAATGGAAGACGCACAAAATCCGACGCTGGATCCATTGATGGACGTGGATGGAGAGAGCGATGACGACGATGACGACGATGACGACGATGATGATAATGAAGATGACAGCGACGAGGAGCTTGATGGCGACAGTGAAGAAGAACACGACGATGAAGAGAATGGTAATAGTGAAGAGGACGAGGGGTTGATTGCAAAAAGCGACGAGGAAATCGACGAGGAAATCGACGAGGAAAGCGACGAGGATGTCGAAGACGATACCAGTGAGTCTGACGACGCGGCTGGCGACATGTCCGCCTCGGATGCAAATGACTCTGATGGCGAAGCCTCCGATTCTGAAGACGAACCGATCGGGAAGGACTTATCTTTCGATTGGGGCGCTACGGAAAACGAAATACGGCCGGTGAATGTCGATTCCGATAATCCAGACGATGCGAAGCCGCTTTCCAAGCGTGAAAAGAAACGCTTGAAGGAAGCTAAAGAACTCGAGATCTTGCAGAAGGAACAAGCACTCAGAGACGGGGATGCCGTTCCTGAATCCGCTATGGAATTTGAAAAGCTCCTCATCGCTTCACCGAGGTCTTCGTTTCTGTGGGTGAGATATATGGCGTTCCACGTCAGCTGCGGAGCATACGCTGAAGCCAGAGAAGTTGCCGAGCGCGCAATCGTAGCGATACCGGCCTCAGAGGAGACCGAACGCATGAATATTTGGGCGGCGTATCTCAATCTTGAGAACAAGTATGGAACTCCGACACCAGAAGAAGCGGTGAAAAAGCTTTTCACTCGCGCGGTCCAGCTTTCCAATGCAAAGCACTTGCATATGACGCTCATATCAATGTACGAACGAAACGGGCAACAACAGTCGCTCGAAGACGCTCTCAAGAAGGCGGCAAAGAAGTTTTCGTATAGCACTAAAGTCTGGCTAGCGTACATAAGAGCCGCAGTCTTGAAGGGTAACTCCGAGTGGGCGCGGCAGTTGCTCGATAGGGCGACGCAAGCGCTGCCGAAACACAAGCACATCAAAATCTTGATGCGAACTGCTCTCTTCGAAATGAAAGAGGGCAACCCCGAAAGAGGGAGAACGATGTTTGAGGGGATATTGCGAAACTACCCGCGTCGCACCGATATTTGGTCGGTATACATTGATCAGGAAATCAAACAGGGCGATGTTCTGCGCATCCGTGCCTTGTTTGAGAGAGCGACGCACCTTGATCTCAACGCGAAGAGCATGAAGTTTTTGTTCAAGCGCTACTTAGATTTCGAACGCTCGGAGGGCGATGACGAGCGCATAGCACACGTAAAACAGCGTGCGATGGAGTACGTATCGAACAAGTTTGGCTAAAATTTCGGCCTTTGTAACCTTAAGTCGGGAAACTTCCGCTTTGAAGCGCGCGGTGACGATCACGCGCGCCGTCGGAGACGATCTTTTTGGGTTTAGGGTTTAGGGTTTAGGGTTTAGGGTTTAGGGTTTAGGGTTTAGGGTTTAGGGTTTAGGGTTTAGGGTTTAGGGTTTAGGGTTTAGGGTTTAGGGTTTAGGGTTTAGGGTTTAGGGTTTAGGGTTTAG